CCTACATAAATTCAGGATCAAACACAAGTGATTTTATCTATTAAAACTTCGTTATTCAATAACCCCGAATCCCCAGTATATGTTCGTTTTTAAGATGCAGTTTTTGAGAATAAATTAACAGAAGTCAATATGACGTACATAAATTATTTCTGTTTGGCTTAGCTTATGAAAACTTACCTTCCACTCCTCTCCTTTTGTTGTAAAGCAAATGTATTATGACGTCATTGCGTCGTCTTCTAATTCTTTTGGAGTGTCACAGTGTCATATGACGTCGCAATGATCATTCCATTCTGAAGGAGGAGGGGTGCTGGTAAATTTAATTTTGTCCAGTTAGATAACTAAGCATTTATTTCCCTTGCAGGACAAAGTAAATATAATATGATGTGGGAAAAAAAACAGGTTGATAATTTTCTTGCAAGCAATAAAAAGGGAATGGATTTAATTTTGTCCCGTTTCTTGGCATCTCTCTCTCTCTCTCTCTCTCTCTCTCTCTCTCTCTCTCTCTCTCTCAGTATTACTCATCCCTTTCTCTGTAAACACAACCTATTAATGCTTTGATAATTTCTTTGTAAGAGTATACATTTTTTACGAGTTGGTGGTATCAACTCATGTGACTTACAAGTAAGGAATTCCCCAATGTATCGAAACTGATCACATTTTCGTTTGAGTATTTTGCGTACAAGTTCCTATATGATATTGGATTATTTACAATTTTCATAATCTACAGAACAAGAATATGTTTCCTGATATGCTTTGAAGTGTTTATAAACTTAAACATTTATTATCAATTTTATTGGAATTTGTGTCTATCCGCGAGAGAAAATAGTGTTAGGGACATATGAGGTCTACAAAAGTTACATGTCATGCAAACAAAGTTTTGATTTACAAATCAATAAATTTTTTAAATAAAAAGAAGTATTTTGAAAACAGATTTTTAAAGAAAATTCACAAAATTGAACATTGTACAAACCAGGTTATTTTTACAAGATTGATGTGGTGGTGGTATATAAATAAACTAATATTCTTGCGCTGTTATGCTAATGAACAGAGCAGTTTTCCCGCGTTATTGATGAATCGTTCAACACAGAGAACACAGCATATGTTTGTAAACAAAGCGAGGAGTTTGCAGTAAAGAAGATCGAAATAAACCAATTACTAATCTCAAACGGAAGAAATGAGCTGTACTAGTTGAAAAAACAATTTTGAAATAAAAGTTCTTATTTCTTGTGCAATCAATAAAAGATTTCTATTTCTTGAAGGGTTAGATTTTTTCAGCCGCGGACAACTTTGTAATCCAATTTCTTTTTCCCTGTTAAAAACACTGTTGAGAATTCCTGTCTTCCACAATCTATATCTGTTTCAAGCTTGAAATACAGCAATGGTCACTTAACATGCCTGTGATTCTATCACATTAATTGTCGGCACTACACTGGAAAGTGGTTTCCTTTAATATGTCCAGCTGTGTTTTCCTATCAGATGCTGACCATGTGATAAAGTGAATTAATAGTTCTGAAGGCAATAAATAAAAACAAAAACAAAAAATTAAGTGGGGTGTTATTGATAAATTAAATGTGAAATACATATTTATAAATGTGAAGAGATTAAGAAATCAAATTAATTCAAGAGTATATAGATCATGTAAATAGTCAATATTATGCCATTGTGATGAATTTAGTCTTCAGTCGAAAAGCCGAAAGAACTGAAATATTACACATGCATACATGTATCAATGGAAGTCAAGTAGTTAAATTTCAAGAAAGGGTAAAGGAGAAATGATATATAAAATGTGCATATCAATAAGTCAAGTACATGTAGTTATATTTATTTCAAGAGTGACTAAACCAAACGAAACCGAAATAAAATAATAAAATGCTCATTTGAGTTAAAAGTCAAGAAATTGAATTTCAAGAGTAGCTAAATCAAGAGAATTAAAATATTTATTCTACATACCAATGATCATAAAAGCCAGGGGGCTGAATATCAAGAGTGACTAAGACAAGAGAATTGAAAAATCATATGTGCATATAAATTTTGAAAGACAAGGAGTTGAATTTCGATAGTAACTAAATCAAGAAAATTGAATTATGTAATACACATATAAATGAAAGTAAAAGATATTAATTTTAAGACTGGCTTAATCTCGAGAATTGGAACATATTGATGTGCATTGAAAATATCAATTTGCTTGTCAATTTAAGAAAGCAGTGAAAATATTCAATGAGCATGTTAACGAAATAATTCAGTTTGCGCTATTTGTAAGTAATAATTCCCTACTTGTAATACTATTGTAGGTTTGACCAATAAGTTTGAGATATGTGTGTTTAAAGTTTTTTTCTTGTTTTTGTCTATTTAAGAGTTGTTTTAGTTCTGTAACATTATTTTACAACAGTTGTGCCATTTTTCCCTATTTGAAATTTCTAGTCCCTTGATATATAATATTTCCGTCAAATGATATTGAGTGCCCAACAACTGTTTCCGGTAGTTTTAATGATGATATTCTGTGCTCTCTGATCATTTCAGTGATGGTATCCTTTAATATTTTGTAAAAATACAAGTTACTTTAAATGGAAGCTACATTGTCATTTTACAAAAAATTCCAAAACTAATTAGTATTACACTGTATTTGTTTTCTATGTTTAAAGGTTCGATTTCTGATAAATTATTATCATTCAAGTAGATATTAAACAAAAATAAAATATACGTCTTAAAAATACATGACAGAAAAAGTGTAATTAAATGATAAAATTTTATTTCTCAAAGAAAACAAAAAGAAAAGATTTTAAAGTGATAGTTTTCATCACTGCACATAATATCACAAAATATAAATATGGATTACAGACCTCAACTCATTTAAACATTATACAAGAGGCCCAAGGGCCTTAACGGTCACCTGAGTATAATACAACAATTTAGAGGATCAATAGAGTATAAAATGAATTGAAAGGTGAAGCTTTGTTGCCCAAAAGCAAGAAAAATAGGGTGATCAGGATCAACAAAATAATTAGTCTAGTGTTCATTCACAGTACATAGATTAGGTTCTAATCTGTTCCCCATTTATCACTCTCACCAGACAGTAGATAAACAAACTTATAATCAGTGCTTCTGTACTCTTTTAATTCCTTGTTGAAATCTCTTACATTGGCCTCTCTTGGTTTTTGATGAACATTTAATAAGACAAGTTATTTTTGTCCCATTTTTATTTATCTGTTACTTGCAAGTCTACCTGATCATTAAAACTATGAAAGAACTTTTTGTATTATACAATAAAAATTCTTGCATAATTCTCTTATTCTATTAACCTTTCAAGTACATTATTTACAGTGATTAATTATCACCAGTAAATGGCAAAGGGGAATAACTCCTTTCAGCAGAATACAAATTAATAGAGCCCTGGCCTGGACCAGAACACTTGATCAAATGGTTCTGATGTTCAAAAATCTGGTAAAAATACCCTTCCTTATTAAAACTTTTACTCTTTTTGCCTCTGATATGCCCAGGTGCAGAGAATATTTTTAAAGCATTAATGCATTTTCACTATATAATAAATAGAGCCCCGCCCTAATATCAGAACCTCTGATCCAGGGGTCATGAAATTCGCAATTTTGGAAGAGGCATCCTTGCTTATCATAACCATGTATTTGTTTAAATAATATCCAGGAGAAGAGAAGAAGATTTTCAAAGAAATAATGCACTTTCACTATATGATCTATATAGCCCCGCCCTAGCACAAGAACCCCTGACCCTGGGGCCATGAATTTCACAATTTTGGTAGAGTCATTCTTTCTTATCATAACTGTGTATCTAATTTGTTTAAATAATACCTAGGAGTAGAAAAGAAGATTTTCAAAGAAATAATGCACTTTCACTATATGATCTATATAGTCCCACCCTAGCACCAGAACCCCTGACCCTGGGGTCATGAATTTCACAATTTTGGTAGAGGGCTCAATGCTTATTACAATCATGCCAACAGTTTGACTGCTTGATGTCCAGGAGTAAAGAAGAAGATTTTTAAAGATTGCATTAATTTTGATGGTTTTGGTCCCACCCCTCAGGCCCCAGGGGGGCAGGGGCCACGAATTTCACAATTTTTGTTCCCCTTCACCCATAGATGCTATATGCCAAAATTGGTTGAAATTGGTTTGCTGGTTCCAGAGAAGAAGCTGAAAATGTTAAAAAGTTTACGACCGACGAACGACGGACGACGCACGACGACGGACGAAAAGAGATAGCAATAGGTCACCTGAGTGACTCAGGTGACCTAAAAATCAATACCATCAACTCGTAGTAGTACTTTCAGTACTTTGATATTAGTTTCCTATCTATTATATACATGTATGTATAAATTGTAACGTCATAGTTTCTTTCTACTGCAAACATTTCACATTCTGAGTATATAACACGGCGGAATAACGCATTACGTAATTCTATCTACCTTTTTGGCGAGTATAATATTAAAACATGGAAGGTATTTTCAATAAATTCATAAGATGAAAATCCTTGTAAAAACACTTCAAATTCCTTCGACCAGTCGATTTCAGAAGACTTCGGGGTTTTAATCCTATTATTATAAATTCTCTCTTCAACCTTATATGAGGTAAATAAATTGCGAAAATCGAAGTAAGGAGAGGCAATCTATATTGCCGTGTTGAGTCTATGTCTATATCTGCGAAACAAAGTTATGTTTATTAATAACATAGCACTAAATTAATTCGGCAAATATAGGGTTTTAAAAATTTCAAACGATGACGGCACTTTAGAAAATTAAATTCAACTGAAGTCTTATAAGAGATTGATTCACCTCTGAAATCTATAAACTCGTTCTTTATATTTTAAATGCAATTTATTTTTCCCCTGGTCTTATCAATAACATTGCCTCTTTGCGCCACATGCACAATTCTGCAGTTGCAGGGTGATTAACAATTGCCAGAACCATAGTCGCGTGGCAACCATGAACCCGATTTACCCAGCTTTAGGTTAACTCTCCGTCTTTCAGACCCACGCTCCTTTTTACCTGGTTTGCGTATATCAATAAGACTTTTACTTTTTTTTAAATCAGCTTGTCTATCGATCACTGTGCGTTCTCACATTAGAGGATTTGTTAAGTGTAATAATTTTTTATCATGGAAGTTTGTGAAAGACCCAGAACCACAGAGTAAGTAAAGAATTTATTTATTCATTCATTCTTTTTTTATTTTTAATAATAAAATTCTTGATTGATTTTTATTGAATTTTTTATTGATATAGGTTTAACAGAACATTCATTTTTTTCATTTTATTTTTTGCCGAACACCTTTGAAAATCTTTTATTCTTATCATTCATTATATACTAAAGTACATACATGCACTATACACAATACATTTGAATCTAAATTTATCGAGATACATTGCATTTTTTTTTATTTCGCTTTTAAACTAAAGAACTGTTTGAAAAGTATTCTCTATCCCGTACAATTTACCCAATAAACCATAATGTATGTACACAACACTGAATAGAAATTTTCACATAGGAACAGTTTCATTGTTGTCGAAATTTAGACAAAGGCCTTGGCACCATGAAATATTGATAATGATGTTTCCGTAGTGCACTAATTATTGATTAAAGAATTGATTGGCATATTATACTAGACATCAGAGGTCGTCGATATGTCTTCACGGTCTTAGTATTGTTTGACTGAAGGACGGGCTGATGATAAAGAAATATTTCACCCACCGAGATCACGGGGCCATTGAAGAATTGATATTTCTCACCAAATGTACTTCTGTCAAATATAGGGGACTCGGAACATTTCAATAATTATACCTTTAGCTATACATTTTTGATTAATTTAATCACAATTGGTCTTCTTTGGCTACTTTTTATGGAATATTTGTACCCTTAAGTACCATTTTGTTCAGAAAATTATATTGATATCACCTGTGGAGAATGGCCTTTCTTCAATAAGTAAAACCTATTATATTAATAAATTACGGCATTATACGATCTGATGCATTTTATTGAGCCATTTTAAACCCCTGTAAATCCCTCGTTTACCACTTCTATCGAGAGAAACATTCATTTCAATAGCAATAATCAAACATGGAAATGTTAGTTAATGTATGGTTTGGTAATCGGTTCAAAGAAAAATTTCAATGTGCATTAAGCTTAATAATCTAGACACAACGTTCATACAATTACCCCTTAAGGCTGCATAGATCTAGGGAAATAAAATGAATCTCTGGGAACGAATCCCTATATATGCATTTGTAGGTATAACAGAACAGGTATAGCTCTTGCATAATTAATGAAAGGGGTAATACACATATGAATTTTCTAAGACCTAATACAATTTCATTGAAAATATTATAATATATATCACTTTTTGGTAATTTTTTTTTATTTGTTTTTGAGGGTAACAAGCAAACACACATCTTGGATTCACGCCCAGAAGTAACCTTCGGTAATCTGTGTATTTGACCTGAGAACCCCCCATTACTCCCGGCCTATTTAGATTCGCCATGCACCACATTCCTTGAAGTATAACATAATCTTATCATAATCCACTGTTTAAATCATTTGATTGAATACATGATGAATGCCATGTCTCTACAGCTTTTCATTTCTATCGAAATATCTGAGGTGCCATTTAAAATATTGACAGGTTCTCTGCCATAGATTGGATACGATCTCTGTGAAAAGCAGTTTATATGAACTTCTTATGCAACACATTAGTTTTGAAGAACTTGTTGTGTCTACTGCATAGAGCAGTAAATAAATCATGTCAATAGTTTATCAAATTCCACCTGATTTTTTTAAATGGAATTATGCAGTTTAAAAATCTGATGATTCTGAAACATTGATAAAAGGTATAATTCCAGGTTAAGAAGACTGGTTCTTGTTATCAATCACGTCTGGCCATCAGGTTAAATAAAATGTAAACCCCACGCACCCCTTCCTTTTCATATTATTTTATTTATAGTAAGACATTAAATCTAGGTCAATTTTGCACCTTTTTTCACAAAAATAATTTTATTCAGAAAGGTCTAAACACTTATAACAATAAAAAATTGAACGTACATGTACAATTTAATTCTGACCTACTTTTTTTTTAATGTGGCGTTTCAATGAGGTCATTTTCGATGCTTTGTATGGTGTCTTTTACATGAGTTTTCCCCCACAATGCATATTAAATGTTCAAATATTTGAAACCCCACTTGTTATTTAATTAAGGTTGAATGTCTGACATTAAAAAACATAAAGACTTTTAAAAGCCCTTAACTTTTTTTCATTACATGTCACCGTCCGCAGATTCCCTGTAAAGAAGGCCTTTCTTTTTTCCTTTTTATTCCTCTTCTGGAACTAAACATGCCAAACAATTGAATATTTAGACAAAATCGTCAGTAAATACGCATATAAAACATAGATAAATAGATTGAAGTGGCGCCATGTTCTTAATTATTTATATACCAGGAAAAGAGTACATACTACATTGTATTAGTTACAGAAAAGAGCCACAAAAAAGAGCTGAAATTCTCTTGTCTTGTCTTCAGACCTTTTTAGCCAATGAATTGAAAGTAATGATTAATATTTAATAAATACAGCACATGTTCTGTAGGCTTTAGGACATTCACAATGCAATAAATACATTTAATGCATTTTTTACCATTTATGGTGTCATACTGAAAAACAATTCAAAGTCTGTATTTACTACATCATGTCCCATTTCTATTTTATGATTTGTATCTTCAGGTCCATTTACGCGCCATCCCCAGATCTCGACCCAATTATAGAAAGAATGACCAGATCTCGCGAAGGCGAGAGGTACTAGTATCTACTTTTGCCTCAAGAATATGAATTAAATATGTACACATATATGCGCACAAAATCAGTTCTATTCTCGGATTTTGGTTTAAATTTTCACTCGGTTTTTTTTTTATTATGGGTAAGGGGTGATAATTTTTATGATTATCACGCGTAAGAGAGAGCTGAAATGATTTTGTCCATCTGAATCACGTGTCAACAAAATGTACTCACATTTTTGTAGCAACAAGTGCATCTTCAAATTTTGCTTTGTAAGTTATCAAATGCATGAAGTTCTAAGCTAATTTATATATATTTATTTTATCAAGCTACTTTACATATATATTCTAAAATGAAAAACAAAATAAGAAAGAAAAAAAGGATATCACAATCCACACCTTTTTAACACTTTATGCACATACATAAAAATGTTGTCACTATTTTTTACAACGCCAGTTTATCACTAAATCAATCCACTTGAAGTACCATGCACAATTTATAATAAAAAATAATTTGGCACAATTCACAGTTTTTTTTTAATTATTATTATTTAAATTCATTGTGCACCTATGAAATTCTTATCCAACCTATTTCTTCACAATGGAACACTGTCATTTACCGACCGTTCAATCTGTTGTCAAATGCACATTGGACTACCATCCAAGTCAACGTTTTGAACGATTTTCCATCATATGCTTTACGATGGATCATCGTGCACTATATATATATCTATTTCCGGATCTACCCTTCGTCAGAAGCCTGATGCGTCAGAATGCTTCTACTAAAAACATAAAGGTATGACACGAAACGTCTGCAGTTTTAGTGATAATTTGGTATTATTAGTATAGAAATGGGATTGAAATTAAAAATAGAACGGCTCTGTAATAAATGCACTTTGGTTGCAAAATATTTAAATGTTACCAAAATGTTCAAAAACTGAGAGTAGAGTTTTACGATTTCACAAAACAAACGCTTCGTCGTGAATTTACGTCAGGATGGTTGGCCAAAGAATGTATTTAATTTTTATTTTCTGTTTATTTTGCTTCTAATCTAGGTATGTGATCTAGTTCTTGTTCAATTTTGTAAAAAAAAAAAAAAAAAAAAAAAAAAAAAAAAAAAAAAAGAACAAAAAAAAAAACCCCAATAATATTATGTCTTATTGATCTCTATGAATTCTGCAACCGTTTTCTTATTTTTAGTCATGACTTTTGCATTTATGTCTTGTTTATTCTCAAAAAAAAATATGGGAAACGTATAATCAGATGTGAATAAATAAGAGAAAGTAACAGATGTGGAATATTTTGTGACAAGAAAAAACACGGTTTCATCAAAAAAGAAAATATGAGCCGACATAATTTGGATGGATTTCCACTCAATTGCCATTCCACCATGTGTTGATAAATAATCACAATATTTCACCGAGAGTAGTTTATTTTTAATTTCGTTTCTTATAAACTTTACCTTTGAATAGCCAGTTACATGCAACTAAGCCCTACCTGAAGATGGTATTGTATGTATATTTTACCCGGTTTTTTTTACAGGTAATGAATATATCATGCTAATAAAAATCTAATGCATCATAATTTGATAACAGTTTCAAATCCATCATTGGTTAAAACACGAACGTGGCATCGTTTTTGAAAGTGGAGGGGGAAAGCAAATTTCAACTTACCTGAAAAAAAAACTTGAGAAGCAAAATTTAAAAAAAAAAAGGAAAATTGTCCAAACTCGCTCGAAAATGCTATTTCGGGGGGGGGGGGGGGGTCCAACTTCTTTCAGGACCAAATCAGTACCAAATTTTATTCATACACTACTATACATTAGTTACCCTTATTTGGCTATATACTGCAAAAAAAAAAGGGGGGGGGGGGGAACCGGCCTTTCAATGGACATTTCCAATAGTAAAAAGTTATATGTGAAAAAAATGCGGAGGCTGCGCCCCCCCCCCCCCGATGCTACGTGCCTATAAAATATATCCGATACATAAAATGGTTAAACAATGTAAAGTTCTTGAAATGTATAACACATTTTCTATATACACGCATGCGTGTTAGCTCCTGATCTGAATGTCCTTTCTCTATATAAGAATTACCAACACGCAGCTCCTGCAAGTGCTTTTAATGTCATTCTTTGATTAAAAAAGAAAAAAAAGTTTTGATGAAAAATAAAATTGGAAGAACCTTTTGAATTCTTTGGATAACCATTGATATTTTATTTGAATTTACATCAAATCTGACTTTTTCGTTTGATAAAAGCCAAAATCAATCAGTGAACATGAATCTAAGAATTTTTAATTATTGTCTTCGGATGTATCATTCTTTCAATGAAATCAAACACATGGTTATTAAGAGCGAGAAAAAATATAACAATTTAAATCCATCGACAGAGTTGACAAGATCTGAGGACACGAGATAATAGACACCGAACCCGATAAGAATTGTTCTTGCTTGAATGCATTCGGGGTAATGAATAGGCGCTGCTTTGTTTTGCTCGTCTGCAGACTGGTATTGATTGTCGTCATATGAATATCAATGATTCAATGTATGTTCATATATTTAATACCTAAACGTAAAAAGAAACAATATATACATATATTTACATACGACCGACCACAAGAGGCCCAACGCGGTTTAATGATTTAAAAAATTAAGAATTCAGATACAGAAATTTAAAAATGGACTTTTTTAAAGAAAGACTTTATTAACGCTGAATTTATGTTTTAATATATTTATTGATACTTGATATTTCATATCCCCAAAAATATAAATAAATAGAGTTAAGCACAGATTGCTATAATATATGCGACTCGATAAAATGAAAATTATTCATAAAATAATACTGTTTATTATCTGCAACGTATACATGTACTTGAAGAATGATTCCAAGTTTGATAAAACTCCGGTATCCCTGTTTAGCAACCTTATAAACTCTGCATCATTTCCGTTGCTTGTGCACATTCTGAGGTGCATGTCACTGTGTGCAATACACGAACTCTGATATTTACCTGAAATAGTTTAATTAATCTAATAAAAATGTGGGGCAATGGATTAACCACACTTTAAAATAAAATAACCCGCAGAGACCGTCATTAGATTTAAAAGCATTTTAACTCGAACCCACACGGCCCCCGTGATAAGTTGTCTTTATTAACAAATGGTGGGTCTCCCCCATGCATTGAAAATCTAGTTCCGTTTCCGTTGCATTATCCAGCATAGTTACAAATGAGTACAACAAACTGATTAGCTGTTCTGTTTCATAAAATACCAGATTATTAACATTTTGGATTTATTGATCTTGTATAAAATGAATGAAACTGGACTAACAGATGAGCAAATGAAACGGTAAGGCTATTATCATGATATTAATAGTTCATTTCAGATCCTGTGTAGTGAGTTTGTTTTATTGACCCTTAAATATTATCAAGATCCAAGTCGATTCAGATGGTCTTATTATTCCATGTCGTCAAAAAGCAACCACTAATGCAATTAATTAATGCATCGATGGTAAGTAAAGAAGAAAATAGTATATGAGTCGATAAGTTATGACAATATAATATCATATAATTATAAACTAGAAAGGTTCTATTATGACGTCACAAAGAAAACCGTAATTGTGACGTCATACAGAGCCATTGATGGAACTCGTATAGAGATGGGGTTGTATGAAATAAATTTGCTGGAAAATGATTTTCCAGCCATGCATACTGATAAAGATAAGTAAGTGACAGATTTTTTTTTTTACCTTTTCTCATGGATGTTTTTGTAAAAGGGGTGACAGGATGCAAACAAACTCCATGGTTTGAAAGTGTCCTTTTTTCAGCGTGTGACGCTGAAAATGGTAGGATTTCAAAATGTTTGTTTTGTTTAAAGTTATTATTATTAATGAAAAAGTAACTGTCTTTAAGTAGGAATATTAATATCTGAAGGAGGGGAGGAAGTGAACAAGTTGGCATTGAATTATATATTTAAAGCATTACTTCTTACATTTTTACTTATCCTATTGCAATCATTGCTCTTTGAAATTTTTAAAAATGCTGCTATATAGATTGAAGCAGAATCTAACTTTACTATAAAAAGTATTACGATTAAGTCTGACGTGTAGGATTAGGGTAAGAAGTATACTTCATGATTATTATTTGATGATAAAATTTCTCTGTGTCAAAAAACATACCAGTTTATTAATAGTGTGCTTTAGTCTTTCGTGAGTAAGGCTTTATATCAATACATATACTTTGCTTATATAGATTATAGAAAACCTTTTTTTAAAATTTATTTATTGATTGAAATGTAACTATGCGATTATTCGTACTTGTATCGAAAATTAATTGACGCGCACATTTAGCACGCATTCTGCTATAATGTATTATCTTTTTTTTATTTCTTTCAGAATGACCTTTTGGTCGAGATACGATCCAATCAGACAGGTGAAAGGGAACTGTTCTGACCACTGGGCCAAATACAGACAACAGGTAAATAAATAGTGGTCAAAGAATTACTTATATATACAATAAAAACAAACTAGTGGTCAAAGTTTTACTTATAGGTACAATGAAAAACAAAAACTAGTGGTCGAAGTTTTACTAATAGGTACAATGAAAAACAAAAACTAGTGGTCAAAGTTTTATTAACAGGTACAAGAAAAAAAAATAGTGCTCAATTTTACTTATTTTTCATGCTGCGGAAAATCACAATGAGAAATATCTTGCAAATACGTATGTATAAAATCAACAATTTTTTTTTCTCAACGAATACATTTTTCAAATACAGTAGAAATCAGAAAAGAATAAAGATGTGTCTATATATGTAGGACTTTAAACTGGGAAAAAAACTAAATATTTTTGTGGTTAGAATTCTTATCATCAATTTAGCATTTAGTTAATAACATATGTTAGTTATATCTAAATGGCATTTGAATCCCTTTTCACGAAGTTAAAACCTATAATATTATCTATGTGAAGCTATGCAATTGGAAGCATTGTTGTCATATTTTCAAACAAGCCATTTTAATTTGAATATATTGTAATGCAGGATGTGCCAATGGTCCCCTTAATGTTTACCAAGATCTTTACAAATTCCCAATATTGGGCAGATTTAACCTACCATTCAAAGCAGGTGGTGTTTTTACGATTGAATTATCGCCATTTTCTCCATAGAATTCTCTATCTGGGACTAATTTTCTAAAGAATAACTGTCAACACTTTCAAAAGATATGCCTTTTATTTGCTTTTATTCCCGCAGGCCACGTCCAAGAGGTTTATTTGTACCCAGAGAAAAAAGTAAAAGGTCCTTTTAAATTGTTGAAAATTTGTACAATAAAAGTGCAATTAGATTTAAAGAGGTTATGCTATCGAGAAAAGGCTGACAATTAAAAGACAAATGCATTTGTTATCGGCCAGCACCGCGCAGACGACATCGTCAAATATTTACCAATGGATCTCATAATCTTCTGCTATTCTCTAAATCACAATATGGCTGTCGAGCATACTTCTGAATAAGATTTCTTTCAAATGCCCGATTTTAAAACTTCGAGTTATAATGAGATAGTGAGAGAAAGTAGCTGAGTAACTCAAATTTGGAACATTCATATACATGGAGTAGTCCAAAATCGAATTAATTGCATGTTTGAACAACCTACGAGAAATGTTAATGTATAAACAGTCACTGCATGTAATGTACTTCTTATTGGCTAGAGAATAGTACATTTTTATCCTCCCCCGACCCCAAGGTAGTGAGGCATATCTGTTAAAATTTATAGAGCAGCGGTTTACGACCAATATTTTTTGTTACCATGGTTATTTTTTCCATAACTTGGTTGTTACCGGTATGTACAGATGACTCCTAATAAGTATGTTCTGTTGATTTTCTTAACAAAAGGTCATGGTCACCTGGTTTTATGTCGTACTGCGAAGGTTAAAGGTTAATTCTTTATCCAGGTCAAATGTTAAACCAATTTTTTTTAAATATACACATGTTGGTCATGAAAAAATGCACGCTCTTTACTGATATAATTTTCAGTTCGAAGGACAAAGGTCAGCAGGTTTCTTGCTACGACCGCGTCAAGTATTGTCTAATCCATCATCTTGCAATTCCTTTGCTTTGTAGTCTTCAAATTTCGCTGAGAGAGATGACAGTAGCTTGATACAACTGTAGTTCTTTTAAGGATAGGGAGACAAACTACTACACTTTACATATAAGTGGTTCAAAAAAATTCTTGCTTGAAAAAAAATACATGGTCATTATAATGCATAGTCAGCATACACTTTGAATATTAAGATTTGACTTTAGAGTTTTTTTGTGGTTATGATAAGCACTAATTTCGTCTTTCTGTGAGTATTTAGGTGAAATTTGAATATTCGGCTGCTATGCATAAATTTATTCGCTGAAAGAAACTAATAGGTGTTGAAGTATAAACGATCGTTCAAAGATCATGGTGAAATATTTGTTCCATTATAGGTCTGACCTAGTTAACAGAGTTTAATCTCTTAAGCTATCATTAGGGATCAGTCACATTTGTTTCTTTACAACAAGATTAAAAATTGAGATTATAAAGATTTAAATTTCTTACAAACAATTGTTCACCTTTTCGACTCCGGTTACCGCATTGTGGGGGACTAGCAATACACATTCCCAGTGTTGTAACACAATCTCTATAGACTGGAATTGTCATCTGTTTTCTGTAGAGACAACATTCTTATAATAAACACAGCGAATAGATACAGCATAATTTATTACATATGTTCTTTTAATCGCATCTTTTTTTTTTCTCTCTTAACAAAGCACATATCTGCCATAGGCGCTCCCCAGCTTAATTGTTAAAAAATATATATCTACTATACTATAAACATAACATAACATAACATGTTTATAGTATAGTAGATATATATTTTTTAACAATTAAGCTGGGGAGCGCCTATGATATCGAGATATATATGGTATAGTGAAATGAAATTCTTTCAAGCGTATGCTTAGCGTCCATAGACCGTATTGAATATTTCAATTGACTATTTTGTATATATTCTTATGTAGCATACCATTAAATTCGATTCTGATGCAAAAACTGACAATAAGCAAAACGACACAAAACTACTTAAACTAGTGATTGTTAAGTATTCAAAATAAACCATGAAATGATGGACCTTGACTTTTAATTGGTACAAAAAGATTATCACACGAGCAGGCGCGGATCCAGGATTTTTGGGGTAAAATAAATTTCCAACAAAAAAATTCTTGACAAGCACAAAAAAAAGAAACCTAATTTCCTTTCCCTATCCAGAAAATTTCTTGACAAGCAAAAAAAAAAACAAAACAAAACAAAACAAAACACAAGCACACAAGCAAAAAAACCCGTAAAATCCATTTCCAAAACGTGAAAAACACCTATTTCATTGTGGTGATGGTGGGGTCCACGTTTTCTGGGGGGGGGGGGGAGTCCAAAGTCATTTTTTTATTGGCTTCAGTATATACTTTGGTAACTCTGCAAATTCCAGGGGGTGTCCCCCCCCGACCCCCTCCCTCTAGATCCGCGCATGACGAGTTGTTCTGATTCCCTGTCATTCTTGCAAGCAGATGCTTCTTTTGGCCTTGTTCTTACTTTTTTTTTAATTGTTCTTGGTGATTTCTTTCTTTTTATTTAATTTTTGCTTTTTTTCCCCTTTGAATTCTTTGGTTGTTTCGAAATTCTGCTCCGTTTCCTTCAATCGTTAAAAAGGGGGCTGCCATAAATGTGAAAAAAATTATTTTTTGGAAGGAAGCATTGATACGTGTTTAGTGAATTGCATTGATAATTTGTTGTCTTGTATTATTAACATCTTATTCCTTTTTTTCAGACAGGTAATGTATACCATTTTTAGCAGGTTGCACGTGAGTATGCAAGTAATATAAATGCACTTCATAATATCAGCAAAATAAACTACAGAAAGGCACAATTTCACACAACAAGGCAGTAAACGTTATCATATATATTCAGTTCATGACGTCTCGAAATGATGTCATCAACACAGTATACTCACTCTCTCGTTTATACTTGTAATTTAACATGTTATGGAGTACCCTTGTAGAGTCTTTTATGTTGTCCATTACTGGTGAAGGGAGTTGTCCATAGAAGCTTTATTTTGAAATTGTTCAGCAGTGTAAGATTAGTGTAACCTGATATTTAATCAAGAGATACACGTAGCATGAATTGATGCGCACAAATTCTTTGAATTTCAGTCAGTACACTTTACATCCCCTAAAATTTAATTATTTACAACCAACAAAGAAATTACACAAAAATTCAAATTTGTTGAGTCCAGTATATTTGTTGATAAATTTTACTTATTAGTGCAAAATATAAATTTGTGCAAAGTACAAATCACATCTGCATAATATGTTCCAATGTAAAATTTTAAATTAAAAGACAGAAATTGTTTTATGCATAGAATTACTTTGTTTCAACGTCAATTCATGCTACCTCTGGGAGCTAGCTAGATATAATCCATAAAATATTGAAAAACGATCCTGGCTCCTTAGATATATCCGGATCCTAACCTACTAACTGGTTGGACTAATTCACGGGTGTACATTTAAGATAACTTTAATTGTGTAACCAGGGAAGGTGATGGGTACAAATGCGCTACTTGATGGACCATGTTCTGATTTTGCTGTTCTGCTCTAAAACCATAGTCCGGATTTTGATGTAAGTTTTTAAAGAAAAAAATCTAAATTTTCATTTTTTATGTGATATGTGAAGTAAATTCTGATATTGGAAACTTTATCGTAGAATCATAAATTATATTCTCGAAAATATGTTATTGATATTTTTTTGATTCGGAAAATAATTACCAATGGCTTTGTTTTGAACTTTAAATTTGAGTTTGAACCTAAGAGTGTGCATAGAGCTAGTGTGTGTTCTTTCCTCATCAATTTCAAACTAAAAGCTAAAGGTCAACAGGACAGTAAAATAACATGGGACATCTAATGTTTTACAGCGCAACGCGCTCAACAAAGGGCCAGGGTTGTTAGTTACGAACAGGGTAGAAACATTCCTTATAAAGAGAAAACTTTTGATGAATTGGTTGTAGATGGTCTTCGAGGCTCAATGCCCGGTGCGTATTCCAGTAGCCGACCCAAGAACACTTATAACAAAGCCTTTTACAGGAATGTGTTCTCAGATCGAGCAAAAGACGGCTTCCGGTATTGGCTGATAGAACGTCCTAAACCAACAAGTTGTAAGTATACAGACCGGAAGCGTGTGATTTGTTAACCGGAAGTTTGCTTTATGTTAACCGGAAGATAATTGGTTAGACAGGATTGGTAGTACTAATAAACGTGAAATTGGTGAATGCTGGTATTTTGTTGATAGGATATTAATCAGGTTCAAGTCACCAGTACATAAATTAATAGAATTTTGCCATTTGTGTAGTATTTATTTGTTGCTACTTCGTAAAGTTGCAGAGGAATAACTTTATGTATTAAATTTGTCATATAACAATTACATGTATATAATCAGGACTATATATAAGTTTGTGAATCGGGAGCTTTTAACAGTATACATGATTGAATTGGGTCAACCTTTAATGGGACACTGAGAAACGTCTTGCAGAGATACATGTACATATAAGAAGGATTTCTTCATAATATTTTCAGATGCTCAATTCCATATACATTTTAGAGCTTTGTCTCCCCTTAAAGAGACCCTTTTCATTTTTTGCCTATTTGAGAACATTTTCTGAAAGCAGAATCGAAAATGATGAAAATGATTTATATATTTTGTTACCTTTTCTACGTTTTACATTTATACAAACTGAATATGTTGATTAGATCAGTACTTCTAAGAATGATGAAAGTGTTCTCAGGCATGCTTTTATATTTAACAGCCGCTGCTTCATTAATCTGCTGTTTTCTTGTAGTCGGAAAATACGGAATGGGTTCTTATAAAACAGTTCTAGGGATTGGAAACGCCCCAAGGACGTGATGTGAGTCACGTGACTACGTCATTCAGACGTGTTTGATTGGTGTTCTTCATCAGAATATATCATTAAATATTTTTAACTTCATTTGCATTCAATATTTGGAGATTCTAGCAATAATTGATAATTAAGATACGGTAAATGCTTCAGAATGGATCTTTTTAATATGGTGTTTTGTACTTATTTCAAGTTTTCCAAGAATTAACGCTGAATTATATATCAGTTAACAGTTCCAACAAATGATTAAATTTCCTTTCCCTTTATCGTTTATACTTTAACCCTTTTCTCCATTGTTTTAAGGATCTATTATTTATTTTTCAGTTGGAAGATACAGTCTTGGTGCCGCTCATTCGGTTTTAGGATTATGTAATGCTCCACGAACTTAATTTATTAATATATTTATTATTTTATATAATTATGTTTATTTTTTAAAATGCACTATTGGTATATATTAGTTTTCAAGGAAGCGGACATAGTGTTATTTTGTTTAAAATTGTGGAAAAGCATATAAGGGGGATGTGATTCATTGATTAGATTTTGCACTTTGTCAGCCATTTTGTCTTTTGGTGCCTGTTGATGTATGCGATAAACAAGCCCTTTGGCGGCAGCTTGCCATGAAAAAAAGTTAAAACTGGGTTTGAAATTTACTAAAATTATTGCTTTTTGTTAAAAAGGGGATTAAAATAAATTAAGAAATTAATTTTTTACAATTTAGTTATGTATTATACTGTGATGACAACTGAGTATTTGTTCGATTTGATTTATCCTTTGGGACGACATTCTTACCACCGCAGTATTAGTTTGTATATATAACTCTCCTTAGATTAATGCAATGATTTCAGTAAGTACATATACATATATAATTTAGATAATTCCTACGATATTAGATATATCCCTCGTCATTCTTGTATGTAAATCATAATTAATGCAATTTCTCAATAAAGGAATTTAAAGTTATAAAGTTGTTTGCATTTCTCTAAACCTTTTGCATCTCATTCTTGTCTCGAGGTAAGTATATCTGTATTTGGATCCTGCTTATAGACTGTTGTGTCCTCCGCCAATGATTACAAAAATATCATAAGATTGAGGGATCACTTATTTAATGCAATATCAAATGTAGGGGCTTTTACAATATAATCTTTTAACTGAAGGGGACTGTGGTGTCGGGATCTGTCTTTTAAAAAAGGAGTGGAAATTTGAGAAATGAAGATGGGGAAGATAGAAATAAAGAAAGTAAAATTGCTTGAGCAAGAAAGATTTAACAGTATGCGCCATAACCCTGATTTAAAGGACTGTTCTTATTCTTGAAAGTGCATGTGTTAAAGCTGGTCTGAAATACAACCTCTTTCAGTTCCCAGTAGGATTCATAAAACTTTTCAGAACAATGGAATGGAGTTTAACGGAACACTTTTTCTGTCACTAGGAAAATTCCAAGCAGATTGTTTTGATATTGTTTTTTTTTTCAGGAAATTACAAAACTTTTCTTTCATTTATTGCTACAGTATTATGTGCATTGTGATAATCACTAAAATATACTGTAAAGATTTCAAATCCACCAGTGGTATACATTATATGAACTCTTTGTAAACATAATTACAAAAAGACTAATCTTCAGTAACTTTACATGTGCATTTATGAAGCAACCCATAACTTCAAAACTATGGAATCATTTAAATTCACAGAAGATAATTTTTGTTCCTTTTTTGTAAAAAAAAAAATAAAGTTTGTAAGAGCGTAAATCTCAGTTCTTATGAATGAAATCGTCTCCTTTGTTGTGATTATAAATTCAATGGTAAGGACAAACCAGTCGGAATGGCGGTGCATTGGGTGCGATCGCACCCTTTTAAAAACACTTAAAATTATAAATTAATGTTAGAAACAAATTCATTATTCTTCTATTGAAATTAATGCTGCTTTTCTGTTTGATTGATATGTGAAGAAAATACTCGAAGAATGCACCAGTACCCACCAAAATGGTACCCAATAATTAAAAAAAAATCTGGCTCCTGGGAGGGGATACTATACCCCTTCAGACGGGGTATAGTATTCTGCTATAGTCAATTTCTATGCTGGTTCCCCCTTCCCCCACTTTTTGACCCCCCCCCCCCATTTGAAACCGTTGTTACGGGCCTGAAAACGATTTTTTTTAGTTTATTAGAAGAATCTATCATCTGATTTTAGGTGCCTCATCATTCCTTTATTCATGTTAATTAAATTGGAGATGTTCGTAAGAAATTGATATTTTTCCCTTCTTGTTCATGCAATTTCATGCAGAAGCTCAATTACACATGCACATTTAAATATAGTTCTTTCATTTGACCACAAGTTTTTTTTTCGTTTTATTAAAGAAAGACTATTAACGTAGTCGTTTAAAGATAAAATTACTAGTATAGTAATGCATGCACGTAGCTTTCAAGAAGCACTCTAAGGGAGACAAATCCATCTAAATTCATGCTACTGATCAGTGAATGAACATTGAAAATCCTCATACGTTAAGGCATAACGTGAATGAATATTCTTGCAAAGGTATAATTTCTTTGGTCTCACTTCCTTACTCTCATCTTCATAGAATTAATGCGAGGGAGAGACCGTTTAATGCGGGGGAGGGGATTACCGCCAAGGTGATTTCTTGTTAATGTGTATCATCAGAATATGCTGTTTCTTACCAATTTTCAAAAACTTTCAACTTTGTAAACTTTAAGTATACTTTATATTCATGCTGACTTTGGATTCAATGTACTAACGTTAGCACCAAAGCAATAAAGAATTTCATCAGAGAGAGAGAAAGAGAGAGAGCGCGTTTGCTTATTGGCATCAATCTAGATTAACCGTATGTAAACTTTTTTTCTATAGTTATATCCTCCGTACATGCAAGGATAAAAGATGGAACCAGCATTACCTTTCCGGAGAGTGCAGTCAAAATTAAATAATTTTAAATATTAATATGATAATATCCATATATTTTCCCACCACCCTGATTCCGCAGCCGGAATGGATTCTTCAAAACAGAGCTCATATCTAAAAACACTGTCATCAGAGAGTAAACTCAACTTAAATTTAAAAACAAATATTTTTAAAGGTTTGGAATTTATTTAATGTATATATATATAGGTGAACATACATGTATCACAGATTTCTTATTTCATAGCATGAACAAGTTTTAAACAACTTTCAAACAGGTGCTTGTCACTTCTCTACAAGTGATTTTTGTACCAAAAATAAGATACAAAAAGTCTATGATTAAATAAGTATAAGCACTTTTAAAGCAAAAATACAAAGAATTTTCTGTAGTGAAATGATCAAGCAATTGCTGATTGTTATTTTCCTCTTCTGTCTATCCACTTACACAAAAACACAAACTGCTACATTTACATGATACAAAGTTTATGGACTGACTAAAACCCATCATAATTGTTTTTCTATCAATGAAAATATTTGAAGTTGACAAGATCTCAAATCTGCTCCTTATATCTCATATCAACTTACCAATTATTTTACAAATACTTGTTAAATTATTTCACCTGTATATGGATTAATTGTCTTCTGAAGTTAAATATTCAGAAGTTAGGAAGGATTTAAAACTATATAATGTACTCTAATCTTCATAAAATTCATGATTGTACACCATATACACACACACACCTTTTTTTCTCTTTCTCTCATAACAAATCCACATTCTCAACAACTGAAAAATAAAACAACACCCCTCCCGGATCCCCCTATACATTTGAAGCTTGCTTTATCGAGTGCTAGTGTTAAATTGCATGAAATAAGCAGCTGTGGGCGGATTTGTGTAAACTTCCTTATCCAGAAACTCTAAATGTCCTTTCTGTTCCTTGGCTAGACGACGATTTTCCTCGGCCTGCTGGCGTTCCAAATCTCGACGCTTTCGCTCCATCTCGCGCTCCAGAAGCATGCCTGCTCGAGCGTTGGCATTTTGCTGGCGCTCCCATTCTGCTTGTCTCAGCTCTTCTTCCTGTCTTGCCCTCTGAAAATTAAATATTTTCCTGCTTTTAGTAAACTTGTAAAAAAAAATAATTAAAAACACTTTTCCAAATATCAAAATAAAGACAATTTAAATATCATCATAACCTTATCAACAGAGGTTCTGTTATTTATCTATCATTTTAAGTAATAAGGGATGAATAACAATAAATCTATTCAAACTTTTAACTGACAAGTAGAATATGTGTCTTTGACAAAATCCAAAACAAATATCAGCTTTGACATACATTTTTTAACTAATGCAAAATTTTATTTACAAATGGCATTACCTTATCCAATCAAACCATAAGAATGAATGTTAACTTTTTAAAACAGGTTCATTTAACATTGCACAATTTAACTTAGGATCTACTGCACACAATCTCTTGACTCTTTAGTTTAAATTGAGCTACAGATTCATATGATCTCACCTCTTTCTCTTGCCTCTGGAGTTCTTGTTTCCTTCTGACATCCTCGACCTGAGCAGGGGTCATTCCCTTCCAGCGGTCAGTGATAACCCTGTGGGGTCCGAATGCACTTTGTGCTACGGCAGGATTCTCTGTGAGAACATCCCCAAATACATGGTTAGCAATCTCTGTCATGTTATCGTCTAACTCCTGCTGTTTCTTTAATCTCTCCTTTTCATCTCTTTCTCTTGCCTAGAAAGACAAAAAAAAATATTTTAGAATGTAAGTTTTCCTTTATTATTAAATTGACATCCACACTGTTTAAAGATTTCTGTGAATCTGTTTAGTAATCATTTACCAACTTTGAATTTAAAAATATTTCAGTGTCATCTGTAAGGGTATAATAATCTTTTATTTATTGGATATGCACTAATGAAAGATAATTTAAAGATGAATGATTGAAAAATTAATCTTGCAGAATTCTGGTCTTGTGAGTTTACTTTACAATTAATTCCATCTCTCAATTAATTGAAAACAAAAAGTGTCATTAAATATAAGAAAGAGACATAGTAGTTCAATCTTTTCTGGTAATTACCCTAAAACTGACAATAAAATTTTAAAAAATTTGTTGGCATACCAAAGCATTGTTGTAATCCTTAGTGGCAACATTAATAGCCCGTCTACAATCCTCCTCGGCTTTAGCTAGTTCCATTGACCTCTGGTCTAGTTCCCTCATCTTCAACTCATACAGTCTGTCAGCTGTTTTCTGGTTCCTTTCAGCTTGTTCCCGCTCCTCCCTCTGCTCCGTGGACCACTCTCTTAGCTGTTCCTGTTGGTACTTCCTTCTGGCCTTGCTATTTAGGTCTTCACCTATAAATTTAGAAACTTATTTTTATTTTTGTAATTCACCACTAAATATTTTAGTGGTGAATTACAAAAATAAAAATAAGTTTAATAAAAAGAAATTTAAGTTAAAATAAAATGTTTTGTTTTTCGCATAGGGTAATATAAAAATTCCAAAGACTAACAAAATGCAGACAAGAAGTTAAGAAGAAGAAAGAATTGACATTACAAAAATACCAAGTATATGCAAATGAATTCATATTCTGTGTTTTAATTATTATAATTCAAACACAACAAAGACCTAGTCATTAGATTATTCATATTAAAATGCACAATCTGACCTAATTTTACCAATGGTTAACCCTTTTGTTGACAGTAAAAGTACATGTACTTATGTGGTTGAAATAAAAATTACATATATATAGAAAAATATTATGGGATAATTTGAAATAATGAAAACATACCTTAAATTTTTAGAACGTAAAATATGATTCAGTTTTTTTGCAACTTAAAAAGATAAGAACCACTCTTTTTTTACCTTCAAATTTCTGTAAACTTGACACGCCACATCTTGGATCATCATCACTAACTCGGGCTGGTTTATCTTTCTTGAGGTAGTCTGGATCATACAAATCAAACTCCCTTCGACTGTCTGGCTGCTGGTGCATCATCCGGAATTCATTCATTGCTCTGTTTAATTCTCTCATGTCTGCTTCTTGACGTTTCTCTAACAACTGGGAAATTTTATCATTTCTTATTGCATCATGTGCTGGAAAAGAAAAAAAAGATATTTCAAATACTTTGATATTGTAAAAGTAAATTATAAGCTAAATATTTCAATTTTAAATTTACATCAAATTATTTTTCAATTTCAGTTTATTGACAACACCATCATACATTGGCATATAGACATGAATGCAACAAACAATTAACATACCGTATATACTCGCCTATAAGTCGGTTTTGGGGAGTTAAATTTTGGTCCAAAACTCTATGTCTGACTTATAGGCAAGTCATAAAAAGATAAGAATTTTTCTGGATGGCAAAATGTAGTATTTTATAAACATTTCCTATGACTATTGTTGAACAAAGTATTGATATATTATTTCATTTATATTTTCTAAGATTATACATAATGTACAAGTATTTCAATATTTTAATAACTATTTTTATCTTAAGTGTGCATTATGTATTATTCTTAATGATTTAAAATTAAATATTGGCATCACTTCTAAAAATATAAATCGAAACCAGGTTAAAACGTTAGAGCATTGATTTGAAATTGTCAACTGATTCTGGCAAAATGTTGTACTGACTTACAAGCAGGTAAATGGTAAATCCCTCCAAAATAACCTCATAAATACAACCGACTTATAGGCGGACCGACTAATAGGCAAGTATATATGGTACATAAAAATCCCAGTGAGTATATTAGTTATGTTGAAGTTTTTCTCTTCTAATATCAAAGCACTTTTTCAGAAAGTTACATACTCTTAGAACTAGCAATTTTAATACTTGGAGGGTTAATAATGTCAATAATAGGGTTTTCCTTCATGTAACATTGAGCATTAAATACATCACAATATCTACACTGATCATAACTAGGACAATAAAGTACAAAACTTATTTCATTTTCATAATATATCATAAGAACTACATATATTTTTACCAAATGCTAATTCTCTTTTCTTTTCAAATTCTTCATGCTGTTTCTTGTCTTTAGCTTGTTGTTCTAGTGCTTGCATGTCAACCTAGAAACATTTATAAACATATACATATTATTATGACCCTGTTGGAACCTTACACAAACTTTATAGAACAATGTTTTTACAGAATATCAGCAGTTTAACATAGAGAAAAAATAAATGTTTTACTTTAAATGTGGAAAAACCTGCATGTTAGTTTCACAAATTTCTTTAATATAGCATATAGATGAAAGTTATGATAAAAGATAAATTAACTAACCCCCCCCCCCTTTTTCCATTTCATTAGTTAGTAATATATCCAGTGCCTAGGCAATCTTTCCGTAACAATTTTTTAACCCATAGTATAATAGTATAAATTTATACGATGTTCACTATTCGGAAGAGAGTCCAAAAGTGTCAACAAAGTGTTAGTAACGTAAAACAGTTAAAAGCTTACCCCGATCGTTCTACATTTTGCATTGAAAATCCTTGATTTTCTCTCCTCTTCCATGCGCCGACGGCGTTCAATAGCCGCGGCTTCTTTATAATCTACGGGTAAATCTAATTTGTACATCTTTCTTCCTTTAGAAAACACCAGGAACCAGAAGATGTTTCTGTGTCACTCTCTCTGCAAGCGTTGTCAAGTTTACACCGTTGTCAACCGGAAGTTTACACGCTGCGGAGCTACAAACTTTAGATTAACTTTAATGTAGTTTATTTTTAAATCAAAATAACTGTTTTTTATATGATTTTGTCTAATTTTATGATAAACTAAATGCATTAATCTATGCATATTTTTAAAAGAACTATATATTGGAGTTTTTTCTGCGGATATTATTTATTGCCCGATCCCGATCAAAATTTAATGAATGAAACTGAATTCGATGTACGGCGGATAAGATTGTTGACAGATCTAATCTTTCGATGTGATCATGTAAATTACAACGTTGTTTGGGATAACAAATTTAAATTGATCTTATATTTAGCCTTGGTATAAAACAAAAAAGTTCTGTATACTCAATTTTTTTTTAGAATGTATCTTAGTTATTAATAATTAAGGAATTCGTACTCATTCAAGTATGCCTAAGTTATATATACATGTACATAAAAATGCACTGAATGTCTAAACATTAAAATTGATAGTCGCATTGTGCAGTGTACAGTCGGACTAAAAACATTCGGGTGGTTTTATTTTCAATTAGACTATTAGGGAAAATATCATTAGCGAAAAAAGGAAAGGTGATGAGATCAACCACGAAAAAAACTAGGAAAAAAATATACACAATCAAAATGACAGAAGATGACAATGATTTTTTTTTCGTGCATTTGCGAATCCAGCATTTCTTTCAAGGGGATTGGTTGGGTTGGGGTCCATACCAAATCCCGAAAAATAAATTCATGACTCCGAAACTTTTCGCCAAGAAAAAAAATTCCGTGGAAAATTATAAACTTATGATAGATTTTCTCTTTTTGCTACTCCCCCTTCCTTCCACCGACTTGTTAAATTATATGCTTTCGCAAAAAGAGCAAGAGGGCATAGATGTAACTATTATGGTGAAATTAAAGCAGTATCGGGTCCAGAAAAATACAAAAAGTAAAAAATAAATGAATAAAAAACAAATAAAATTAACATTTGACAAGCAATATTTACAAGGAAATCAAATATAGTAAGCCATCATTGTTTGATAACTGTAAATATACATACTTGTCAACAAAAAAGGGCCCAAGAGTACCCGGGTCGCTTAACCCTTTAAACCATCATATGGAAATTATACTAATTCTAACTACTACGGTACCATAAGAAAAACTTTTGTTCGTAGTGACAATGAACTATGAAAAAGAATTAAGAAATTAAAGAAAACTTTTGTGATATGAATGATATACATGATTGTAAAAGAAAACAATGCTACAATGTGTCCCCTTAATTATTAACATTGTCCAACAACTTTTTTGGAATATCTGCTGTTCGTTTATCATGGTGCCCCCCCCCCCCCTTTCCCCGTCAAAACAGAATTTGCTTTCTACAGGGCTGAAGTTATAAATGCAATAAAGAAAGAAGCCCACATTCATGATCGCTAGTGAAAATTATGAATCTTTCTTTACAGTATATATATCTAACTTTCTTTAGCAAAACGATCTCAGGGAAATTGCTTGTTCTACTAAAACACTACATCCAATGTGCACGAGATGATACAATTCATACCAAAGATTCATGCCATATGAATGAAATTTGATCCCTATTTTCTTCCCGACGGATGTTTTAGGTCATGTGAAATTAAAGGCAAAATTATGAGAATGTTTATTTATTTTCCGAAAATTGTATGCGTTTATTTGAATATTAACAAGCTAATTCAGAGAATTTGTGTCCCCCGCTTAGGGGAAAAAAGAAGAGCATGCGCAGTTTGGAGGGGGGGGGGGGTCGGACCCCCCCCCCCCCTGGATTTGTAGAATTATTAAATGTATACATGTATATTAAATTTAAGGGGTGAAAGCCAATATGGATATAAAGATTTTGATTGTTTATTCTTTAATATGTGTATAGAAGATTCTTTTTATATAGAATATTTATCACACTGTAATAATGATTTTATGAGTTTGTACAAGCCAGACGTCATAACTTTATCATTTCACACGCTACATACTATCATTTAGTAACCCCCCCCCCCCAATTAAAAAAAACAACAAAAATTATGGTCCAGGATTTGAACCCGGCGTAACGACGAAAAGTGACCCCCGTAAAATATTGACCGGGGATCATTTTTCTATGTAGAAATTTGACCCCCCCCCCCCGTGACGGTACATATTGTCGTTTTGTACATATTGTCGTCGGCGAAAATATGTACCTGCCCCCACTGCACATATTGTCGTCCATCGGTACATATTGTCGCCGTCGACAATATGTACTGAGACGAGCTTTTAGTTATTTTCCTCCTGCACAATGGACGGCAAAATGTACAGTCAAGCACCATGCAGTACATATTGTCGTCGGCGACAATAGGTACAGTCAAGGTCGCCATATATTAATTGTCGTCGATATATTCTTTTGAGGAATATTTACCTGAGAAAAGAAAGAGAGATTGACAAACACACACACGCACTGAGGGAGACAGACAGCATTTCTCACAATACTGTAGGGAGAAAACTTTTTGCACGGTCTGAAAATTGTGTCCAGGATTGATGTACATCACTATGACATATCAAGATACCGTTATTCTTGAGATATCTGATAAATCAGCTGTTCTTTTTTTCTTGTAATATATACTTGGAGTTTGAATACAGGTATGATTTTTTTTTTTGTTCAGAAGTAATGATTATTTGGAAATTATTTTTGCGTTATTCTTATATACGATCATGTGCCGATATAATATTATAAATATAATTTATTGTTAATAATAATATAAGAATAACGCAGACAATAACATTTTTAGATCACCTGAGCTGGAAGTTCAAGTGAGCTTTACTGATCACACTTTGTCTGACCGTCCGTCTGTCTGTAAACTATTCATAATTTCAGCTTCTTCTCAAGAACTGCTGGGTCAATTTCAACTAAACTTGCCACACTTGCATCCGTGGATAATGGGGATTCAAGTTTGTTCAAATGAAGGACCATGCCCTCTTTCAAGGGAAGTAGTTAAGAATAAGTGAAATTTTAGTGACTTCTAAAAATCTTCTCAACAACCACTGTGTCAGAAAAGTTGAAACTTGTGTGCAAGCTCCATTAAAAAGTGTAGATTCATTTTTTTCAGATCAAGTCCCTCGGGGGATAGATGTGGCTACAATAGATGAACTAAATTTTTCATAGAATATTTAAAAAAAAAAATCTTTCAAAATCTTCTTTTCAAGAACTACTGGGTCAGAAGAGATGATACTTATGTAAGTTCAATTTTTAGGTGAGGGCACAAAAAAGATCCCTCACTGCTCAATGATCCTGAGTGCCAAGTATAGGTCTAAATTTGCAGCCCTCCACCGGTAAGTGGTGACGTCTCAATATGAATGAAAAATTCTCGAGAGGGACATTTTAACAACAAACAAACAAAAACAAAATCAGTTTTGTTCAAGTCATGACCCCAGGAGTAATGTGGGACCACAATTGGTGATCAAAGTTTTACAAAGGAATATATACAGAAAATCTTTAAAAAAAAATCTTCTCAAACACCAAAAGACAGATGTAGCACCCCCCCCCCCTCGCTTGGTGGTTTGATTTATTTTGTGGTAAATTCTGTTTGTTTCACTTGTATATACTTAGTCCACAGGTAAAATTTCATAATTAAATAATTAACTTAACATATACAATAACACTGATGAACGACAATTAATATGTGCAGTGAGGGAAGGTACACAATGTCGCCGGCGACGATATGAACAGGACGACAAAATGTACCGTCACAATCACGCTGCATGAAATAGCATACGAGACACGTCAGTGTGATTCTCACACCAATTTCATTCACAAAACTACAAAAAAAAAAAAAAACAACAACAACAAAAGACATCTTTAAACAACAATATCTGTGGGGCGACAATATGTAGAGTGAGGGTGAGGCACATAATGTTGCCAGCGACAATATGTACATATGTAACTTTTCAGTCGGCGACAAGATGTACCGATGGACGACGATATGTGCAGTGAGGGTAGGTACATATTGTCGCCGACGACAATATGTACAAAACTACAATATGTACCGTCACCCCCCCCCCCCCCCGGGTCAATATTCTACGTAGAAAAATTTTTTTCTTTTTCTTTTTTCTTTGATTTCTTTTATCATATTGTTTTCCATCCCTAATAGGACCAAATTCTCTATCCTTAAATGTTCATCCTGTACTTTGATATTAATTTAAAGCATTTTATAGTACAAAAGGATTTACAGAGAGAAAGTTTCAAAAATGTAATTTACTAAGCAGTAATTAATGAACAAAAATTGCTTTGAAGTCTATGGGGACAAGAATTTTTTTTTTTTTAAAAAATTCAAATAATTATATCAATCAATATTGTGGTAGAAAGATGCATTAAACATTAGACATATAGAAATAGAATGACAATTGAAAACGGTTTTTTTACCAGATAAGTTTTTAAGATTATCTTTTTTATTAATTAAAAACAGATAACTCTTACCAAAATTCAAGATCATAAATTTGGACACATCCCACCCTTCCATGCTTATAGTAATAAATGGGAATTATGTCTAAATATAATGAGTATTCAACATATACAAATCTGATATGTATTCAATTTCATTGAATCTTTTGCTATCAGGGATAGAATACCTTAATAATAATAACTTAAAAATTTTCAGTTTCCACAGTTTTAATTACCTAAATGTGCAAAAAATCAAAATAAAGTCTTCTTTCTTCTTTGTAAGTTATTAGAAAGATTAACGTTTTAAAACTCTTCCCAGTTAGTTTTAAAAATTGCGATTGTTAAGAAAATTTGATCTCCATATTCTCTTTTAATTTCTATGAATGAAGTCTTAAACTTCTCATAAATATAGGGAAGATTAAATATGTGAAATATATAAATCTTAAAAATATAACACAGGACTGAATCAATATGCCTCTGACCTTCGATATCAGGGGCACAAAACGTGATTAGCTCAAAATCTTACCAGTGTCTTTTGTAGTTTGCTAGTGTCAACAAAGCCTTCACATAAGGTTTTTTTGCAATTAAAGAAAGAGATGTTTAACACAAGTCTATACACGGAAATATTATCTTCTATCCTTCTCCCTCCCTCTCTCCACTCCTTCCACACAACTCTCTCCCCACTCTCCCCATCTCTCTCCCCTCCCCACTCTTTTTCATCCATCCCCTCTCTCTCCCATCCTATCCCCATTCTGTCTTTCTCTCCCTCCCCAATCTCCCCCACTCTACATCCCTCTCCACTCTCTCCCCCACACTCTGTCTCCCTTCCCATCTCTCTCCCCCACCAACCCCCTCTCTGTCCCACCCTCTCCCCCACTCCACTCTTTCGTTCTCTCCCCACTCACTCTCCCGCTCTCTCCCCACTCACTCACTCTCCCCATTCTCTCTCTCTCACTCACTCACTCTCTCCCCACTCTCTCTTCTCCCCACCCCACTCTCTCTCTCACCCCACTGACTCTCTCTTCCCACACTATCTCACTCTCTCCCTTCTCTCCCCACTATCTCCCTCTTCCCCTTCTCTCCCCACTATCTCGCTCCTCGCTCACTCTCCCCCTCCACTCACTCACTCTCTCCCAATTCTCTCTTCTCCCCACCCCACTCGCTCTCACCCCACTGACTCTCTCTTCCCACACTATCTCACACTCTCTCTCGCTCTTCCCCTTCTCTCCCCACTATATCCCTCCACTCACTCACTCCCCCTTTCTCTCTTCTCCCAACCCCACTGACTCCCTCTCCCCACACTGACTCCCTCTCCCCACACTCTCTCTCGCTCTTCCCCTTCTCTCCCCACTATCTCCTTCTCTCTTTATTTTTTTTTTTGACTGCCTGACTCATTTGTTATTATACCTTGTGAAAAAAAAACTAATATATATACATAATACATGGATATTTCAAAGTTATTTACAATAAAATTAATGGAAAAAATACCTATTCCAGAACAGAGACAAAATTCTTCCTGTTAGTAGAAAAGAAATTATAAAATGTTTATTCTTGATCTTTTTACTTTAAATTGGATTTGGCAAATTTGTTTATTTTTGGAAAAAAATGAATGTAATTTAAAATTATAAGGGCGATAACTTCAAACAACAGAAAATACTGCTTCCCTGTTCACAATTTGTTCATTGCGTTATATGTTTGCACATTCAATTTCATATGCTTGGAAAACAATATTTATTTGCTTACTAACATGCAAGGAACATATGCCAGCTTAAAATCTAAGTTGGATATTATTTGTTGTACCGTTATGAAAAATAGTTGTGCGGCTAACATGGCTAATGCCTTAAATTATCCATATGCAGAGAGGAGGTCTATAAATATCCTTTATTTGATCTAGTATGTAATAAGGGTTTGGCATTCACTATCCTTCTCCCTTGTAAGCTTTCAGTTTACTATATTTTCATAATTTTTATCTTGTTCAGACATCGTGTCGTTGCTTTCAATGGTAACCAAAATGCACTTGCATCATGACTCACTCGTTGTTCTACGGGTAACCCGGCATTTCATATTTTCTTGTTGCATATAAACGTTTGTTTAGTGTTTGTTCAAATACGTGCTCTTAATAAAACTATGTGTAATTTTTACTTGTTGCATGGTTCTACTCTGCTAACCATAGATTTCTACATGTATTAAACGGTTTTGAATGGACAGTGTTAAATGATTAACCGTTGGGCTATCAACGTAATTTGAGTAAGTGTTCACCTTATTACAGGTCCTAGCAAAGCTTCTGGGAAAATTAAAATTATTCACTTAAGTAACAGAGCCATTCAATCAAAAAAAGTCAAGCAAATTGTGGGCTTAAAAAATCATACCAAAGTTGCCTCTGTCGCGCATAGGAACCCTCCTCAATCTACATGTACTGTACATAACATTATAGAGATAAAGTTTATAAATTGTAAAACACTTGAAGTAAGCACTTAATTCTAAGTCTGAAGGAAGAATTTAAGAAGCAATGCCACACCAATTTTTTTTCATAGATCTTTAAGACATCCCCTTGAAACTATGGTTTCAGCATTAAAAGGCCGATATATTAGCTCTCAATTATTTTATAAGATTTTTTCCCCAATTTTTCATAGAAAAAAAAAAACAATTTAACAATTTCATACAAATACAGACAATGTAGACAGTATTATCAATTGTGAAATTGTCGAAGAGGAAATAATAGCGCCTGTTCAGAAACTTGAAAATGGTAAAGCCGCAGGGTATGATAACATTGTAAATAAACATATTTCTACAACATTGTCAACTTTTTTACCTTTATATAAGAAGTTCTTTAATATAATTCTTTATAGTGGTTAAGTTCCAGATGAATGGTTAATTGGTATTGTTAGACCAATTTATCACGCGGAAACGAAAGTGTTAAAACATACAAAATTTATGAATTTATGACCTTGACTTTGACGTTTTGACCTCAAAATCAATAGGGTTCCTTTTTTCACGCCTCAGGGAGTTTCTATGCAAAATTTCATTGCGAGAGTTCAAAGGGTTCTCGTGATAACGCGCGGAAACGAAAGTGTTACAGACAGAAAGAAATACGGACGGACAGAAGACCCAAATTTATATCACCCACTTTCAGTGAAAGCGGGGGACAAAAAGAGGAAAGTGCATCAATCTACATGTCAATATCTTTCATGATATAAACTCATCATTTTTTTTTATTAAATTTTATCTGCATCTATAATTTTAGAAGAAATGCTTAATTTGGCAAAAGTTTGGATAATGTAGAGTATATCTTTATCAGAGAAAACTTCAGTGATGTGGTGTTGTGGGTAACCCCCCTTTCACTAAGCACTGCGGAATATTCATATCGGGATCGAGAGACAGCCGGAAATTTTAGGACGCCATCTATGCGCGCTAAAATGTTTACATTAAAAAAGGAAAACAAATGATCAAAATCGACACCTAGATAATTGCAAATGCAAAATTTTCCATCAAATAGTGTAACATAACAAACTGACAATGGCAGGATACCTAAAGTATATCGAAGTGGACAATTTTAAGTCCTACGTAGGTCTGCAAAGAATTGGACCCTTTGATCGCTTCACAGCAATTATTGGACCTAATGGATCGGGTATTTAATTTCTTGTGTAATTTTGTATAATTGCTTTTCCTTCTGTATAAAGATGTTATCATTGTAAAGTGAAATTGCAGTGTAGGGAAAACTGATGTATCTTATGCCAGATGTTGGCAAAATCATCTGTATCATCAAATGAAGATGTTTGGTTCGAAACAATAAACTAAGTGAATTTTTACCATTGCAGGCAAATCCAACTTGATGGATGCGATCAGTTTTGTACTTGGAGAGAAAACATCAAATTTAAGATGCAAGAGAATGAGTGTTAGTATATAATCAAATTATCTTAATCATGCAACTGAATGAACTGATACCGTTAAACTTTAATCTCTACATTTTTTTGTTTAAATTACAGGATTTAATTCATGGGGCACCAGTAGGAAAACCAGCTGCCAACAAAGCATCAGTCACTGCAGTATATGTAAACTCAGCAAACGGGGAGGAGACGCATTTCACACGGGTCATTCATGGTTCTTCATCTGACCATAAGGTCAATGGAAAGGTAAAAGATGTCAGCAATAGTAGTAAGTTTATCTGTTGTCATGATTTTTAAAAGTGTCCTTCGCACTAGTTAATCTAAGCTGTTTTTTTTATATTTTGGTTGCATAAGCAAGAAAAAGTCTTTCACTGGCAACCAAGCTCCAATGATTTTCAAACAAATTTTAAAAGCGGCCCTTTTGCTTTTTAATCATAATGAATTATACATTACATAGATATATTTACTTTGTGGGGGGAAATATTGGGATGGATATTGGCAAAATTTTCTTTGTGATATATCACGATTTTTTCTCAAAAATATCACGATAAATCATGATATTTTTACTACAATTTCAAATTAATTTCCATAACATTTCTTAAAAATTGCTATAAAAACATAACTTTACTTTTTAATTTTTTATTTATTTGATATAAAGAATGTTTGGATGCAGTTGTTTAACTGTTTTCAACATTTTTTACACTTCCTGTGATTGTCATTAAATAGATTGAACAAATAAATTAATAATTTCTGGAATTTATAGTTATGTACTAAATACCAATATTTTAGTCTTCGTATCAAGATATGTATCACACAATAAAAAATTGCGATATACTGGTATAGCAATAAAATCGCACATCCCTAGGAAATATCTTAATACTTTCAGTAAAATTGACTAAGATGTTTGCATGAAAACAGCCTTATACGAGGGGTTATCAAAAAGTTCGTGGACTAGCGTCATAAAATTAAAACTGCTTAAGATACATCAATGAATTTTTAAACATTAAATAAGCATCTTCTTTTCTATATGTAAAATAAAGTATAAATCATAAGTTTTATTTTTTTAGTGAATCGTTAATGTTTTTGTAAGCAATATGGTATGTCAAGGCGGCGCAACCTCGAACATGACGTATTTTCTACCTGAGTGTAACTGAGAAAAACTCTTCTAAAATAAGCATTTGTCATCCGAAAATCCCATTAATTCACTCATGTGATATGACACAATTTTTCCGTAAAAGTTGCAATTTTTACCTTATTCTGTATATTCTGTGAAATTTTATCGTAAATTTTATAGGGAATGTCCAAACAATAAAGGGGTTAAAAAATGACGTTGAAAGGGGGAGGGTGTCATTTTACAACATTCTATACAGTTTCAGCCCTTGGAAAACCTGACATAGACTTAGAAAATGTTTAAACAGGCTACAGAGAAATAAAGTACATCCAGAGTACTTGTGTTTAAATACCAAAACAGATCAGCAAGAAAAGAGACACACGGTTAATGTCGATTTGTAGTCAGGGTGTCCAAAGTCAGACATGTCGAAAAGTGACGTTGATCATTGCTTGATATTGAACTCCGGCAAGAAAATTATGCTGGCAAAATCAAGCAAGGATTTTTTTCTATGTATAGATTTAATAATTACAATATTAATGCATTGAAATCAGGTGTTCATGACATTGTAAAGTCATATAAACAAGAAGGGTTTGGGTCTTTACTTTTCTCCAGAGAATCTCATCAAGATAAGTGCATTGAGGCAGAAGGAGCAGGTATTGAGAAATAATGACGTCGTCGGATGTCATGAAACTAAACGGCGACAGTGCCGGGTGATCATATAATGCCCTTTTTATTTAATGATAATTTGGCTAATTATCAACATATCAAGCTGAAATTTTTCAACACTTCTTAAACTTTTGTTGTTTTATGTTCCCTACAAATTTTGTAATCAACAACTACATAGTATTAATTTTATTGCATCAGTCCATGAACTTTCTGATAATCCCTCGTATGGCAGTTATTTTAAGGCATGAGAAACATCGGAAGTCTAGGTGGTCTCAATTGCTTCCCTACATAGTTTAAAAATTTAATTTTAAAAATATAATTTGATAAAGATAACCATTGTTGTTTAAAAAAATCTTGAAATATTGCAGAGTGTGACAGCTCAAGACTATGCCAATGAACTGGAAAAGATTGGGGTTCTTGTCAAATCCAAGAATTTTCTGGTGTTCCAAGGTACAGTAGAAAGTATAGCTATGAAGAATGCCAAGGAAAGAATGGCCATGTTTGAGGAAATTAGCAGGTATTTCATTTGAACATGATTTTATCAACTTATATAGTTTAAATATTGGTTGTATAGACATTTTTTTTCTTTCATTAACTTTTACATGTATTTCAGTACATGTATAATTGAAATGAATGCATTCAAAGAATACTGTTTGGGTATTTCTATAGGGTCAGTCCAGTATAAATATACAAATTTGTTTCAATATTGTTTTAGATCTGGTGAATTGAAGGAGGAATATGATAAAGCTAAAGCCGAGATGAACAAAGCTGAAGAGGACACCCAATTTAACTACCACAAAAAGAAGGGCATCGCTGCAGAGAGAAAAGAAGCCAAGATGGAGAAAGATGAGGCCGAGAGATATCAGAGAATTAAGGAACAAATTGTAGGAGGCTTCTCAAAAGTTGTACTGTAGATATTTAAAAAAAGAAAAAGAGAAGAAATTTAGTAGAATACAAGTACATTTATACATATTGCAAAGTTAAACACAGCTAAATTATGTAGCAATATGAGAGGGTAAAAATTTAAGAACTTTAATTTTGATTAATAACTTTTATTTATCTTCCTGTGTATTATTTTTCAGGCAGAGAAGCAGTTGGAGTTGCAATTGTTTAAGTTGTACCACAATGAAGCTGAGATTGATGAGTTGGCAGATGAATTGCAGAAGAAGACAGCTCAGGTGGAGAAGGAGAATAGAAAGAGAGAAAGAATTGAAGATGAAATAAAAGAGAAAAAGAAGGAGCAAGGAAAAGTGGCCAGAGAATTAACCAAAGTGGAACAGTCTATCAAGGAGTCAGTAAGTGGACAGCTAAATTGAATTCTGTATAGCTGGCTTTGCAGATGTACATACATATAATTGATTGAATTCAGGCCCAAGATAACTTCTAACATGAAACAGAATATGATAATTTTGAAAGTTGAAATCCCTTTCTCCATTCTCTTCTCTCAATGTATTTTGCTGTTTGAAGTTGAAAGGAGATTCCTTGAACATACTTGTATACTAGTGTTATAACATTTCTATAGTAGTAGATCTTTATGAATAAATTTGCAAGGATAACAAAGTTATACATGTTATACATGGGAAACCATGTTAGCTTACATGAATTTTGATATTATAGGAAGTGGAGTTGAATAAGAAGAGACCACTGTACATTAAGGCCAAGGAGAAAACTTCCCACATGATCAAGAAATTGGATGCCGCTAAGTAAGATTTCTCTTTCAGCTTAATTGTGATATTCCATAATGTTTGGATAAAATGTGTGCAATTTTCTTCATTGAAAATTCTCATGATATTAAACTACATATACATGTATTTCTTTGCATCAGGAAATCTCTGAAGCAAGCAAAAAAGAGCCATGAGAACCATGAAACAGAGGTAAACTGGGAAAATTGAGCGTGGACTTTGGAACTAAATAATTATCTTTGAAATGAGATCTTTAAAAATTTTAATGATAAATGATGCTTACCTAAAAATGCTGAATTTTTAAAATTTTGATAAGATCCATGAGATGGAGAAGGAATTGGAGGAGGTAGAAAAGAAACAGCAGGAGTTTGAGAACCAAATTGAGGAGGAGTCCCAGTCCCAGGGGAGGGATCTGGACCTTGAGGAAAACCAGGTAGGCACGATACAACTACATTTAGATTCAGTCCAAGGAGTGAAGTTCTGAACCTTTTTGAAATATGGAAGAAACTGTATTTCTTTTCTCTTTATTTTCTTGTTCTTTGTTTTCTTTGTACATACATACATGTATATAATTTGAAATCATATTCAAGACCAAGAAAGGAAACTGTTGCCATAGGGAAAATTTAGAATACTGTTTGTTTCTTTAAAAAAGAAAAATTTAAAAATATACTTTTTTTGGAGAAAGGAAACACTGAAATTTAGTGTCGATAACTGAAATGTTTGCTGAACTCCTCTTCAGCTTCAAGAGTATCATAGACTGAAAGAAGAAGCGGGTAAGAATGCTGCCCGATACATGCAAGAAATGGACTCCATCACCAGAGAGCAAAAGTCTGACCAGGATCGCTTCGACAATGAAAATCGTAAAAAGAATGAGCTGATAGCAAAGATCAAACAGAAAGAGAATGAGATGGAAGAAAACAGGAAGAGAGTGGAGAAATTAGATGATTACATCAGGTTAGTTAGAATTGTGAAGAGATTGATCGTGTGTAGGCCTACCATTCGATCTCTGTCATTGTCCAGTTGAAAGACAAAATTGTACATTTACCTGTAAGTTGAGTTTCGTTTGTATTATGTTCCATGAAATATATTCTGTGTCTAGATTCTTTTTAAAGTTTGTCAATGACAGAAGATTTTTTTAAAACGTTTGAACATAGGAAATTTTTTTTAAACCTTACCCCAAGGTCATTTTAGATAGAACGGATTATCAATCCTTCAATGTTAAATGTTCTTTGTGAGCATCATATACATGTACATCTTTGAATGAAACATCTTTTCTTGCCATCATTTTTTTGCACTGAATACTGGGGGGAAATTTCTCAGCACTTATAGAAGAGTGAGCTAAAAATAAATGCCTTTGATATTTTACTTACACAGGTCCAGTGAAACAGCTGTTGCTGATCTGAAGAGGTCAGAGGCAGAATTATCTGAGCAGGTGGAAATGGCAAATGTTAGAATCGGGGAAATTAATGAGGAAATGGCCTCCATCTTAGAGCAGCTTGGAGAAGCTAAAGTAGACAAACATGAATCGTCCAGAGCCATAAAAAAGAAGGAGCTGCTGGAAAACCTTAAGCGTCTATTTCCAGGGGTGGTCAGTATATGAGTTAGAAGTTAGACTGTTTTTTTTTACCATTCTGTATCCACTAATGACTGTTTTTTAAGTGATATACCTCATATTAAGATTACCTTTATGTGACATATTTCAATAGAATTTTTAAAAAATTGCCCTGTTTTAAAGAAAAGTGTATTGGAAAAAAAATTGCCTCATTATCCTAAGCCTGAAGAATAGGGTATGATATCCCATGATTTTAAATGCAGCATGGAAGACTGATTGATCTCTGTGAACCAAGCCACAAGAAATACCAGATAGCCATTACAAAGGTGCTGGGGAAGTACATGGATGCCATTGTGTGTGACACAGAAAAGGCTGCTAAGGACAGTATTCAGTATATGAAGGACCAGAGAATCGAACCCGAGACGTTCTTACCACTGGACTACCTAGATGTAAAACCTGTTAATGAAAAATTAAGGTGAGTCTGCGTAGCCATGTACAATTTTGCTCTGAATTTTTTTTAATATTTGTGTAAGTTATCTTTTTGCATATGATTATGTGGAGAGAGGAAGGGAGAGAAAAGATGTGTAAATTCACTGAAAGAAAAAATCTTTCTGTAATATCAGTTTATTTTGTTGTGAACATTTATCCATGTACATGTAACTTTGTAACTACAGAGAAATTCAGAAGCCCCGTAATGTGAAGTTGGTTGTGGATGTGATTCGTTATGATCCCCCTTCCATTAAGAAGGCCCTGCTGTTTGCCTGTGGTAATGCCCTGGTTTGCGAGTCTGTTGAGGATGCCAGATACGTGGCTTTTGGAACGCATGAGAGACACAAAGTATGGCAGTAATTTAATAGCATTTTAGGCATAGGTACAAAGATTGTTATGTTCTGAAAAGTGTGATTTCTTTTTTTCAAATTTTTACATCTCTTTTTTTCATGCACTTTCACTTTTTCAGTCCGTGGCTTTAGATGGAACTCTTTTCCAAAAATCAGGAGTCATATCTGGGGGTGCTAGGTAAGAAATCACAAAAATGATGTTTTAGAATGTAATGAGTTTGTGCCTTAGAAATAATACCTGTTATTGTTCACATTACACATTGCTTTTAAGTGACCTGAGGGCTAAGGCCAGGCGTTGGGATGAGAAACAGCTCGGTCAGCTGAAGAGCAGAAAGGAAAAGTTGACAGAGGAACTGAAGGAATGGGTAAAGAAGAAGAGGAAGGAGTCGGAACTCAGTACCATGAGGTCTCAGATCAAGGGATATGAAACTCGACTCAAGTACTCAGTTACCGACAGAGACAACTTGGTGAGTTAATGGTTTGAAATTCTACTGTTTTTGCAAAAAACTTGATTAAATTGTAACTTATGTTAGTGCTTTTTTAATCCTTTTTTTTAAGCTAAACAAGCAGCTGTCACAGAATGAGAGAGATCTGAGTATGTACAAGCAAATGTTGGAACAGTATGATGTAAGTACATGATTATTAGTAGATTGATTTTTCAGTTTTCTTAATAAGAGAATATGGATAGGGGAAGGGAATAAAGATTTTTTTTCTGTACAAAAACCCAGTGTTTTCAAATGATTTTCTCCACCATAAAATGTATAATTAGAAGGTGGTAGGAGTGTTATGGGCTGATATGCAATCAAAGGATGGGGAGGAGAGCATTATGAATCTCAATACACTTTATTTGCCCTGTTAATTTCTGATTGCTTTGAATAGAGCTTATGTTTGTAAGAGGGTCATGATTAATTGTGTATTACTATTTTTCAGCCTCGAATGCAGGAAATAGAGAAGAGGATGATGGAAAGAGGTCAGCAGATGAAAATACTGAAGGAGAAGATGAACAGGGTGGAGGATGAGGTGTTCCGAGACTTTTGTGTCATGCTAGGCGTCAGCAATATCAGGTAAGGGAACAGAGAATCAGACTTGTGTCATGCTAGGAGTTTAGCAACATCAGGTAGGGAACAGAGAATCAGATAGGTAAACAGAGACTTTTGTGTCATGCTAGGAGTTAGCAACATCAGGTAGGGAACAGAGAATCAGAAAGGTAAACAGAGACTTTTGTGTCATGCTAGGAGTTAGCAACATCAGGTAGGGGAGAGAGAATCAGATAGGTAAACAGAGACTTTTGTGTCATGCTAGGAGTTTAGCAACATCAGGTAGGGAACAGAGAATCAGAAAGGTAAACAGAGACTTTTGTGTCATGCTAGGAGTTAGCAACATCAGGTAGGGAACAGAGAATCAGAAAGGTAAACAGAGACTTTTGTGTCATGCTAGGAGTTTAGCAACATCAGGTAGGGAACAGAGAATCAGAAAGGTAAACAGAGACTTTTGTGTCATGCTAGGAGTTTAGCAACATCAGGTAGGGAACAGAGAATCAGAAAGGTAAACAGAGACTTTTGTGTCATGCTAGGAGTTTAGCAACATCAGGTAGGGAACAGAGAATCAGAAAGGTAAACAGAGACTTTTGTGTCATGCTAGGAGTTTAGCAACATCAGGTAGGGAACAGAGAATCAGATAGGTAAACAGAGACTTTTGTGTCATGCTAGGAGTTTAGCAACATCAGGTAGGGAACAGAGAATCAGATAGGTAAACAGAGACTTTTGTGTCATGCTAGGAGTTTAGCAACATCAGGTAGGGGAGAGAGAATCAGATAGGTAAACAGAGACTTTTGTGTCATGCTAGGAGTTAGCAACATCAGGTAGGGAACAGAGAATCAGAAAGGTAAACAGAGACTTTTGTGTCATGCTAGGAGTTAGCAACATCAGGTAGGGGAGAGAGAATCAGATAGGTAAACAGAGACTTTTGTGTCATGCTAGGAGTTAGCAACATCAGGTAGGGGAGAGAGAATCAGATAGGTAAACAGAGACTTTTGTGTCATGCTAGGAGTTTAGCAACATCAGGTAGGGGAGAGAGAATCAGATAGGTAAACAGAGACTTTTGTGTCATGCTAGGAGTTAGCAATATCAGGTAGGGAAACTGGGAATCAGCAAATCGGAAATCAGAAAATCAAGATTCAATACATTTATACAGTTTATGACTATTAGAGAAGAAATTAACTTATCATTGTAATAAATTATGATGTTCAAAGCTATTGTTGAAAGTATCTGTAGTGACATTGGACTTGGTCAAGAAAAAAAGTTCCTTTACATTGGTGTAAAAAGGTTTCCTCTGAAATTGCTGGATACTAGTTTCTTGCCACAGATGTTTTTTTTAAGTATCATTATTTTGGAAATTTGCAGTCTGTGTATACATGTATAAGAATTTAAAGACATATATATGATTAGCTTCTATAATTTGATTCTGTATATTAGACAATTTGAGGAAAGAGAGCTGAGGTCTCAGCAGGAGAGGGCTAAGAAAAGACTGGAGTTTGAGAACCAAAAGTTCCGCTTGCAGAACCAGATTGAGTTTGAGAGGTCAAGGGACACAATAGGTAATAGGAAACAACTGCACAGAGAAAAATCCAATTAATTTCAAAGAATGTAATTAAAAAAATGAGAAAGACATTAATGTTAAAAAAACATCTTGGTTGAATTATGTAGATGAGGAGGAGTGGGTAATTTAGTGGATTAAAAACACTTCATCAAGATTTGCACAAAAAAATTTTTAATTTCAAGCTTCATTTCAACACTTACTCTAATATTTTAAGAGTTACTGTTCCTGGCTGAGGAGTAGATATCCTTAAAAGAAGAGCTTGTGAGTGAAGTAGAATTTGTGCAATTAACAAGATTCCTTTAATTTCAGCTAATGTCAGGAAATGGGAGGCTGCTGTGAAGAATGATGAAAAAGAGCTAGAGAAGGTGAAGAATGACGAGGCCAGGCATATGAAGGTGAGAGAATATAGAGTAGAAACCAGATTTACTCAAAATAGGTTCATAGGGAACAAGACTTGATATGAGTCTTTTATAACCTTTATAAAGTCATGTTAAGGAACATAGTTAGGAAATACACTGTACAAGTTTTACATAAGCATGAATATAGTTTTTCATATCTTGATGATAAATGGAGACAGAATATGGTATGTTATATAAATATATTTTAGTGATGATTAAAGTCTCTCACTTCAACAGTGGAATAAAGAAAATTTGTTTTCATGATATTAAAAGAATATTTAAAAAACATCTTTTTTTTCATTTTTATACCATTAGATCATAGAAGAAGCCATGGATCAGCAAGAAAGAGCTAAGAGACAGAGAATAACACTAAAGTCACAGGTGGATGACTTAGAATCAGAGATAAATGAGATTAAAAAGCGATTGAACAACCAACAGAAAGAGGTGGCCAGTGCCCAGAAACAGATTACAATGGTAGAGACCAAGTTAGAACAGAAACGAGCTGATAGACACAGTCTACTTAAAGCCTGCAAGGTAAATCATGTAGGAGGGTGGTTATTCTGATTTCTACATGTATATGAATGGGTATTTTTACATTCTGTAGGTTGATTTTATGATTTATTCAGCATTACCCCTTTTGCTTATACATGTATTTCATCTTGTCAGCAAAATTGAAAAAAGAAAACTTGTTTAGGGTAGTACAGTAGTTTCTGCAATAGATTTCAGCTTTGCTTGCTAGAATCACATTCCTAATGCTTTGACATAAAAAGAGAAATTATGATCTAATGAGATATATTGTATTAGTGATTCTGTAATATTTTTTGAACTGGAACACCCCCCCCCCCCCACCCCACCCCCAGCCCTCCTAAAAAAATAGTATGTATAGTTTGTGATATGTGGCCATTGTTCCTAACAGATGGATGACATACGCCTTCCAATGAGGACAGGGACTATGGATGACATCAGTCGTGAAGACGAACCGTCCAGTCAACCAGACGGTGGTAGTCAGTCCACCACAGAAACACCACTGGACAGTATGAGTTCTCAGGGACAGCGTGCAATATACGCCAGGGAGGCACAGATACAAATAGACTACAGCTCACTGGATGAGGATCTTAAAGAGGTTAGGGAAAAAGTAATTACTGATCAAAGTGTGGAAAATTAAATAATTAATAACTACTTTAGAAGCATATTTAATAACTACTTCAGAAGCTTATCATCACCAGTAAAGGTATTAAAAATAAACACCATTGAATATATACCAAAAAATAATTGCCTAAAATTTCAGTATTAGTGAGGAGGGAAAGTAATTTTATAGAAATCTCATTTAATGATTTTAATGTACAGTATTTGTCTTTCATGTGTCTTTTAAAATATGAGTTTTATAAATTTTGTATTTGTAGTTGGATTCTCAAGATGATGTGAAAAAACAAACAGAGGTCATGACAAAAGCTTTAAGTGACATGAATTCAAACCTGAATCGAATTAATGCTCCTAATATGAAAGCTGTAGAAAAGTAAGTATTACAATATATTGATTTTATGAAAATCAATATATTGTAAATAAAATAAAGAAATTTATTTGGTCGATTCAGATAAATTTTGTGGACGAGCAGATTTAAAAACAGTACTATTAAAATCTTTCTTTACTGAGAATTTGAAAATGTATTGTTTCTATTGCCAAGGTTGGATGGTGTCAGAGAGAGATTCCAGGAAACCTCGGAAGAATTTGAGAATGCTAGGAAGAGGGCAAAGAGAGCCAAACAAGCGTTTGAGAAAGTCCGTAAAGAAAGATATGACAGATTCATGCACTGTTTTGAGCATGTGTCAACACGAATTGATGAAATCTACAAGGTTTGATGTCATACTGGTATCATTTCATTTATAGATTGAAATCAAAATTTCATAAAAACTATTTTTCAATTGTCAATGTAGGTTTTGATTCAGGAGGGTTTTAAAAAAATCTAGGCTCTTATAAGCATAGGTGAAAAATAATTGAAAATGGAAATGTTTCATGTACACCATACATATTGGTCTAAAAGTTTGTAAATTTGATGATGAGGGTAATATTTTCGTCCCTTCAAGATTTGAAAACAAACTATTTTTGAGTCAATTTTGATATCCAATATGACTGTATACTTGTTTTTTTATTGCAGGCTTTAGCCAGAAATCAGAGTGCCCAGGCTTTCTTAGGACCAGAGAACCCTGAGGAGCCATATTTAGATGGTGTCAACTACAACTGTGTTGCACCTGGTAAGCGGTTCCGACCCATGGACAATTTATCTGGAGGAGAAAAAACAGTAGCAGCCCTAGCATTGCTATTCTCAATTCACAGGTGGGTGAATCCTAAAGGTATTCATTGGGTTTGAGATTATACTATTAAATGTACATATACTTCTTAGTACTGTAGTAGTTTAATGGCAGAATTAAGTTTTTTACCTTGTATATCCTGTAGATATGAAATGCATGTACATGTATTTCCTAGAATTGCTAGTACAAAAAAATACGATGTAGATTTTATTTGATGTGTTATGATTTTTTTGAATTTTGCAGTTACCAGCCTGCACCCTTCTTTGTGTTGGATGAGATTGATGCTGCTTTAGATAACACCAATATTGGCAAGGTAAGTTTTTCTTGAAACCCTTCTTGTTACCATGATGAAATTATGTAAGTGTATGTTCAAGTTTTAATTTAAGGTAAATATCTACATACAATTGTACATGTAATTATTCATGTTGATAAGTGTCAAATGTGGAAAAGGCTTGATCAAATACAGCAGAGTCGAATGTTGATCTTGCTTGAATAATCTTTTGCAGAAATTTCACAGCAGTGTTTATAGCGAGATAAATCATTTTGTTTTATAGGTGGCTTCCTACATTTGTGAGCAGTCCAGGACCTCATTTCAGTGCATTGTAATTTCACTGAAGGAAGAATTTTATAATAAATCTGATGCCCTTATAGGGATATATCCAGAGGTATGTACAACAACTGTCTGCATAAAGTTGGACTTCATTTTATACTCATGCAAATTAAAGGTGTTCTCTACAAATTCTAAATTTGAAGAATGAGGATATTTTCCAGTATGTGGAAATTAATAGTCATTAATCTTTTACAGCAAGGAGATTGTGTGATTAGTAATGTGTTGACCCTTGACCTCAAACAATACCCAGAATCCCATCAAGACGAAGACGGACATCAGGGGGTCCATCGATGAATAGGGTCTACTACAGGCACATGACAAAATGCAGCTACCCATGGAGAGCCTCATACTGCCAATTTTGTTTGAAGGAATTCGCTTTACATTGACAGAGTTTTGATTTATAGGTGTACTTTTTGACATTAATGTGTAATTTTTTATCTGTTGTAAATTTAGAAAGTACCATCAAGTAGAACGATTTTTGTTTAATTCATGGTCTACACTACATTTATATCTTCATGGGAAATACATGTAATTCTTTGATGTAAATTTTTACTTTGGAATTCATTCATTCATAAATACGTGTTCATATATTTAACGTGTTATGATCTGAGAAATTTATCATGCATAACATTTTAGTCTTGCTTCTTTGTTGTATTTATATTACAATAAAAAGTAGAATTGTCATTAATATAGCTTATTTTTGGGCTTTGATGTTTACATATTATAATACATGTAAATACAGTCCTGCAAATTTTTTCAGCATTACAGTTTCTGCATTAAATTATCTTTCAGGAAAAGCTAAAACAAGACGGTGGTAATTTGTATACAATTTATATTCACATAAATACATGTAGGTCATTTATAGACATACAATACATAACAGTGAATTTTTCACAATTGAATTAAAATCTTCACATGATATTTGAAAGAAAAAAAAAACATTTGGAAATAACAAAAATATCACAGATTTCTTCATGAAATATAAAGATTTTGAATTGTAAAATTTCATTTCCTAGTTAAATAGTTCTTAAAACTTGTTAAAATTTCATCATATATCTACAATGTATTTGTGTTCTTAAGCCCTGGACTGCACAGGGACTTGTTGACCGCTAATGGCAGGACCATTTGGTTGGGTAAGCCGGTCATTGGCTTTGGCTCTTAAGTGTTCTGCCATTCCTGGCAGCCTAGAGAAATAGTTCCTAGCTAGCACATGTTTCTGTTGAACCTTCTGAATGAAAACTAAACCGTATCCCTGAAATAGAATAACGCTTGTGGTTAACATTCAACAAGTAGAGAATTTCAGCAAGAAATTTCTCCTTATGGTATCAAAAATCTGCATTCCTCATAGCATCATTATGCACAATGTAGCCATATCCAATTAAAGTTTTACTTTATAAATATGCATGAAATAATCTGGAGTTGCTATTGAATTCATGTAAATCAGCACTTTGAAAAAATTGGTGTTGTGCATGACATATTTACATGCATGTACACAACTGTTTGGATTGAACTGGAATGTTTTGCTATAAAAGTCTGAATGCACTGCACTTAAAACTAGAAGGAAAAAAAATCCACAAAAAATGAGATATACCTCCTCCAAATCATGGAGTCTTTCATGGGCAGCGGCCTCATCCTTCGTCAAGAGGATGCAGTTCCAGGGAGACCACTCCTGATGTTTGTCCCAGCGGGACAGAACCAGGTCAAAGATGTCGTCCCATGCACTCAGTATGCTCTGGCAACTCCAAATCTTCTCCACAAGGTAACGCAGATCCTGTTCCTGAAAAATAAGTGTTTGGAACACTTATCAATATGTTTATGTAATGCTAAAAGAGTTTGAGCTGGAAAATATATTTGGGCTTTAATTTCAGTCTTTCCAGACAAAATATATTTGTTCATGGAAGCGATGTCAAGATTAAAGAAGGCATTTCATTGATGGCAAAGAAGTTATCTTTGTTCTCTTTTTTTACCTGTAGGAGGAAGGCAATTCTGGAGCCATCGCTGTATCTTTCCTCCGCTCGCCGCAGCATTTTGAGCATGTATGTGTAAGTGCTGTAATCCTGTCTGGTTCGTGCATCATTGTCAATCTTTGTACATCTCTGGCACTTGCCAACAGTGCGAGAGTTGGAGGCGAGGGCAAACTCAGTCGAAGGCAGATACTGATTGCAGCTGGGACAGAAGTAGATGTTCTTGCGGAGGACAGAGGGATCTTGAGGCACCTTTAGGGAAAAAATGTAAGATTATTTTTTCATCTTGTATTTTTGTTCCCCTCAACATGATGTACCATGTTTTAAAATGGAAAATGTTTAGAGATAAGATACTTAAAATTTAAATAACAAGTGCAAACAGCTTCTAGAAAAATTTGTAAACAGATACTAGAGATTTTTTTACAAAGATTGCTTAGCTGTACCTTGAGCAATTTGGCAGCTTCTGGGTTGAATGTAGGTGTCTTGATGTACTGTAAGAACAAAGTAGAAATTCTTTTTCTGAGGCCTTCAAGATTTCCCTCTCGAACGCCTCTCATAAGTAGGTCAGCCTCTCTGTCAATCAGCTCAATGATTTCCTGAGTCAGTTTGCAGTCATGCTCCTAAAATGAAAAATAAAGAAAATTGCAAAATCTTTTTATTTCCCAGATCAAAGAAAACCTCTTAATAATTAATTAGTTTACTTTTACATGTATTCAAGTATCCACTGAAATAGCACATGAATATACAAAAAAAAACACTGTTCAATAATTACAGCATATGTATAACTTGTCCTGTGACAACATTTATTCTCAAAGTAAAATTTTATAAGATGCGAATTATTGCCATCTTATAATTTATTGCAATAAAATAAATAATATTTGTTATAGATTTTAATGTTTTAACAGTTAAGCAGGTATACTGTACCTTGACAGTGTGTTTGAGAGTCAGTAGCACATCCAGTCTTTCATCCTGAGTCAGGTACTTCATGTTGATACTGTTGTAGATGTCCCTCAGCTCTTTGGCTCGGATTGTGTAGGGGGTGTCCATCTCAGTAGTCTTACCATCGTGTCCCTTCCACTTCTTAGGGGCTGCAGCCTGTAACACAGTAGAAACAGTTGAGTAAATTTTCAAAAGCAGAAAAAACTTTTGACATAGACCTATAAAAATTGACCATACATTTTGAGGGAAACCCCCCCCCCCCAAAAAAAATCTTCTAGATATGAAAAGACTATGAACATGATTTTAAGGGAAACACAGATTTTAAATAGAGTAAGGTATTCCATTTAAATTTTTAACTCAGCATTCTGATTGGTAAAAATTCTAGCTTATGCCTTGCCTTGCTTAGGAATGCCTGGATACGTTTCTCTTTGTTTTCACTGTCAGCCTCCAGTTTGTGGCGACCAATAGCTGAGATAAGCTGGGTCTCCTGATCCAGTAACATACACAGAGCTGCTTTACGCTCAGCACCCTCAGAAGTTCCATTGATCCTCTCTAACTCCTCTTGTCTCCATTCTGTAATGGAACACAATTAAAAGGTGTTTAAAAAAAGCAGAAAGAATACTTTCTTAACTTCGAATTTTTCATATTGATTATTTGGTTACAGAAAAATATATTCAAAAGATTTTTTTTAAACAATGATCTAAGTACATAGTTTATTTATTGCATGAAGTTATGTTGTCAAGTCTTACAATATTATGAAAATAGTAGTCTTCCTAAGATTCAAGGTAGCATAAATTTACTGGTACATAGCATTAAATTTAGTTCTATTTTATTTGTGGATCATTCAAAATATAATAATTAGAATTTCTGAGACTTATTAATCCCTTGACTTACTTTCCAGAGCATGATAGAGTAAATCAAAGTCCTCTTTTGTTTTGGGGTTCATCCTCCTCTCGAATTCTTTTTTGATTCTCTCCTCTTTTTCTTTCTTTTTCTTGAGTTCCTCTAGCCTCTCCCATTCCAGACGTTGGATTTTGTCTTGTTTTAATTTTTCCACATATCTTTTTGCTAACCACCTTCTGTGGTACTTTTGAATTATAATGACCTGGGAAAAAAAAAGATCGGAGGTTTTGTTAGAAGTATTTGTGCCAATTTTTCATGAAATTACAAATATATTTTACAAGTAGCTGACATTAACTTTAGACCTTCATTGTTGAAAGAAGACTCACTTTTTTGAAAATCATGCTATGATGCTCATCTGCAGTAGTGTATTTCCCAGGCACCATAAGTTTATCCTCCATATTGGATACATACACTCCAATCCCTGTCATCTGAGTAGACGTGTCGTTTGTCGTCTGCTGAACATGATGCCTCTGTTGCACTGTTTGGGTGTCTCGACAGTTTCTGGGGACTTGAGAAGGTGGAGGTTGTTTCTTGATGGTCTGGGCAGTGGCATGATGGTATAGGACCCCCGTTTTCTTGTGGCGGTATCCACCCAGATATGGCTTCTTTCTAGTGGCTCTTTCAATCTCCACCACCACATCTTTGTATGCATTCTCATCTGAAATCATGGAAAATATTTATATATACATTTTTTTCTAGATTTTTAATGTCTACTTATTTGATTACAATTTTATAAATCAGATTGTATAAACATTCTCTGTTTTTATTATTTTTTTTGGGGGGGGGGGGGGGTGTTGTTCCAGTTTTAATGGTTCCTGTGCTTTGTATAGTTCACTTGACAGAATAAAAATTGACAACATTTAATTACCAAAATTCACCAATATTTTTAAGTACCAAAAATCAATTCTGGTTTCAGAATAATCCATTTCAATCAAAAAATTTCATGTCAATCCTACATATAAGTATTGCTTAGTAAACAGCCCACCTGTTTGTACCCGGACTGTTATGACATCAGGCATGTGGTACTCTTGTCGTGGACGGTAAGTCTTGATGGGGGTGTTTACTGGATCAGCTGACTGCATCTCTAATTGGACTGTTCCATTAGGCCCCACCCCCAGATCTGCTAGAGTAGTGGTATCCTCGACAGCTTTTCCTAAAATAAAAATGGATCAAGACTTCAGGGACATTTCTAAAGGGTTTTTTTTTCATAAATAGTACTTCATATTTAAAATGATAATTTTCTAGTAAAACAAATAATTAGTATTTGTAGGTAAAATTTAAGATTTTTGTTGTTAATATATGTATCTGAGTTTATGAATGATACATCTGAGTCTGTAAATGATTTTACCATCAAACATCAGGAGTATGAGCTGTACAGGCATCTTAAGCTCCTGGGAGAAGTGGTCCTTCAGTTGATGTAGGGTTTGACCCAGAGTACAAGCCAGGGTCACCACCTGTCCACTGGGCATCAGTACTATCTTCACTAAAAAATGAAATTATCATAATGATTGTGAACTTGTGTCAGATACCTTTTTTTTGTTTATTGCAATTCTTACAGAAAACATCTTTTATTTTTTTTAATTTAAAAATGCCTTATGGCAATAATTTCATATGGATTGGTGAGATAACTTTATTAGTAGGTGGACTCTATGTTGAACAACAATTTACTTATTTCACATCATAAAGGTTTAACATATCACTCTGTTCAGTCTGTGACACCATTTTAATATTAATGTTTCTGATTTACTCTGTGTCAAAATTATTGTATGTCCTTTTGGATTCTAGATTTGGAGTACATTTTTGGCTTAACAAGACAAATGTCACTGGTTGAAAAAAGTAATAAGAGAGAGTAGTAATCAGTATGTATGAGAGTAAAATAAATTAATTCCATTTGAAGGGGATAAAATATGATGGCTATGACCTGGAAACCCTCTTCCTCAAAAGCAAAAGTGTCCCCATATTTTGACATCATATAACCTACAAATACTTCTGTATTATTCCTGTTGCCTGTTGAGCTTGAAGAATTTCAGTGAGCCAATGTCCTTGATAACTTATTTACCTGTTGCAGTGGCCTCTAGATTGGCTGTGGTCCTGGGTGTTGTGGCATGAGGGTCAGTCTCATGTCCCTCCCCGGTTTCCATTGTGCCCATCCCTGTTGTCTGAGTGGGCTGAGGAGTTGGGGCAGGAGCTTGCTACAATAGTAATTAGTTCTTCTGTAGAAGTCATTCATGATCAAATGTATGACCTTTTCTTGAAGAGAGTACAGTTGTTAGAAATTATCTCTACCTGTATTGTGTCTTCTCTGGGAGGTTCTTCCGACTTTTCAGCCCCCGTAGATTCTTCAGACGGCTTCTCCTCAGATTTCTTTTCTCCCTCTGGTGCAGCATCCTTAGATGCCTCTGTCAATAATAAATTTAAAATTACATCATTTGGTTTTATTGAATACCATAGATTGCCAATTTTTTGAGACACCTTATTTTCACGAGATATTGTAGTTATTTGGTATTTATAAGCAAGACAATATTTTCATGAATTTTGGTTACTGCTGTATATAATGTTCAATAATACAAATATGTGTGAGAATGAAATTTTTGCAGATGGTGTGACATAATTATGCAAATAAAGTGATTGAAAAAATCTAGCAGATTTTGAATTTTTTAAACTTTGGTGGTCTGCTTGAAGTTAACACTGCTCTTTATCAAGCATGAGAGAATGGAATATTGGATGGAAACTTTGACAAAAATTTTTAGTCATTAGTCAATATCAACAATATCTTTCCATATCTTCAAAGTTTCCAAGTTTACAGAATTGTATCACAGTGTTTGCATTGGTGCACCTTGTACAATAAATGACACTTAATATTCAAAGCATATTATTACCAGTGCTTTCTTGGGTGACTTCCTCTTTGGGTTCCTCCTTAGCTTCTTCCTTAGCTTCCTCTTTCTCTTCCTTAGCTTCCTCTTTCACCTCTTCCTTAGCTTCCTCTTTGACTTCTTTTTCTTCCTCTTTAGGTTCTTCTTTTGCTTCCTCCTCTTCTGCCTTCTTCTCTGTAGTTTCTTCCTTTGCCTCCTCTGTAGAATTAAATTAAAACGATTTTTTTTTAATTGCATGTATAATATGACTCAAACAGTATAAATCTTGCATCCTCATTGACAAAACCTAAAGTTATGGAAGAATTCTGAAATAACATGATTAAAATCAAAAACTTCACTATGGAACGACGTAAGTTGGAAATGTGGTAAAATCCTGTAAAGCCAGAAAGTGTATATTATAAACAATGGTTGATTGAAAAATTTTCATAACCTGAGTATATTTGCATCTACATAGTACAGCGTTCCATCAAACCTGATGATTATACGCTGGCCCTGCGCAAACGGACCTCTAAATTTTAATTTAAAAAGTATAAATAAACTAAGTGCTATGGAAAATATAAATAAACTAAGTGCTATGGAAAACAATTTACATTGTGCATGAAAAAGGTGTATATCTATATATATATAATATATTTGTAATTTTATCTCAGAAAAACAGAACATTTGCTCAACTTAAGAGAATGAAATTCCAATGAGCATTTTGGTAGCTTTATTTCTTTAACAAATCATATGTTATTTGCTCTCTAAGAGTGTTGCATGATATGTATTTTTATGTCCAATTATAGATCTATACAATAATACTTCACACCAATGTGCTAGCATTGTACCTGCAGGTGGTGCAGCTATTGTTTCTTGGGTGGTCTCCACCACCGGTTCAACAGTCTCGGGGGCTGCTGGCTCCGCAGCTGGTGGTGGCTCTGTTACTTGTGGTGGGGCATTTTCAGGAGCTCCCTGATTTGTTTCCTCTGTGGTTTCTGCCACTGGAGCAGGAGTTTGTTCTTCTGTTTTTTCCTCAGCTGTTTCTGTTTTTTGTTCTTGATCTGCCATGATGTTACTTAGACAGACTTTAAAAAACAGAATAAATGCACTGACTTAGTTGGTTAAATCAGATTACCGGTATAATTATTTGAAGCTATGCACGCACTGAACTGTACAAAATCGGAGGGACGTCCGACCCAACTTTATTTTTACAGACCATTCTGATACAGCTCTGCAGCTAATGATTTATATGACAATCGGAATATATTTAGCTACAACTTCAGAATGGAGATTTTGCAAAGAACTTAAATTATCATTTACACACATGCAAAACTGGTTTTGTATACTTCTGTTTATTGCTGGGTTTTATCGGATAAATTTGTCACCTGCAGAAAAACTAACTGTTGTAAAAATAAAACAAAACTTGGAATACAGTTTTATTTTTTTGTCGTTGAGAGTTTAGATACAAATTATAGTAAATTTACTCTGTGTTTAGGGAAAATACATTTAGTAAAATGAGTGAATCTCGTCAAACTTACCATACAATTACTACCTGCACTCAGATTACTGATCCGCCATTGAGGTTGTTTTCATGACGTCTTGGTTACCGAAAAATGAACCGACAGGTGAAGAAACCCGCTTTCTCATTGGATAATGTGCTTCGATCGACCAATCCCAATACACGTAGCAATTGCCCATGGACATTTACCGAGTAGCTATTCCACTGGGCCATAACAACACACAACTATAATTTTTGAAGAAAATTATCACATTTTTTCAAAGAAAATGTGATGGGAAGGCTCATGGATTAGTTTATTTCAACAGTGAGAGTTTTATAGGAATTCAAACAAGCGTTTATTGGAAAGGTAAGCGGAGACAAAATATATTTATGATAGTTTCTATGCGTGTTACTGTTGACCATGGAAAATATGGTCCCAGATCACATACATCATGTACATACGGTGCAAAACTGTCATTTCGGAATTTTGGCTTGCAAGGTGGCAATTCGGTATTATTGTATTTCGATTGTAAACAACCTTATTCACATACTACAATGCAAATAATTGAATTATTGAATGTTATATTTAGTTATTAAAGTTGTCGGTTACACAATAGGCCTACATGTATTTAGTTTTCTCATAGTCACTACTTCCTTGCAATTTTCAACTTCTTTTTTATAAGACTGAAATTGTGATAAATGGTTAAGGGATCCATATTTTCAAACGGGTAAAGGATTTTTAGAGGATGGAGGGGTGCATGTTAGGGGTCCAGAGAAAATGTACAGTGTACCTTCCTCTTAATTTATTTTTTTTTGAATGCAGAAATATCAAATGAAAATTCACAATTTACTTAGTGGTGTTTGATGAAGTGTACATATTCTTTTCCCAAAATTTCCTTCAGTGTATGAACCCCAGATCTTAAATTTGTGACATAAGAGATAAAATGTATACATGCATTTTTACACAAATCAGGCTTAGGTAATAAATATTGGAAAAATGCCATGTAACAAGTCATTTATATTTGAGGGTTTCTTAATTGCATCAAAGTTTAAACAAAGTTTTAACAATTAAGATTGTGCATAACCGTTTTGAATATTTATATAATTTTTTTTTTATTTCATGTATCTTTGAAAGAAATTTGCAATTTTGTCACTTTGGAAAGTTACATATTCAAGCTAGACTCTGTGTATTTTGTATACAAGTGTGTTTCAAAATTGAAACAAGAAGTCTAGATATGTAAAGATTTTTCTTTTATTAATGCCAAATAGAAAGTAATTTAAGCTAAAGGTATTTGCTTTATAAATTTTAGATGTCTACGGCACCTGTGCCACCTATAAATGGCCATCAAGGCACAAATGGAGTTCTAAATGGAGGAACACCGAGAGAAAATGGAATATCTAATGGAACAATGAATGGAGAAACCCCCAGAAGCAGGGGCAAGCTGGGAGGGATAGGACCTGATGGTTATCCTCGTCTACCCCCCATAACCAAACCAAGTCAAAGAGTTGACGACCCCTATGCCAACAGCAAGCTCATGAAATTTAGACTTGCCAATCACAAACAAGCAATGTTGATGAAGATTTTGTAAGTTTTTAACTCAAGTTACTAGCATTTATTTTTTAATGATAAAAAACAAAATTTTAGAAAAGAAAAAATAAAATGTAATATTAACTTCTTAATAATATAAAATTCAAACATTGAAAATGAATGCTAAAGAAGGGTATTTGATATGCCTTTTTTCCCCATATTTCCTTTTTCTGAGAATTTTGAAGATTTTTAAACAAAGAGAAATTTTCTTTTTCACAGACATGACCAAGCAGAAAAAGACTTATTGGACACAGAAGAATTCTGTGAGAAACACCCAGATAAAAATGCTAACCCAGATTATCCTCAAGAGGTAGGGCAAAGTGTTTTTTCCTAACCGAAGTGTCCTTTCAACTCATTTATGTTAATGCAATTGGGATAGGACTTTTTCTTTCACTTAAACTTTGTTAAATGACCATCCAAAAAACTTTGATTTCATATGAAATTTATATGCATGTTAAGAGCCCATAATTTGGGAAATACTTTATTCCTAGTGTAATACATACTTAGATGCATATATTCTACAGAAATGCCCAGGAAGTAATAAGTTGGTCAGTAAATTTTTGATCTATATAAAGCTTACCTTTAAAAATAAGGCATGGACATCTATTAAAAAGGAATTTGTACAATATTAACTTACTTTCAAAGTCATGAAACTGGCTGTTTTCATGATAGATGCATGGAAGTGTGGAAGAAAATGATGCTGATGTGTATCATTATTAATTTAAAATCTACAGTATAACATGGTTTTTCAAACATTAAAAACAAAAAAAAAAGATTAGTGTTTGATAGAAATTGGCCTTGCTTTTACGATAATACGCATGGTGCTGATGTATATTACAGATGATGAGTAAGGAACGCAGAATAAGGGTAGGTAACTCTGGGTGAATTTACAATGTTTGTTGCACTGATCAAGTATATCTTTACCCGGTGGTGGTTTGTTCTTGTAAACTTTTTGTAGCCTTTATGCTTTTATGTCTACATGTAATTTTTTCTCTTTCTTTTTCTTTTTTGCATCTTTTTGATATTTTCGTGAAATCATGAATCTTCATTAGATGCCCAGACTTTATAGGGGAAAAGGGTGGTTGAAATGGTATCATGGACAATCCCCCAAGATAATCAGTTCCTTTTAAAATTTATTGTCTGAAAGAAAAATTGTTTGATCTTCAAAAATGTCCTTCACAAGATTTTTTCAAGAAAATCTACAATTATAACATTTTAATGATGATGTATTGTTACAAATTGTTGTTATTTTCTCTCTTCTTTTTTTGCTGCATAATTTAGCTTCTTATAACCAAAAATATCCAATCTCTCCACTTTAGTCTGTATTCTGCACAATATATCCTACATTTACTATTAATACATTTATAATACATGAAATTATACAAATTTTCTGCTGTGGAAATGTACCCTTTGTACAGCAGAGAACTTGTTTATTTAATATTCTGTATTTTGTTTTTTTACAATGTCATGTACACATGTATTTGTATTGCCAAATTTGTATTTGTTAAACTTTCTGATGTAATGTATTTTAAAAAAAGGTAAATAATATCTAGAATTGGCAGAAAAAATGCAAAGAAATGTCATAGCTGAATAACATGTACATCTAACATGTCTTACATATCAATGCTTTGTTTTGCAAAATTTAGAACATATACAGCTGCATATTGCCAAAGTTTTAGGTATTTTATAAACACTGTACATGCTGTTTTGTAATGCATTTAACAATCATCTGTACATGCTTGTATCAAATCTGACCTACCTGGGATTTAAATCAGGTGGAATATGGCCAATTCTTAAACCTCATGCAAACTGGAAACTTTCCAGAGTGAGTCACAAAAGACATAAACCAAATTAGAAGATTTTTGTATTTAATTAATTTAGTCTCTTTAAGTATGTAAGCTTTAATTCCTCAATATTTGAATCATTGGAAATATTGAAGTGGGGTTTCCCTTCATGATATATGTACATAGCTATTTCAGAAGTTAGAGAAGATGATATTGAAATCCAGAATTTAATTATGAGTTCTAACATAAAAATTTTGGACACTTTAAAGTAAATAAAGTCTTTAAAAATAAATGTGAAAACAACATTAATGAAATCTCATAATGATCTCCCATAAAATGTCCATATTTTGTATGTGTATATATAAGCAAATGTTTGAGTACACCACATTATTTTATTTTTTGGGGGGTGGGTGGGTGTATTTTGGCAGTTGAAGAAGGTGATAATTTACATATATTTCTTTCTTCAAAATAAAATAGCAGCAATCCACACATCTTTTTTTTCTTCATTTATTCTTATTCTTCACAATATGCAGTTGAATTATCAATACCTGAAGAAATGTGTGGAGGCAGGACCCGTAACTCCTGTACAGAGGCACTGGAATGACAACATTCTACAGATGGTCCCCGAGAAACTGCAGCAGAACCCCGCCCTGCAGGCCTCTATCAGGGACCTGTTTGCAGAGGTCAAAGAGGATTACAATTCCAGCATGAAAAAATCTATGGGTAGGGAGATTTTTTTATTTTATGAAATCATCGCCTCTTAATTTCAAGGAGCTTTAAGACAAAAAAAAAAAAAAAACAGACGAAGAATTGGTGCTTCATTTTTAGTACCTTAAAAGGAGGAATACGATTTAAAAAGAAGAATTTATCCATATTATTCAATCAAGTGTAGTCATGACTTTAGTTGATTAATGTACTATTCTATTTATAAGTGCAACATGTACTGATAAAGCCAGAAGTGAAAGGATTAGACAATGATGTGGCTGGACCCCCACCATCAGAACCGAGGTAAGTCTAGTCAAAACCAAATGATAAGGTTTATTACTCACAGTTTGAATAAATTTCTTTTTATACATATTTATTACAGTGTAATACTATCATACTGAAGCTCTCTAAATGTAACTGCTTGTTTTAGAGCAGTAGATAATTTGTAGGAGCTTGGGGGAGGGATTACCAGTACATGTATTATATTTGAATACCTTTGATTGTATAAGTGTCATACATATCAAATATGCATGATTAATTATTTATTTTTATATTTCATGTTTTTTATATGTAGTGTATAAAGAAATGCATTTTATTGAATGCTCTCAATGTTTTGTGATAATTTTTTTTTTTTATGTCACTTGATATTTTAACCACATATATACAGCATAAATATTTAAAATCACATAAATTTAAATGAGTTTAAATCCATACACTTTCACTTTGTGTTAATGATACTGAATGTTCATTGCAAGGCTTACATTTCTGCAAAAGAAGTAAGTTACATGGATAGTTCAACCAGAACTTCAACTTTCAGTTCAACTTTTATTTCAACTGGACATTTTTCCCCCTTGAGTTCTATTTCTGTAGATTATCTTGTCACTGAGTTTCTTTTCAGTTCCCTTGTATTGCATGACCAATGTTGAATGAACTAGTTGAGTTGATGCAGATCTTTTGTTTTTCAGTCATAGTTTAAGCCTTGATTATTAGATTCATGCATCCATTTTGTAGTCTTAGTACACGATTGTGTATATTTCTGTTTAGTATACTTTGAGATTTGTATTGAATAATTGTACATGTTAAGGAAATAAATGAAACACAAAATTTTCATCTAGATCATCATAGTTTATGATTTAAATAATATCTAGTGACTGAAAATTCAATCTGAACAACAATTACGAACAAGTAAAATAAAGAAATTAACAAAAAATTCTAACACATTTATCCGTCTTCAATATGAAACAAAAATTGATCATTTTTTTGGCTCACATAAGAAACCTATTACATTATGTACCACTCAAGTTCCAGCTTTTAGTTTAAGGGTAAAGATATTTACACAAATAATGAAGACAAAAACTCTCCATATTTGTACAACAAAATCTTTTATCTGAAAACTGTAGCGATTTTGTTTTGATTATGATCATTGGTGATTCACACAAATATAGTAAAATTTCTGCCTTTATTCCAGTGGATTGGACTACTCTCGGCCGTGGCATGATAGTTACGTGGCATCCAGGCTGAGCATAAAAGAAAACCTACACACCCTCCATCCCTCTATGCAGACTGTACTGAAGATGTGTCAGTCTACACTGGGCAACATGATATTGGTGGACTGCTCAAATTTCAGGTAAAAAGAAAATGGGGGTGAATGGAGGGGGGGTACTTGTACCTGTATACTGATCTGTCAGAATTGACACAAAATTGTTTATGTATACAGCTGATTCTGTGTGTTATAATTGGAACTTTTTTTGATTATTTTCTAAAGAACAAAATTGAATTTAAAACAAGATGAAGTACAGAAATTTCCTACTATACATTCAAACTAGATTGAATTTCATTTGATAAATACAGTATAGTTTCAAATTATGATTTAATTACAAATTAATTTAAGGAACAGATTTGAATGAGAAATTGTTTATAGCTTATAAACAAGCTCGGATTTTAATCTGGATACTGAATTAAAAGAAAATTAATGATTTTAAGTTTGAATTTGAATTTTGTAAAATTTGATTACAGAGCCAATGGACCAGTAGAATTTGAGTCCTTTAAGAACACCCTTATTCTGGACCTAGAGAAAACAGAAGATAAACTGAACAATAGTTGGTTCCCTGGCATCATCAATGTCTTTGCAGACAAGAACACATTTGTTTCACCCAAGGCTGAAAAACTGGATTCATTCTTTGAATGTGTGACAACACTGATCTCAAACCAGGTAGAGTCTGTTTTTCGTTTGTTGTTGTTGTTGTTCAACCTTCACCACTGTAGGAGAATTGTTCCTTGCTTTCAGAATACTAAAAAAAACAACATTTTCCTACTTTCCTACCACAATTTTAAAAAAATCTGTAATTTGTGGTTGTATAGTAATCCATAGTTTGATTTCTCTCCCAGCTGAAAGATTTACTAGTGAGAACCATTGACAGTTATGTCACACTGTTTGACCCGAATGACAAGTCCAAGCTTCCCTTGATGAAGATGGAGCTGACGTTTGATGACCAGAAGATGCAGTTTTATCCTCCAAAAGAGGATTTGGAGGAAACTGTCCTCTTTGTGGTCAACCATATCTGTAAGGCCATGCAGCAAGTGCCCACTGTCCAATCATGGTTGGCTGGTGGCAGCACTGTCAATCACACAGATGCCACTGTGGCTGAGCATGTGGTGAAAGCCGCAGTTCAGACATTGAAGGAGGCAGTGAAGAGAGAATTTGAGGGACCACAGTTACACCTAGACTCATTTGGTGAGTTAAATCATTTATGCTTTTTTGTTATGAGTCACCAAATTACTGTAGGAGCTTATGTAGTCGTAGGTTCTTCATTTGATCAAATTTTAAAAGTAAATAGACATGCAAACCATATTGGAAATACTCAAATAAATTAAGATGCCATTTAATTTTTACTAATCAATGATTTTGTTACAGTTAAGAGATATGACTACATTGTGAATGGTGAGGCTCTGAAAGAAATTCAAGAATATGTGAAATATGAGCACACATTTGCTGAGTATCAGAAGGTAAGAGCTTTTGCTTTACAGTAACACAATATGGATTTTCCAAAATGCAAGATTGCATTTTACAAAGACAGGAATGAGTTCTAATTTTCTGTAACACTGGTGTTTTATCTCTTGCAGCATATTGATAGATACAGAAACCTTGCAAGTGAAATCATGGGCCTGCCGAGTATTGAACACTTTGACATGATTCGTTTGGATTGTGAGGATTTGAAGCGAGGTTTGGCTGAGGCTGCTCGAGGACTGGCAGATGAACTCCTCAGGAAAGTATCAGATGACCACAGAGCTGAAAACAAGAGGCAAGTACAAATGTATAAGGAATAGTTTGTTTGTCAAGGGTTCACTGCAATTTGTTTTACATAATGATACTTGTCTTCTTGTAGTTAAAAACATTTTCAATAAATTTATTTAATAGTTTTGTGGAAAAAATGATTTTTTTTTTTAAATGTATCCTTGATCATTTAGCCTACCATGAATATCTGGATTTTTATATTATTGTAACAATGTGATGTTCAGAAATCCATCACATAACCAACACTCACCTACAATTGCAATCTGCATATTTTTTTAACCACAGATTGAACAGAAATTATGATTTTGCGTGATTGTGACCCAGTGGAAAAAAGATTGTTTTACAGTGTATGTAGAATATCAGTAAAACCATTTCATACCATACTTTAAATTTACAAAATGTTTCAATCATTTTTCAGCATCTGTGAGGAATTTCAGACCATCAGAGATCGAGCTCTGAAAACCCCCGACTCAAGTGAAGAGTTGATGGAAATGGTCAAGTTTACACAGGAAGCTAGAACCTCAGGAATGGTTAAATTGAATGAACGAATCAAGGAATCTAAGGATCGCCTGGCCTATCTTATTGATGTTTACATGTTCCCTCCAGAAGACATTGAATTGAATTGTGAGGTTCTGACTTGGCCAAAGAGAATCTCACCAGTCTTTGATGAGAACGATGAGGTTTGTTTTCTTGGAACTGTGTAGTAATGATTAATGTTTTTGTCCTTAAACTGCATGGGGTGTTTTAAGGCTAAATTTAACTAGATAAGGTCGTCCTTATTTGTCAGGATAAAACCTGACTATTTACATTTCTTAATGAATTGAAAATGAACTTGAAAACAGGATGAATAGCAAAACGTTTAAACTTTGAAGTGCCTTGATGCATGGCAAGAAGGGAAGTAACTCTTCATACCTAACCAACACTACTGATATTAATGCTTTTTTTTGGTTTTGGCAATCAGCTGATAGAGAAATCCAAACAAGCTGGAGAGCGCCAGTTATTGGAGAAGAGAGAGAAGGTCATTGCAGAACTGGAGAAACTACGACAACGTGTGGATGAATTTAATGATTATGGTGAATTGGACATGATGACCCAATATGTACAAGATGTCCGTGCTGTACAAAAGCGTCTGGCCGATGTACAGGAACAAATCAGCTTCATCAACAAGGTCAGTGGAAAGTTTTTTTGCATGATTCGTTCAAAAAAGAATGCAGGAATTTTAATTTCTTTTTTCTGGTGGAGGGGTGGGGGGAAGAAGATGCCTACTAAGTGAGTCTCAATACATAAGAGTGGATTTTTTTTAAGCATGCATTAAGAGAAAAAAACTTTTTATGTTAGACAATGTTTTAGGCATGTAATAAAAGAGACACAGTGGCGATAAAGTAATGCAATAAGAAAGATTTGTGTCAAACAAAATTATGAATGATTTTATAATTTGACCTTGATATGAGAGTAATAAATTAGAGCACACTCTGAAGTTTTTACATTGCTATGTTATTCTGAACTGACTTGTCTCTTATGCAGGAAGAACATCTATACAAATACCCAATTTCCACTTATCAAGCCGATGTGGATGAAATCACAAGTCAAGTGGAGCCATTCTACAGACTCTTCAATATTGTGCTCAAGTGGCAGAAAGCCGAGAAAAAGTATGACTTAACTTTCAGCCTTGTATGAGTATATTTTTTTTTAATTTAAAATTAGAGGAAAGAAATAGAACATATCTAAGATCATGAATTTAGTTGTTTATATGTATTTGGAAGAAGAGTAATAAATTTAGAAATAAGACTTCAAATAAAAATGTAATTTTCTGTGACTAGGTGGATGGATGGAGCTTTCATGGATCTGGATGCAGAACAAGTGGAAGGCGAGGTGGATGAGTACACTAGAGAGATCTACAAAGTCCAGAAGGTGTTCAATTCTCGTCTCAAGAAAATCCAGATGGAGGTGGATGATCGTAACCGTGAGAGAAAGAAGCGAAGGCGACATGCCGAGGAGAGCGGGCAGGAAATCGCACCAGAAGATCAGGATGAAGTTGTTGTTCAACCTCAGGGAATGGAGATCTGCACCAAGGTCCAGGACAGCATGAGAGACTTCAAGGTAGGAAATAGGGAATATTACCTGTAATATTAAATGATTTAGATAGATGTATTGTTGACCTTTTTTTTTTTAAAGGGAAGCATATGTATTAAATCGTGTTTAAAAGAAAATCTTTTTTGATGTGAACTTGTTAACTAAGTGATTAGAAGTGACATATTATTATGATTTTCATGGTATTTTTCTTCTGTATATGTCAGCATTTCTGTTAGTGTGAAAATTAATTTTCAGGAAAATGTTCCAATCATTGGTGTTATGTGCAACAAGGGTATGCGACCCCGCCATTGGTCCAGAATGTCCGAGCTTATGGGCTTTGACATTACACCCAATGCAGGAACTACTCTCCGTAAAGTGCTCAAACTGGAAATCGCTCCTCATATGGAGATGTTTGAGGGCATTAGTGCAGCTGCTACCAAGGTAAAAAAAAAAGATGATTTTTTTTAGAAAATATATTTATTAAAATATTTGAATTTTGAGCCCATGAATTAAAATTTGATAAAACTTTCTAACCCCCTCCCCCCATTTTAGAGAACATAATTTTGATTGCAAATACATAACCTGTAATTTGAATGTTTTTGTCAATTAAAAATATTTTGAACATTGATTTGACTACGTTAAAGCTAATAGACGTACATGAAAAATTACTTACATGAGCTAAGCCATTATGTAGTCTACACACTCATTGTCCATGAAATTAAAAACATTGTAGTATTTGATGCCAACTTTTGATTGTTATGTCATGTTATAGGAACATTCCTTGGAGAAGGCCATGGCTAAGATGATGGAAGATTGGGACACAATCAACTTCAATCTGATTGCGTACCGTGACACGGGGATCAGCATTCTGTCCTCAGTGGATGATATCCAGACCACACTGGACGATCAAATCGTCAAAACTCAGACCATGAGAGGCTCACCATTCATCAAACCATTTGAAACAGAAATCAAGGTTAGTGGGTTTATGTTAATCTGGTAAGTAGTAAAGAATGCAATTACATGTATTTTAATATTTGCATTTCAGATTTTAAACAAAGTTTTGTAAAAGATTTTAAAAAATTTAAAGTATGAAATTTTCATATTAAAAATTTCCTATTATAATAGTAGTATTCTACATATTTTGATGACTCTTGTTCACTGTTTCATGTCAGAATTACATATCTAACTGTAACAGATTTACTTTTACAACGCATTTGCTAATCAGGTGATATTTTGGGTGTTGATTACTAGGAATGGGAGGAGAGGCTCCTCAGAATCCAGGACACAATTGATGAGTGGCTGAAGGTCCAGTCTCAGTGGCTGTACCTAGAACCCATTTTCTCCTCGGAGGACATCATGCAGCAGATGCCAGAGGAAGGAAGACTATTTCAGATCGTGGACAAAAACTGGAAAGATGTCATGAGGCACACTACCAAAGACCCCAAGGTGGGTCAAACAATAGCATAGATTGCTTTTCCAATCTTGAAAAAAGTATTCAACTCCAAAAAGAAATGCTTGAATTAAAATATGCTAAGGAACATAATTCCTTTATTTCCAGGTGTTGGTAGCCACCAATCTACCAGGGCTGTTGGAAAAACTTCAAGACAGTAATGGTCTGCTAGATAAGATCATGAAAGGACTGAATGCTTACTTAGAGAAAAAACGTCTCTTCTTCCCACGATTCTTCTTCTTGTCCAACGATGAAATGTTGGAAATTCTCTCCGAGACCAAAGACCCACTTAGAGTGCAGCCACATTTGAAGAAGTGTTTTGAAGGCATTGCCAAATTGGAATTTGATAGTAAACTGGACATTCATGCTATGTTTAGTAGTGAAGGAGAGAAAATCAAGTTGGTACAGACAATATCAACATCCGAGGCCAGAGGGGCTGTAGAAAAATGGCTGCTGCAAGTACAGGATGTCATGCTGGCATCTGTGAGGGAAGTGTGTGCACACTCAATGGAGGTAAATGTTTTGTAGCAGGTTGCCTTGGATTCTCTATAGATTTTGTAGCAAATTTTAACTAGTAAATTGACCATATTTGAACTGACACTTACAATGAATTTAATATATCTTTTTTGTTGCTTGACTTCATTTAACAAACTTGTCTTTGATTACTGATTATTGATAACATATTGTGACAAACACAGAGATTTTTCCATGAATGTCCTCTTTTTTTGTGTATCTGGGAAATGTAGAAAGTGAGTTATACCTTTACAAAGTATATGCATGCTGTGTCAAAACACAGTTATTTTTTTTTTTTTTTTTTTGAATGATAAATAGGCACTACATGTTGTTCAATGCAAGATTTTCTGTTGTAATTTGACATTATTAGGAATTTCCTAATCATTGTTATTCAGGTCATTGTGCTTTCAGTATCATGGAAACAAGAAAAGTACAATTGAAGTTAAACAAAATTAAAATACCGTATGAAAAAATGCTAATTTTGTTATTTTTATTTTCAGGCATATGCCATTGAAGCACGTATCGATTGGGTCCGAGACTGGCCTGGTCAGGTAGTTCTGTGTGTGTCACAGGCTTACTGGACACAGGAGGTCCACGAGGCCATCAGAGGGGGCCCTGGGGGACTGAAGGATTACTGGGATAAACTGCAGGCTCAGCTGGGAGACATTGTTGTCCTGGTCCGAGGCAAACTCTCCAAACAGACTCGTACCACACTGGGAGCTCTGGTCGTCATTGATGTACATGCTAGAGATGTAGTGCTACAGATGGCTGACAAGGGTATGTTTTTCAGTTCTTTTTCATTTTATAACCTCCTTATTCATATGCATTTTTGATTTTCCTAACTACATATATAAGAAATGCAATCATATACCTTTCATTTTAAAATATATTCAGAAGGATAAGTTGAAAATGTACCTAAATCTCAAATGTCTGAATTTATGTTATTGGAAAGAACAAACACTTGTTGATTGTTTGATATTAAAATTTTGACTGTTTGAATTTACAGGTGTCTCGTCGGAAAATGACTTTGCTTGGTTGGCTCAGCTCCGATACTACTGGGAGGAAGAAAACATGAGAGTCAGAATGACCAATGCTACAGTGAAGTATGCTTATGAATACCTGGGTAACACACCCCGATTGGTCATCACTCCACTGACGGACAGGTGCTACAGAACTCTGATTGGTGCTTTCCATTTGAATTTGAATGGGGCTCCTGAGGGGCCAGCAGGAACTGGAAAGACAGAGACCACTAAGGATCTGGCCAAGGCTTTGGCTGTCCAGTGTGTGGTGTTTAACTGTTCTGATGGCTTGGATTACTTGGCTATGGGAAAAGTGAGTCATTTATATGTTCCTCATCAAAAAAGAATGCTTCATGTGCTGTAAAAACATTTTTCTTTTTCTTTTTTATACAGCTTTGTTTGATGATCAAAATAAAAGTAACCACAAGTTATGGTTATTTTTGTATACCCATATGATATGCTTAAATCTTTTGAAATGTACAATGGAAATATTGACTTATAGAATGTTAATGTACATGTATTTGATGGGCTGGGTTTTTTTTCTTCAGTTCTTTAAAGGTCTGGCTTCAGCAGGTGCATGGGCTTGCTTTGATGAATTCAACAGAATTGATCTAGAAGTGTTGTCTGTCATTGCCCAACAGGTAATTAATAAGTCAGCATATATTCATATAATAAGATGCATATTCATGAGAAGATGTCCAAGGAGTGAAGAAAAGAGAAATACAGCTTAGTCTGTCTTTACATATTGATGACTTTTCACTATTTGTTTGTTAGTGCACAAAGTAACAATTGAAATTAAAAGGATTTATAATTTTATATAATGTAATCTTTTTGCTTTTAGATTTTATGCATCATCCGTGCTGTGAGAGCTAAAGTAGATGTCTTCGTGTTTGAGGGCACAGAGCTCTCCCTGAATCCCAACTGTTATGTGTGCATCACCATGAATCCAGGTTATGCCGGTCGTTCGGAGCTTCCAGACAACCTGAAGGTGTTGTTCCGGACAGTGGCAATGATGGTTCCAGACTACGCCATGATTGCTGAGATTTCTCTGTACTCATTTGGTTTCCAGAATGCCAGAAATCTGTCAGTTAAGATTGTGACTGTGTACAGACTCTGTTCTGAGCAGTTATCCTCACAGTTTCACTATGATTACGGAATGAGAGCAGTAAAAGCTGTCCTCTCAGCTGCTGGCAATCTCAAACTCAGATTTCCCGACGAGGATGAGGATATACTGGTAGGTCAAAATAATCAATTCAATGTAAATTTGAATTTAATAAGTGGTAAAAAAAAAAAAAAAAAAATTAAACTCAGTATTTTATACAAAAAAATTGCAAAAACATTATTCATGTAAAGACATGACAAGATATTAATATTTCAGATGTGATAGCTATGATAATTTCTGAACAATCATTTGTTATTTTCAATTCAGAAATATAAAAAAGAAAATCTTTAAAATTGTATCTCAGCATTTTACACAAAATAATTGCAGAAAAGCCTTATTCTTGCAATGTCCTTTGACTGTTGAAATTACCTGATACATGTTATTGGACATTCATTTGGTATGAGACTTTGCTTTACATAAAAGGACATTCATTAAAGTGAACTATGTGATCTTGACCTATAAATAATTCTGTTTTGCAGTTGCTGAGGTCTATTATTGATGTCAATCTTCCCAAGTTCTTGTCTCACGACATTCCACTGTTCAATGGTATCACCTCAGATCTGTTCCCCGGAGTCAAGCTTCCTGAAGCAGACTACAAGGTCTTCTTAGATGCCATGATGAGGGTGGCTGCCAAGAAAAATCTGCAGTTTGTGGATTTCTTCAAAGAGAAACTCATCCAGACTTATGAAATGATGATCGTCAGACATGGGTAAGGGGGAATAATCTGGCATTTTTAGAATAAAATAGTGAAGAAAATATTTATGCATTGCTTTATGTTTTTTGCTATTCTGAGCCAGAAACTTAAGCAAGCTTTTCTGATCAAAGTCTGGCTGTTTTTTAAAGTACAGTGTATTAAAGAAATGTTTATTTTTGAAAAGTTCTTGAGGGTATGCAATGCCATGTAATACTTCTCATATAGACATGTTTCATAAAGCATGACATGTTCTATAAAAATGGAAAATATCTTACATGAAAGTTAGTTGGGGAATGAATCTTTGTCATACATGAATGCAATAACTATTTTTATGATTTGAATGCATTTACTGTGTACTGTTGTTTACTAGACCTCCTCTTTATTGACATTTCAGCTTCATGTTGGTGGGAGAACCTTTTGGCTGTAAGACTATGGTCATAGAAACACTCTGTGAGGGTATGACCTTATTGAATGAAGAGGGGCATGATGAGGACTATGAGAAAGTCCTATACCGAATCATTAATCCCAAATCCATTACAATGGGTCAGCTATTCGGTCAGTTTGACCCAGTTTCTCATGAGTGGACAGATGGTGTTGTGGCTAACACCTTCCGAGAGTTTGCTTCTACTGACACTCCGGACAGGAAGTGGGTCGTCTTTGATGGACCAATTGATGCCTTGTGGATTGAAAACATGAACACAGTGTTGGATGACAATAAGAAACTATGCTTGATGAGTGGAGAAATTATACAGATGTCAAATCCCATGAGTCTTATCTTTGAAACAATGGATTTAGCTCAGGCCTCGGTAAGTGTGATTCTTGTTATGTATCTTGTTTATAATGTTGCAGAGTAATATTGATAGAAAATGAGTCTGAGTTAATTTATCCCTAAAGCTGGATATTTTTCATGTATATATTTTTCTTCTGTGTCAAAATCAAACGTTAATTCTCCCATCCATAATACATGAACTATAAACCATGAGTAGGTATCTTTGACTGAAAATTCCGTCAATGAACAGCTCTCCATTTTTCCCTCTGTTTCAGCCGGCCACAGTGAGCAGGTGTGGTATGGTGTACCTAGAGCCCACGACCCTGGGCTGGAGACCAATCGTGAAATCCTGGATTGAAGCATTTGGAGAGATCATGGCACGGGAATGTGCGGAAGTCGTCCATGACATGTTTGAGTGGCTGATTGATCCTTGTCTAGACTTTGTCAGGAAAAATACGAAAGTATGATTTATAATGCATGCTTTAACTTAAAATTATAGGTATTTGGAGTACATTGTTAAATGTGTACTTTGAAATATACTGTCTTTTACATTTGAAAGAACTTGAAGGATAAAGGAGGTTGCAAAAAGAATCTTTTAGAAAAACTTTAGGGGGTAAAAAATCTTTGTATTGGACTACTAACCAAAATACTGTCAAATATGCTATCAACAATGTAATGAGAAATTGCACTACTAATTTGTAGGAGTATCTTGGGTCTAAGCAGGCCAATCAGGTTCGTTCTCTGATGTACATGATTGACATGTTGATGTCAGAGACCTTGAGCAAGGAAGATGCCAACGAAAACAAGCACATCAAGAATTACACCATGGTAATTTCCATGTTATTTACATTGGAATTTTTCTGTGAATACATGTTCATTAATCATCAAATATTAACACTGACAGTAAAACATATTTGTTTCATCTGTTTCAGTGCGCCATGATTTTCTCCATCCCATGGAGCATTGCTGCTGTTGTAGACAATGATGGCCGACAGAAATTTGACACATTCTTTAAGGAACTACTGGGTGGAAAAATTGACAGCTCTCCAGTGCCAAAATCAGTGGGCAAATTCGATGTCCCCATGCCAGAGGCTATGAACTGTTATGATGTCTTCTTTGAGGTAATTTTATTCAAAAAATACAATCCCCTTTTCTTTAATTATGAGATTCTATGGGCCACAGTGTTAATGTAATGTAAAAAAAATTCAGACAGAAAAATAATTAATTTTGATAACTTGTACTTAATAAATCATATTTCCCCATCTTTCAAAGTTATTTCTTGTTGACTTGATGTCTGTGAACATTAAAATTTTCGCTTTGAGGTAGATCACAATGAATATTTGATAAGATTTTTGCTTAAATATTCTCTTGCATATGAAGTGCTTGAACAAATTATTGCATAATTTGCATTTAAAGTAATATACATTAACAGTTTTTATTTACTTGAACCTTAGATGTTTTCATTATTATCTTCATTCATATCCATACTTTTAACAAGAAGGTACTTGTACCAGAGCATTTAGATTTGACCTTGAACAAACATCATTGTTTTTCTGTTTCAGTTTAAGGCCAGAGGTACCTGGCACCATTGGAATGACCTCATTAAAGGACAGGAGAGTAAGGCTAAGAAAATCCGAGAAATGTTGGTCCCGACCATGGACACCGCCCGATACACCTATCTGCTATCTCTCTGTATTGAACATGACAGGTGAGTCTCAGAAACTTAAAGTCACACCCCAGAATTATTTATATCTGTCAAGGGATACTGTGGAATCATTTTAATCCTGGGATGTGAGGGATGTAATGTTCTTGGGCAATCAAAATTTATAATTTTCAATACTTATATATGGTAAAACAGAACGTTGTAATGTATTTCAGACCCATTCTGTTTGTGGGCCCTACTGGTACTGGTAAGAGTGTTTACGTCCAGGACAAACTTATGAACCACCTAGAGAAGGACAGATACCTCCCAGCATTTGTCAACTTTTCCGCCCAGACGAGTGCCAACCAGACACAGAACATTATCATGTCTCGTCTGGACAAGAGGAGGAAGGGGGTATTCGGACCACAGATGGGGAAAAAGGCTATTATTTTTGTTGATGACCTTAACATGCCCCAGAAGGAGGTGTACGGGGCCCAGCCCCCTATAGAGCTGCTGAGGCAGTATATTGATCATGGATACTGGTATGTCTTACAGCTACCTTATATAAAAAATATTGAAAGTGCATGAGTTAAAATGCATCATGCAGATAAACTAGGATGAAAAGTTTCTAATGACTTGGAATTCTTCACTTATACTGCTTCGTAGTCTAGAAAGTAGTGTTAGTTAAAAGTTGATTTTAAGCTGTGCCTAGTTTTTCCCCCTTATGAATAGTTTTATAATTTTCATTAATGTATATGTATTAACCCTTAAAATCAGTAGTATAGTGACTGTTTCTATTGTGAAGGTTTGATACACTTTCTACTATGAATATTTGGTACACTTTTTCTTGAGCAGTGTATGTTTGTTTTAGGTATGATCTAAAAGATACCAGCAAAATAACACTACAAGATGTCCTGTTCTTGGCGGCCATGGGACCACCAGGTGGTGGCAGAAACGATGTCACCGCACGATTCCTACGCCATTATAACATCATTGGAATAAACCCCTTCAGTGAAGAAACCATGATTAAGATTTTCTCTATTCTTTTGACCACTTACTTAAGGGTACATTTTTTAATATGATTTTTATATAACTATTAGTATTGAACCCCTTTGAAGTACTTTTATCTCTCTGAATCATATGATGGCTATAATTCAGAAAATGTCAGGCAATTGCTGTTTCAAAAAATTTAACATTTCCTCGTTGGAATTTAAAACATTTATAATTTCTAAAATAATGGAGAAAAAGTCTCCATTCAAAAGGAGATTTAAGTGAACAAAGTTTATTACAGTCATATTGCACAAGATATTTGATTATCGTATTTTATTCAAGTTGAGCACAGTTAAATATTTCTAGTATTTACAAATTCTCATTATCTTGTTTACAGCAAGCAGAATTTTCTACGGAGTATTATGCTTTGGGTAATCAGATTGTAGCAGCTACCAATGACATGTACAAGCAGGCTATCGCTAACCTATTGCCGACACCAGCTAAATCCCACTACGTCTTTAACTTACGAGATTTCTCCAGGGTCATTCTTGGTATCTGTTTAATAAAGAAGACAGAGGTGGAAAGCAAAAGAACTATGATTAGGTAATTACCTTGTCTTTAATTTAGCGCTTAGATGTGTTAACTGTATTGAAACCAAAAGTTAACCCCCCCACCCACCCACACACACACACACACACCACCACCACCACCACCACCACCACCACAATTTATTCATTCACAATGTAAAAAAATATTACTAGTAAGTTAAAAGTGAATGTGTTAAATGACTAACAATGTTTTAGCATGGTGTTAGGAGATAACTCTCATATATTTTTTATATTTACAGATTGTGGGTACACGAAGTTATGAGAGTCTTCTATGATCGTCTGACAGATGATGCTGATCGAGCCTGGCTGTTTAAGTATGTGTTTGTTATGCAGTAACTTAAAGCTAGATTATTCAAAAACAGAAGCATATGTGGACATGTACTACATGCTTAGTATTTTGGTCCCTCTTTTGCTTTAATGCTTATCTGTTTTTAATTAGCAAATTTAAAACTGAGCTAATTCGATGAGACTAAAATATTAAAAAAAAAAATTGTTGTTATTTATTTTTTTCTGTTATACTTGTAATATATGGACATACACTACAGTTACTATAGGCATTAATTTTTCAATTTATTTACTAGTAATTCTTACACAATATTTGATCATGAGAATTTTTATTTCAAATTTAATGAATTTGTGAATTTTAGGAGCACTGGCAGTGTATGTAAGGAATATTTCAAGGAAAGCTTTGATGTCATCTTTGAACACTTGGCTGGAGATGGAACAGGCGAGGGCAAGGTAATAATTGTTTAGTAAAGAAGAATATTAAAATAACAAATTTTATTTTGATCACTGATGTTATTTGATGTATTGTTTCAGCAGTGTGTTGACTTTCATTTAGGTCCCAAGTTTATGCAAATGATATTTTTGAAAAAATATATTGTGTTTATAAAAGTATTAAATGCCTATTGTAAATATTGATCTTAATTATTTTCTTTTTTATACATTTTAATTTTTATCATTTAGGGTGTAAAGGTGAGTCTCTGTCATTTCTCATCCTCAGAATGACAAATAAATAATCTTTTTAATATGAATGTTAAGTGCTATAGCATAAGAAGATGACAAATAGATTTATTAATTTCGAAAGTTAGTTTAAAAATCTTTTAAATTCAAAATAATAACAGTTTTGTTTTTATGATAAAATTTTTTTTTTCTTTATTTTTTTTAAGTCTCTGAAAACAGGATTTTTTTTTCTATAATATCTATTATTTTTATGAAACCTCTATCCAATTAAGATTTACCATTCAAACTTTTTTTGATTGCTATTAATTAGCCCAAGGTAAGGCAACTGCTGTTCTCTATCTGTACTCTAGAGTGAGAGCTTCAGTAGATATTCTTAATGATAGTCAGCTTATAAATAAACAGAAATTTCGGAATTTTATTCAATGTTAGATCAGATATTAGCGATGTAATTAGATGTAATTAGTATCTAGTGTCTTAGACAATCAGAGATTAATTATAATTCAGCTAGATTGTACATTGAAAGTAGATCTGTGATCTGATTTATATGCTGTCACTGGAAAAATGGCAGTAAATGTACACAAGTTGAACGAGTGTTAACTAAGTATTTTAGAAATATTTTAGATAGAAATCCTGTCATAATGCATTAAATTGGTTAGAACTTTCACAAAAATCAAAGCTTTAATTAGTAGATTATGCCTCTCTAATTCTTATGCCTTAATTTTAAAATTCATAGAAAAAATATTTTAAATCCTGATTATTTCCCAGTCTTTGATAGACTTCTTTAAATGCATGCTTTAAGTGAAATTGATCTCTTCAATTTTATTACCTAATATTGTATTAAACTGGATGAGATATTTGGCCCTTAATATTGACCCAAAAGAGTATTTAGGGTAAATATGTGATTTTATTGAGAAATGTGAGTTTGAAATTTCTCCAAGGATCCAGTTTACGTCTAGGTACATGTATATAGAATTCAATGAAAGATTTTCTTGTACAATTTTATTGAATAAGAGGTAATAATATTCACTAAATTGCACAGTGCCTAAACTTGTAGGTTCGTGAGGAGGATCTAAGATCTTTGATGTTTGGGGATTACATGAACCCTGATGCTGAGGCTGAAGAGAGAGTGTACCTTGAAGTCACATCTTTAGATGAAATGTACAAAATTGTAGAACAGTGTCTAGAGGAATACAACAATACACATAAAACCAGGATGAATCTTGTTATATTTAGGTATGTCTAGCTCAAATCTGTCATGTGAATTCATAATGTATCATCTACAGGTACAGTTATAAAATGCTCAGGTCAAAAGATCAATACTAAATGTAAGATTAAAAAATCTCTAAAACTTTTGAATATTGACCCCAACTATCAATGTATGATATAGTTACATATTAAATGAAGCAATGTATATTTTTGGTAATATTTTATTCTCAATTACTACTACTTCCTAGATATGTGCTTGAACACTTATCCCGAATTTGTCGAGTTTTGCGTATCCCAGGAGGCAATGCTTTATTGGTTGGAGTGGGCGGTAGTGGACGTCAATCTTTGACCAGACTGGCTACTGCTATGGCAGGCTACAATCTTTTCCAGCCAGAAATCTCTAAAAATTATGGCAAAGTAGAATGGAGGGAGGACATTAAGGTAAGGTCTTCAGTGCACATTAGAAGTTTGTTTTGTTCTCATAAAAATAAGTGGGGGGGGGGGGGGGGGTAGAAGAAATAATATATTTTCTCATCATTTATTAGTTTTAAAAGGTAAATACAATATATTTTTATACAGTTAATGTTAGTCATCAAAGTTGAGTGCTATTAAGTAGGAAATAAAAGCAATCACTGCTTATTTTGCAGTCTGTATTGACAAGCTGTGGAGCCCAAGGAAAGACAACTGTGTTCCTGATCACAGACACACAGATTAAGGAGGAGTCATTCTTAGAGGACATTGATAACTTACTAAACACAGGAGAAGTCCCCAATCTGTTTGCTGCTGATGAGAAAGCAGAAATCATGGAGGTATGTCGTGTACACTTACTTACACTTGTACAAAAGAAGAGGGTGAATTGAAGATGTAGAATAAAACCATGTCGAAAACAATTTTTCTCCAATTTCTTTTTATATGTAATTCAAAAATTTCAAAACAAATTTTAAGAATATTTTGTTAAATCGATTGAAATTCAAATGTCCTTTATTGGGTAAAAAGTAGGACAATACTATAAAAATGATTTTTGGGAGAATTAAGTGCTTGGACTGAAAACTTTGGAGTGTGATAGAGTAGTTGATATTTCAAAATATGTGCCATTTTTTGTGTTTCAGGCTGTAAGACCACATGCCCAGGCTGGAGACAAGATGGCTGACTTCAGTCCTCTGGCTTTGTTTGCCTTCTTTGTAAATCGTTGTCGTGAGAACTTACATATTATCATCGCCTTCAGTCCTATTGGTGATGCCTTCAGAAACAGACTACGACAGTTCCCTGCCCTCATTAACTGCTGTACCATTGACTGGTTCCAGGTTTGTACCTATGTACCATTCCTCAGCACCCCCACCCCCAGCCCTAGCTTCCTAGACATTTTGTATGAAATCAAATTCAATGGATAAATATAATGCAATATTAAATATGTTCTGGCTTGGGAATAAGAATTTCTGTTTATTGCATACTAACTGTATTGAAACTGACCAAGCACACCCTGAGTGATAGCAGAACATCAATTACTAAATATAATGACCATTATTTATAGACTTGGCCAGACGATGCTTTGGAGAGAGTAGCCAATAAATTCTTGGAGCAGGTCGAGCTAGCTGACAACGAACGTAAAGAGACCACACACATCGTCAAGTATTTCCATCAGAGCACCATCAGATTGTCTGATAGATATTTCTCAGAGCTGGGTCGTCATAATTATGTCACTCCTACATCATATCTAGAGTTGATCAACTCTTTTAAGAATTTACTGTCCACAAAGCAAGATGAAACCATGAAGGCCAAGAGGAGATATGTGGTGGGATTAGAAAAGCTGGCTTTTGCTGCTTCACAGGTAAATCAAAGTGGATCACTCAGTCTTAAAGATTAGCTTTAGGATCCCTTTATCTATGTACATACATAATGCATATACCAGTAAAAAGCATACAGCTTTCCAAATTATTATTTGAATAATAAATTTTGGATTAATAAATGCCGAAGGTGTAAAAAAAAAAATTTTAAACATCTTGTTTGATTTCCCCTATTTTCTGTTTACATGTAGTTAGATTCCAAGCATTTGTAAATTGTAAATTTTAAGATTTTTTTTAGGCTGGTCACCTCATCCTTTTGTGTGTGTTTATAGGTAGCTACTATGCAAAAGGAACTTGAGGAACTGCAACCCCAGTTGGTGGTGTCCCAGGAGGAGAATGCCAAGATGATGGTAGTCATTGAGAAAGAATCAGTAGAGGTGGAGGCCACCAGCAAAGTGGTGCGAGCAGATGAGGCGGTGGCCAATGAACAAGCTGCTCAGGCACAGGCCCTCAAGGATGAATGTGAGGCAGAATTGGCTGAGGCCATTCCTGCTTTGGAAGCTGCATTGGCTGCCTTGAACACACTCAAGGTAAGAGAATGCCTGAAAAAGGCTCTTTTTCTGGGATCAAATTCTCCATATGGGTTATGGTAGTAAAATAGTATTGAAGGTTTCACATCCAGATTTATATCCCCTCGCAAAAAAATTAGAGGGGATATAGTAACGCGCTTTGTGTGTGGGGGTGGGTGAGTGAGTGTATGTGTAACAAAAGCATGCTTATTCAAAAATATCAATATAAACTCATTATATATGCAATATGTCGATGATCCTCCACAGCCCCAAGATATCACCATTGTGAAGTCTATGAAGCAGCCACCAGCTGGAGTCAAGCTTGTCATGGCTGCTGTGTGTGTAATGAAGGACATCAAGCCAGACAAGATTAATGATCCAGATAAACCAGGACAGAAGATCTTTGACTACTGGGGACCCTCCAAAAAACTGCTGGGAGACATGAGCTTCCTGAGCATGCTCAAGGAGTATGATAAAGACAACATTCCTGTAAGTGTTCAAAGACTTAGTGGTTATCAATAATTTCCTTGAAATAGGTTTAAGTGAAGGAGAGATAAATCAGAAATAGGTTTTTGAAAGTGAAAAAAAAGGATATTATGAATATGGAAAAGAAAAATGCCTTCTTAATATTCATAAGAAATTGTGTATGTACTGTTAGAAACTTTTTAATAATAGAGTCTTGAATTTAAACATTTGAATTGATCTGATTGATAGACGTTATGAAAATATTTGTCATTGATCATGAAGTATCATGATTGCCTTAAAATATATTTGCCATTTTTAGCTCACCTGAGCCAAAGGCTCAAGTGAGCTTTTCTGATCAAAATTTGTCCATTGTCTGTCGTCGTTGTTGGCGTTGTTGTTGTAAACTTTTCACATTTTCATCTTCTTCTCAAGAACCACTGGGCCAAATTCAACCAAACTTGACACAAAGCATCCTTAGGTAAAGGGGATTCAAGTTTGTTCAAATGAAGGGCCATGCCCTCTTTCAAGGGGAGATAATTAGGAATTAGTGAAAAAATAATGGCATCATTTAAAAATCTTCTTCTCAAGAACCACTGGGCCAGGAAAGATGAAACTTATGTGGAAACATCCTCAGGTAGTGTAGATTCAAATTTGTGGGGTCACAATGGGGGATCCAAGTTTTACATAGAAATATATAGGAAAATATCTTTAAAAATCTTCTTCTTAAGAACAGCAAAGCTATGATTGGTCATATTTATATGGAAGCATCCTCAGGTAGTGAAGATTCAAGTTTGTTCAAATCATGACCCCCGGGGGTAGGATGGGGCCACAATGGGGGATCAAAGTTTTACATAGAAATATATAGGAAAATACCTCTAAAAATCTTCTTCTTAAAAACAGTAAAGCCATGATTGGTCATATTTATATGGAAGCATCCTCAGGTAGTGAAGATTCAAATTTGTTCAAATCATAACCCCCGGGGGGTAGGGTGGGGCCACAATTGGGGATCAAAGTTTTACATAGAAATATATAGGAAAATATCTCTAAAAATCTTCTTCTTAAAAACAGTAAAGCCATGATTGGTCATATTTATATGGAAGCATCCTCAGGTAGTGAAGATTCAAATTTGTTCAAATAATAACCCCCGGGGGTAGGGTGTGGCCACAATTGGGGATCAAAGTTTTACATAGAAATATATAGGAAAATATCGTTAAAAATCTTCTTCTTAAGAACAGTAAAGCCATGATTGGTCATATTTATATGGAAGCATCCTCAGATAGTGAAGATTCAAGTTTGTTCAAATCATTACCCCGGGGATAGGTTGGGGCCACAATGGGTGATCAAAGTTTACAGAGGAATATATAGGAAAAAGTCTTTTTCTCAAGAACAGAAAAGCCATGATTAGGCAAATTGATATGGAGGCATCTTTGGGTAGTGTAGAATGAAATTTGTTCAAATGAGGGCCCCCGGGGGTAGGGTGGGGCCACAATGGGGGATCAAATTTTTACAAATGAATATATGGGAAAAAAATCTGCTGCTCAAGAACAACAAAGCCATTTGTTATATTGATATGAAAGCATCATCAGGTAGTTTAAAATTCAACACCCCCCTCCCTGTAAACTTTTCAATACTGTACTGATTTTTGCTTTTTTTCCTAGCCAATGTGCTCAGGTGAGCGATGTGGCCCATGGGCCTCTTGTTTGTTTGTGAAGGTCCATGTTATGCAGAAGATCAGAAAGGAATACATTTCAAACCCTGAATTTGACCCTGCTAAAGTGGCCAATGCCTCCTCTGCTGCAGAGGGTCTGTGTAAATGGATCCTGGCCATGGAAATCTATGACAGGGTGGCCAAAGTGGTTGCACCCAAAAAGGTAAAATTAGCCGAGGCTGAGGCCGAGTTGAAAACAACTATGGACCAACTAAACAAGAAACGTGCTGAACTGGCAGCTGTAGAAAAACGCTTGGCAGATCTCCAGGCCACATTCAAGGAAATGACTGACAAGAAAGAACAGCTGGAATTCCAGGTGGATCTTTGTGGAAAGAAGTTGGAGAGAGCTAAGAAGCTGATTGGAGGTCTTGGTGGAGAGAAGGCTAGGTGGACAGCAGCCGCAGAGAATTTACAGAACATTTATGATAACTTAGTTGGTGATGTTTTGATTTCTGCTGGTGTCATTGCATACTTGGGACCTTTCACTATGGCCTTCAGAGAACAGTGTACAGTAGACTGGGTGAAAATCTGCACAGTAAGTTAATTTTTTTGGTTATATTAAATAAAACTTCTGCCTTTAAAATTGATCTGCAAGACTGTTCATAAAAGGAAAACATTTTAGGGTTTTCATTTCTTTCTTAATTGTAATGGCTCTTCTTTTAAAGATTGTATAGTGGATCTCTTGAATTTTAATCTGAAATCATTTATAATAATTATATGCTTTACTCTTGAACAGGAGAGGCAGATTCCCTGCTCTCAAGAATTCTCTCTCAGCAAAACTCTTGGAGAACCAATCAAAATTCAGGCCTGGAATATCTTTGGATTGCCAAGAGACAGTTTCTCCATCGATAATGGTGTCATTGTAGCCAACTCAAGGAGATGGTAACTATCCTTTTAAAGTACTACTTCAATATATATAATTGGCTGTTGAAGGAATCTGCATGCAACATATTCAGCGACTCTTCATTGGGTTTTGGAAATTAAATTGCCTCATATCTTTCTAACAATGAATATCAGTCCTGTATTGATAATCATCCTGTTTGAATCTGCAATTCTGCATGAATATTTTTTTCAAATATCAATATTCATTAACTAAAAGACAGTATATATTTAAATAAAGGTATTTTGTTTTAAGTAATAAACTTTATTTTAAGGCCCTTGATGATTGACCCTCAAGGACAGGCAAACAAGTGGGTCAAGAACATGGAGAAAGAATTCAAGCTGTCAGTGATCAAACTGACCGATTCTGACTACATGAGGACTCTGGAGAACTGCATCACCTTTGGGAACCCCTTACTGCTGGAGAATGTCGCAGAAGAGTTGGACCCCTCACTGGAGCCTCTACTTCTTAAACAAACATACAAACAAGGTATGTACAGAGAGGTTAGCATAACTACTAGCTGCTGGAAAAGTTTCAAGGCTCTAGATCTGGTAGTGAGCCTTATAAAGAGTAAAAAAAGTATATTATGGTCTGGTTTGAAAGGATTCTTTTACAAAAATTTCACCCAAGTAGCAAAGAAATTCAAAGAGCAAGTAGCAAAGAAATTCAAAGAGCAACACATTCCTTGTGAAGGATTGGATATTGGTTATTTTTAAAACACTTGTTCTAATATTTCACAGCTGGAGTTGACATGATCAAGATTGGTGAGAATGTGATTGAGTACAGTAAAGACTTTAGGTTCTACATCACCACTAAACTGAGGAACCCCCATTACCTCCCTGAAATTGCAGTCAAAGTGTCCCTCCTCAACTTCATGATCACCCCCGAGGGTCTAGAGGATCAACTGCTGGGAATTGTGGTCGCTAAAGAAAGGTGAGTAGGAAAGATGGTTGGCATATTTTAATGGTTATTTTAAGTATGTTAGAGTCAAAGGCTTCTCATACACTTACATATTATATACACATTACGATAGAGTTACAATGTAATATTTCAGCAGGGCAAATTTTAAAAAAAAAAAATTCACTTTGATTTCTTTCTTTAAAGAATTGTTAAATGATCGAGCAGAGAAATTTTCTAGTAAAATTTTATGTTATACACAAACAAGGTTAGACAGAGTATGATCTTGATTGTTTAATAAACAGGGATTTTGTTTGCAAACATTTAAAATTTTAATTACAGACCAGAGTTGGAAGAGGAGCGTCAGGCCCTGATTGTACAGAGTGCTGCCAACAGAAAGGCCCTCAAGGAGATTGAGGACAAGATTCTCCACACTCTCTCTGCCTCTGAGGGCAACATCCTTGAGGATGAGTCTGCCATCAAGGTCCTCGACTCCTCCAAAATCCTCTCTGATGAAATCTCCAAAAAACAGAAGGTACTATTGTCCGTGTTTTTATGGTTTAGACAACCATATAAAGAAATACAGTTGAATTTCATTATCTCAAACTTTGATATCTCAAATAACAGGATAGGTCAAAGTGAATTTTAAGTCCCATCCACTTTTTCGTAACATATTTCAACCGCAATATATAAAATCATCAGATATCTCTCAGTTTTTTCTTGGTCCCGTCAAGTTCAAGATAATGAGGTTTGACTGTATCTGTAAATTATAACTGCTCTGTGGAATCTGGTAAGAAGGATGTCACATTGTTTTTCATATGAAATAAATTAATGTAAGCAGAAATTTTTTATTAAAAAAAAAGAAATGTGCAATTGAAATTGTTACATTATTACAAATCTATTACATTGATTACAGATTGCAGAGGAGACCGAGCAGAAGATTGACACCAGTCGTATGGGATACCGTCCCATTGCCAAGCACTCTTCCATTCTCTTCTTCTCCATCGCTGACCTCCCCAATATTGACCCCATGTACCAGTATTCTCTGACCTGGTTTGTCAACCTCTACATCATGTCCATCCAGGACAGGTATGTTCCTAATTCTATTCTTAGACCCTGGGGGAAAAATTATTATAACATGAAAGATCATAAAATTTTAATTTTATTTTATTTTTTAATGATAAACTGAGTATTTGTTCAAAGATCTGAGTACTTGTTCAATTATGTAATAACTGTTGTATTGTATTTTGAACTTTGTATATGATTTTTTTTTTTTTGAACAATGTGTTTGCTAACTGAATTTTATCCACAGTCCATTGCAGTTTCTCCATGGATCTTTACCATTCTGAGCAGTAATATTTGATATGAAAATCTTTTACCAACCAGTTATAACCATTCATTTATGTCTAATATGTGTGAGAAACATAATCTAATGTGTACATTTCATATCCATAAATATTTACATATTAGGAAAAACATTAGAAAGTAAAAAAATTAAACCAAAAGAATAAAACTCTATTCATTATCATTCACTTATCAAAAGTCCCACCTTAATACTATTACATGCATCTATTACAGCAATAAATCCAAAATACTTGAACGTCGCCTTCGATACCTCAAAGATCACTTCCAGTACCAGCTCTATGACAATGTGTCACGCTCAATTTTTGCCAAACACCGTGGTGTCTTTACCTTTATACTGTGTGCAAATTTACTTTTGTGAGTAACTGTATATAAAGCACAGATGTACATGTAGACAGTATACATAATGGCATTTAGGTCTAGATATTTGTAGCTCTTTTGTGGAAGAAGGGGAAAAATGCATGTGACGTCTCTTCACACTTGTATTCACCTATATACAATTGCTCGTTTTCTTTGTTTCTCATTTAAATGAAAATATTGTGAAGATTTCAGATATATTTGGTATGTTCAAAATTTAACTATTTTCTCATGTACATATGTACTGCTTAGATTTAATTATATACCTATATCAAAGATCTTTGAAATCTTCACTTTAGCATGCTTCATTTAAATGTGACATAGACACAGATATATCTGTATATCACATGTATGTAGCTCTGATGTAACATCTCTCCTCTGCTACTATTTTGTTTCAGGAAAATGATGTCAAGGTTTCAAACTACTATGGATGTTTACAAGTCATCATAGCAATGAATATTCATTAGAATTTTTTACTTGCAATGGAAGGGATGGGGTTAGGGGGTGTGAATGCTTTGAATCAGTAAACCTTATATAAAGTTAAGAAATATACTGTATATTCTGTAGTAATGAATTATCTTGACATCATTAATACACACAGGTATAATGCAGCTACAGCAACCAGCAGAAACTGTCAACCACGAGCAACACTGCTATCACAAGCAACCTCTATTCTTCACGTTTCACATTTTTGTTATTTTTCTGAATGTGTCTCGTTTCAGCAATAAGTCCAAGATCTTGGATCGTCGCTTGCGCTACCTGTCGGACCACTTTACGTACAGTCTGTACTGTAATGTCTGTCGCTCCCTCTTTGAGAAAGACAAACTTCTTTTCTCTTTCATTCTATGTTCCAATATGTTGCTGTAAGTATTAGATGTTTACCTGAGAGTGTTCATATTCACATGAAAATTTTTTGAAATTGCTGTTTCCAGTTTGAAGTTGTGTTCTGATTAATCCCAAATGTTCGATTTCAATTTTATTTCTTTTACCTAATGATTGTTAAATTTGTCTGTTTTTCCATAAAAATAAATGTAAATTTGTCAGCTTTCCCTGAAAGTTTTTTCTTATTTTATGATTTGTCTTGAAATTATTGTGATTTGAATTGATTTGAAGTTTTAAAATAATACCTAATTTATTTTGAAAAGTGTCGGGTATGTGTTTTAAGATTTTTTTAAATACTTAGTATCCTAACTGCTTATTGAACTATTGTTTTTGTTTGCTACCCTGAATCAGTTGAGTGGCCTCCCCTCTAATTGCTTTGACTTAGCAACTTATTTAACTGAAGTACTACAGTAAAATTTGCCCCCCCCCCCCCATTGTTACATACTAAACATTTACCCCATACTAGTAATGAACTGATTTCAACTGATTTATATTGGTGCTGGTGGAAATGGCAACGGAAATCGAAGGGAATTGAATGCACCTCTGGCGAGAGTCTTGCTGACATTGCTGTGGACAGATTTCAATATTTCTTTATCATCTGCACTTGTTCTACAAGAAGTGAATTTTTCTAGCACCTGTTGCATATTAAAATTCACATACTTAAAGCATTTTAGATTTTTCACTTCAGTAAATCACAAAATTAATTTGTCCTTGTTTGCAAGACAAAAACATTGTATTTCTTGGCAATATGTAATATTTGCAAAAATAATAGGATAATAACAACTTTATTTTCATGCTTAAATGATATTAACAAGAACTTTATTTTCATGTTAAATGACCTCACAAAATTACATGAAAATAAAGTTTGCACAAGAAAACTGTGATTTACAATACATAATTTTTCTTTACAGTAGCTCTTTATATATTTCTTTGCTATACTCAACTTTACTTCTGTGTTTGTGTGATTGTGTGCTTATTTGAATTTTTATTATTAGCTATAGCAAAATGATGAACTGCTTCAGCTATTTGAGTTTAATTAAAAGATAATTACAATATATTTCATAATTGATTAAAGTCTTTTAAAATAAAAAAAAAAACTGTAAGATGATTTTCTCCATTGTCTCTAATTTGAACCAGTGTCTTGAATATTTTCATTAATTAACTATAAAGCTGAACAGATTAAATTTACTGTATAAAAGTAAAACCTATTTGTACGCAAAATTTGCTGTAGATCTTGAAAAAAAATTTCACTTTTAAATAAATATAAAATTTTCATTAAGATACAATACAAGGTCAATTTTTACATATCTAAATTTAATGATAACATCTATATTTTAATGGTAAAATCTCTACATTTTAATGAATTAACATCTCTGTATTTTAATTTTTCTACTTAGATCCAAGAATGAGCTTGATGTAAATGAGTTCATGTTTTTCCTGACTGGAGGTGTGGGCCTGGAGAACAAACTCGCTAACCCCGCCCCCACGTGGCTAACGGACAAGAGTTGGGATGAAATCTGTCGTCTCAGTGATCTCAAGAAATACAAGAAATTCAGGTAAAATAAAAATTTCATAAGTAAGTTAAGTGTGAAAACATATTCATTGTTTTATATCATAACACTTTAAAAGATGTTTTAGCTTTTTTTCTTGGATATATTATTTGAAAATGATGAAATTTTGAATTGATGTAGTCACATTAATTTTTTAGAGACCACTTTACAAAGAACATAGACAAATGGAACCAGTATTACAACGCAAGAGAACCTCACAATGAAGAGTTACCTGCCCCTTGGCAGGAGGAGCTCAATGATTTCCAGAGGATGATCATTCTCAGGGTCATAAGGCCAGACAAGGTCAGTATTTATACTGCTATAACTGCATGAAATTACCTTCTGTTACAATCATTAGGGTTCACATAGGTGGGAGTTTGATGGCTGATTTGTAAATGCCTCAATAGTTAGAAATTGGAAGAACTTAAGTATATCGGTCCTACAGGGATAGAATTTTTTGTGGCAGTTGAATTTTTTTTTTCTTTTTGGACTTGCATTAAATTAGTAGAAAGCAACTGAAATATATTGAAATTTGTATTTTGTGACTGTTTAAACAATCCTGCAAATTTCCTTGAAAATTGGCCAGTTGTAGAATTAAACTGTTACACAAAGCAAAAATAGATACATGTATTTAGGTCAGACAAGGCACTTTTTCTCGATAAATGCAAATTTCTATTTTGACCTTTTAGACCTTTTAGATGAAACCTTCAATTCTATTCCAGGTGAATCCTGCCATCACTAATTTTGTGAGAGAGAAACTGGGTAAAAAGTTTGTGGAACCACCACCCTTTGACTTGGCAAAGAGTTACCAAGACTCTAACTGCTGTGCTCCTCTCATCTTCATTCTGTCCCCTGGGGCTGACCCAACCATGGCCCTCCTGAAATTTGCAGAAGACAAGGGATTCTCTGGAAACAAGTTCAACTCCATTTCTCTGGGTCAGGGACAGGTAAGATGTTCAATTCACAGTAATTTTACAGTTCAGTAGTAGTTGGATCAAACCTATTTTTCAGCTACTTTGTGCTGGTTTCACTTAGCTTCATATCCCTTTCTGTATTTGATATCATACTAAAACATAAAGATACTTTTTAGCTCATAAAAACCAAACTTTATCTCTTATTTTACATTCATAAATTTCTGTTTCAAGGGACCCATTGCTGCTAAGATGATCAGTGAAGCGAGACAGGATGGGTCATGGGTCATGCTACAAAACTGTCACTTGGCTGTGTCATGGATGACCCCTCTAGAGAAGACTTGTGAAGACTTCACACCAGAGAACACACACTCGGACTTCAGGCTCTGGCTGACCAGCTATCCATCACCCAAGGTTTGTTATCAAGATAAAGGGGGTTAACTCTTGAAAATTGAATAAACAGCTTAATCAACTGCTGCTAAAGTATTTTTTAAAAAAATTTGGTAAGATTGAATGAATCTATTCCTTTTTCTAAACAATTTGTAATTTCAGGTTTTAAAATATTTGAAGATGATTTTTAATGAAATAACTTTCTGAATCCACAGTTCCCTGTGACAGTGCTACAGAATGGAGTCAAGATGACCAATGAACCTCCCACTGGACTCCGACAGAATCTGCTGCAGTCCTACCTCAATGATCCGGTCAGTGATGAGGAGTTTTTCAAGGGATGTCCAGGGAAGGAGCTGGTAAGGAACGCAAAAGGGATTAATCCAGTTGGTAGCTAAATAGGCCTCCAAGTCTGGAACATTGTGTGAATTGTTAAATTAGAGAGGGATATCTTTGTGATAGTGATGGTCTAAATCTGTGTGGAAAATTCCATGCTACTTGCATGGAGATTTTAGAAAGTACTTAGCTGTTTAATTGAAAGCAGTTGTTAACATAGGTAAAATCTAACACAATTTGTATGACAGAAGGGTACTTAACATATTTTTGTTTGTAGCCATTTGAGAAGCTTCTCTTTGGTCTGTGCTTCTTCCATGCCTTGGTTCAGGAGAGGAGGAAATTCGGACCCCTTGGATGGAACATTCCATATGGCTTCAACGAATCAGATCTCCGAATCTCCATTATGCAGTTACAGGTAATTTTCCTTCCTCCTCTTTAAATAATATCCAGCTATTTATCATTTGATGCAGGGATGTGCCACATGTACCAAAAAATGTGTATATTTACTGCTAAACAGTGCTAGTCATGTTTGGGATATGCTAAACATGCAGCTTACTGTAAACCAAGTACTATTCGCATCATCTTTTATTCGTGATTGGTCAGTTTGGAACACTGAGGACACATTCTCTACAAGTACAAAGCAATATAAATGGTTCATGACAATTAATATTCACAAATTAAAGTAGGTCGCGAAACTCGCAGATATTTCTCACATGCAAATAAAAGTTGATTTACACTATTCCCTTTACCCTGTAATTTCTATAACAATAATATGGTCTTGAACATGGAACATTATATCTCATTTTCATCCCTTCCCCCTTCCCTTCATTACAAGGTGGGGAAACAGTACTTTTGCCCGGTGGCTTGGTTATACAATTTGTACATTTGCAAATCTTTAACTCCTGAAACCCTTGATTAGAATGACCTTGGTCTAAAGATATGTCCTGATCTTGACTTAAGACCATAAAATGGATAAAAGATGACTTCTGTTGTTGTTCTAATTTGAAATTCATGAAATTCTCAAAAATTCTCAACATTATTTGCAGATGTTTATTAATGAGTATGATGAGGTTCCATTTGATGCCATCAGCTACATGACTGGAGAGTGTAACTATGGTGGTCGTGTCACAGATGACTGGGATCGACGACTACTGCTCACCATGCTGGCAGATTTCTACACTCCTAACATCATCACAGAAAGCCGCTATAAATTCTCCCCCAGCGGGTCGTACTACTCCCCTCCCAAGGGAACTTATGAAGACTATGTTGAATTTATCAAGGTAATAATGGGACTCTCTAGAAAAAGAAGAAACAAAACTGTTGCTAATCCAAAAGGAAGAAGAATTACCTTTTTTAATGATTAATAAAATTGCTTCATTTTCAAATCATAACTAATTATGCACGTTTTTAATTCTAAACTTATTTTTCCACTATGACAAAATATTTCCATTTGTGTTGACCAAAAGTTATTACAATATATTGAATTGCTTGAAGTAAGTGCAAAATTTTCCTTAATTACTAAATGATGAGTTGATATTTTTTTTACTTCAGTCCCTCCCCCTAAACCAGCACCCTGAGGTGTTTGGAATGCATGAGAATGTGGACATCTCTAAGGAGCTGCAGGAGACTAAGCTATTGTTTGATTCTGTCTTACTGACCAGGGGAGGATCAGGAGGTGGAGGGGGTGGATCTACAGATGATCAACTCTACACCATTGCAGGCGACATTCTTGGCAAGGTACCTGCATAAGATTTCATTTTAATGTGTAACACTTAAGGTATTATGATGATGTTTTTTAAAGTGGGCCAAAATTTATCATGTTAGACTTTGGCTTCTTTACTTGAACTAGAAGATGTTAAAAAATTTTTATTTGAACTTTTAGAAAAGAATATGGCATTACAAATTGAATTTCAAACAATTCTTTTGGTGTTAAAATTATTTTCTTCTCCATTGTTAGCTTCCAAAAGATTTTGACATAGAAACAGCTGGCAAGAAATACCCAGTGTCCTATAAAGAGAGCATGAATACAGTGCTGGTACAAGAAATGGAAAGATTTAACAGGTCAGTTCTTCACTGCCTTTTTTTAATTCATAAATTCAATTAATGCTATTGAGATTCTTTGCAGTAAAAAAAATTAAACTGTGGTTTACGTACAGTCAAACCTCTTATCTCAAACTAGACAAGACCATGATTAAACTTTGAGATATCTGATGATTCGAGATAACCGTAAAAAAAAAACATAATAAGTGGTTGTGACTGTCGAATCACTGATATTCAAGATATCGGCATTCAAGATAACAAAGATCAACTATATTTGAGTTTTTATTGTGTGTAGGGATTTATGTCACTTTATTATTATTTTAGCAAATTTCAGCAGGTTTATTCCTGTGATATGTTACATTACAATTCCTACTTTCATTGGTTGCTTATTGACCAATGAAATTTGATTTATGTATATTACATTTATTCAGCTGGGTACTTGCATACATTTATTAAATGTATTTCAACCTGGTGTTTTTTTTGCAGGCTATTGTCCATTGTCCGCTCGAGTTTGGTCAATCTTCAGAAAGCTATTAAAGGCTTGGTAGTCATGTCTGCTGAGCTGGAAGCCCTAGCCAGCAGCTTGCTGATTGGCAAACTTCCTGCTATGTGGGCCAAGAGGTCATACCCTTCCCTCAAACCCCTGGGCAGCTACATCAATGACTTCCTGGAGAGACTTAAATTCTTACAGGTATGTACTATACAATACCTGTTTATGTACAATGTACCTTAACTATATGATATTATATTGATTTAGTGTTATTGTGAATTTATCATGTATGCTATTTTAAGTGGGGTTATGCTAAATGTAGGCATCAGTATAACCTTTACCTCTCAGTAAATCTATAAATTATTTCTGTTAAATTAACTTATATTGAAATTTCAGTTGGAAACTTTCTATGATGAAAATACTAGTCTTGTTTTTTTTTTTGTTTTTTGTTTTTTGTTTTTTGTTTTTTTTTTTTGCTTTGTTCTATATGTCATATGATAGACTAAGAAGTTTGCTACATTCAAATTTCATACCTGAATGGTACATACTCTCTGTCACAAAAAAATTAATTTAAAATTGACTTTGTCTTTTACAGAAATGGTATGATGAGGGTAAGCCACCCACTTTCTGGTTGTCCGGCTTCTTCTTCACCCAGGCCTTCTTGACTGGAGTCATGCAGAACTTTGCCAGAAAGTACACTATCCCTATTGATACCCTGGCCTTTGATTTTGATGTAAGTACTCCAGCCTCCCCTCTTCGTCCCCTTTTTTCCAGGAATTGTTACTTCAGTCCTGATAACTATTTAAACAGTTGATTAAAATAAAATTATCAAATCATTTTAAACTGTAAAATTTATATACATGTATTGTTTTGTAACTGAAAGGTGTGTACTTTTTATCTACTACATGTTATGTGTCTATATTTGAAGGTATTGAGTCAGGAGACTTCTGACAAAGCCCCAGAAGATGGTTGTTATGTTTATGGCTTGTTCCTTGATGGGGCCAGATGGGACAAACACAAGTAAGTAAAGAACTGAATTTCTCAACCATGTTTACCACTGTTTGCTGTAATTAGATCAAAGAGATTGAACTGAAGTTTGCTAAACATGCTTCAACTAGCATGTAAATCTGCCCCCAGTATACATCACGGTATGTCAGTCTGTGCCTTTTTAAGTGTTTTGTTCAATTTTAAATGCAGTGATTTATGGGGTTTTTTTTCTGTTTTAAGGGATGTCCTATCAGAACAACTTCCTAAGATTCTGAATGAACCCTTACCCATGATGTGGTTCATCCCTAAAAAGAAAGTAGAGATTGATGAATCGGACAAGAGATATAAATGTCCAATCTACAAGACAAGTGAGAGGAAGGGTGTATTGTCCACTACCGGACATTCTACAAACTTTGTGTTGGCCGTGCTGCTAAATACAGAACACCCAGTACAGCACTGGATCAAGAGAGGCTTGGCATTACTTTGTCAGCTAGACTCTTAAAAACCCATCTGTGTTACCCAGACGCTTGTAATGTTTTATTGTATACTTCTTCATCAGTTATAGCACAGAAATGGACATTTTTTTGGACACTGATTTTCAAGCAAGATTGTGTAATATTATGGTTGTTGAATTTTTAATTATGAAATGTTATTAACATGAAATGTGATATGTAAAAAAGAAATGTAGAGGAAAGTTTATTTTTGTGTGAATTCATGTTTTATTTTAAACATTTTTTTTTTTTTTTTGCTGTGTGTATATTTGAAAGCAGAAATCTGATGTTGTATTACATTATAAACTTTGATGCAATTTTTCAGATATAAAGAAAGAGTTTTACTCTATAATTTACAGGCTTTGATGAGAACAATGCATTATTTGATATTGATTAATGAATCATCTTGTTTGAAGACTTTGAAGATTATATATATATTCATTGATGATGAAATATTATTGCATTCCGGCCAGTGTTGAGTTCTGCTACGTGTAAATCTCCATGATTACAGAACTTTATTGTGATAAATTACACTTTTTTTTGTTGAAGCAGACAGTGCATATATACAGTCACATATTTATTTTCAGAAATTTCTTTTACATTGATATTGTGTAATATTTGCAAGTATTTGTTAATTTTTTTCACTAATTTCCCAATGTCTAACACAGTCATTGTTATTATCTGTGATATGTGAATAAAATCATTACACATTCTAAATTTCTTTTTTTTTTCCCCTGTTCATACTTTGATGAGTATATAAGGACTAATTTTAATTTCTACTAGTCGGAGACAAAGAAACCATTGCCATCTAAGTTTTTTTTTTTTCAAAATGCTACCCCTCCTCTCCACCTAGCTGCATTTGTGTGTGGAGGAGGGGGTTTTTAATGGTTTTCAGTTAAAATGAGGATGTTGCTGATTTTACCAAAAGAAAGACAATCTTATAAAATCATGTTTATGAACTTTTTAAGCCAGCACTTCTGAGGAAAATATCAGTATATTGTTGTTATTCTTTCTGACTGTCACACTTTCTTCTTCCTCGTACTTCTTTTACATTTTAAAGGGGCCTGGACACAGTTGCATGTATTGCTGTTTTGTTTACAATTTTGATTTTCTATTTTTATTCAAAAATAATTTAAGTTTAATGAATTGAACTTACGTGAAAAATCTTAAAAATTCAATGAAAAGGAAATTCTTCATAACATCACATAAAAAATGGGGCACGAGCTCTGTTCACGTTTTTTTACCGGGTGTGTTCAATTCGTTCGCTCTGCACACATCACTGAGCAGAGTCTGACAATACATGTGAGTTAGATATGCTTTCTCACGTTTCTACCCTGAATTTTCGGGATTATATAGTTTTGATATTGATCATTTATACAACAAATTTTTCACTTTTCTTAACTATTAAGGATTAAGTTTACGTTGTCGAAGTGCAAAGATGCGTATCAATCCAAACGGCTTACACGTCCCGAAGTTATTTCCAGATGAAAGAAGTTTCTCAACACGCTTTTGTAATATTTCGATGAATTGCTCTAGCAACATATAAGACATGGTATTATACTGAAAATACTAGAAAATATGCATTCTCAATTTCCGAGTTCATGATTTGAACAAACTTGAATCTACGCGTACACTACTTGAGGATGCTTCCATACAAATATGACTAATCGTGGCTTTGCTGTTCTTGAGAAGATTTTTATTATATACCTGAACTTATGTAAAAATTTGATGCCCTTTGTGGTCCCACCCTACCCTTGGGGGTCATGAACAAACTTGAATCTACACTATCTAAGGATACTTCCATATAAATATGACTAACCATGGCTTTGGTATTCTAGAGAAAAAGATTTTAAAGATTTCCCTGTATATTCCTATGTAAAACTTGATCTCCCATTATGGCCCCATCCTGCCCCTGGGAGTTATGATCTGAATGAAATTGAATCTACACTTCCTGAGGATGCTTCCATATCAATATGACTAATCAATTCTTTGTTGTTTTTCATCAGAAGATTTTTAAAGATTTTGTTTCTTATATACGCCTTTGTAAAACTTTGATCCCGGATTATGGCCCCAGCCTACCACCGGGTGTCATATTTTGAAGAAACTTGAATCTACACTATATGTAATGAAGGTTTCACTTAAGTTTCATCTTTTCTGTCCCAGGGGTTTTTGCGATTTTGAAAGACGCCATTATATTTTCACTTGTTCTTAATAATCTCCCGTTGAAAAGGGCTTGGCCCTTTATTTGAAGTTTTGAACAAATTTGAATTCTCTTCACTTAAAGATGCTTTATGGCAAGTTTAGTTGAAATTGACCCAATGGTTCTGGAAAAAAAGATCGATGAAAATGTGAAAAAAGTACATATTTACGTACTGTTCTAATATCTTAAACTCTAGTTGAAAAAGAATCTTTTCATATATTTATTGATATAAGCAAGAAAATAAAGAGTATTCCTTTGATAACCTTTCATCATATAGTTGAATTTGAGGTGAGATCTTTTTAAGATGATCAGAAATTCGTCATTTTTCCTTCCCCCTTTTTACTCAAAAGTCCTTCAATCCCCTACCAAACTTCAAGATTATAAACTAAATGAAGATTTATATTTATAAAAAGATAGTTATAAATGCATAAAATATACATCGCCTAGGGTATACAATACTATAAAGATATAAAAGATACTTTCCAGATGGATCGAAATTAGTGTATGGTCATGCTCATGAATTTACAAACAACAATGACGACAGATCAACAAAGGACAAATTTTAATCAGAAAAGCTCACTTGAGCTTTCTGCTCAGTTGAGCTTAAAAAAACAAGATGAGTTTGTGAAACACTGATGACCCCGAAGGGCAGCTCATGACCAAGGTTAAAGTTTTTCAAACATAGGCCAAACTCCAAAGTCAAAGGGTCAAAAATGATTATACCCAAAGTATGGTCTTGTCACGAGGAAACATTATTCAAAAGTTATTGGCAAGGTTAAAGTTTTTCAAAAATAATTCAAACTAAAAGGTCGAGGTAAAAAAAAAATTTCGGTAGCCAAAGAAAGGTCTTGTCACAAGGAATATACACATATGAAATATGAAAACCCTGACATCAACTGTTCAAAAGTTATGGCTTAGGTTAAAGTTTTTAAAAAGAAGGTGTAAGGTCGATCAAGAGGTAAGAAAATGTTGGTACCCAAGGTAAGGCCTTGTCACAAGGAAAACACAGTTCAAAAGTTATAATATGGGCAAGGTTATTTTTTTTTTCAAAAGTAAGTCAAACTCCAAGGTCAAGGTCATGAAGTCAAAAATGAGCGGTCTTGTCACAAGGAATACACATGTGTAATATGAAAACCCTAGTACCAACGTTATGGCTATAATACGTAACAAAATAAAAAAAAAGTTATGGTCAAGGTTCAAGTTTGGTAAAAAATCAAAAGTAAGTTAAACTACAAGGCCAAGAGGTCAAAAATGTTGGTGCCCAGAGAAAGATCTTAACTGTCACAATAATACAAAACCATTAAAAAGTTATGGGGAGGTTAATTTTTTGCGGACAAAACAGACAGACGGAGACATTATAGGGGCATAAAAACATTTTTGGCTTTAGTGTATTCGAGCTTCCGTAAGCAGTAAAGCCAATTCCCTTAAGGATGTATAAGGATGAAAAAAAAAAACTTTTTGAATATGTTTGATGGTTCTCATAGATGTGCAATAAGGCTTCGGAGTTTCAAACTTTTTTCTACAAATGCAAGTTCCCAGAACTCCTCTTATATTTTACACAGCTTTTGGAAAGATTGGTGGTGTCCTGTGCATATGTGCAATAATGTTTGGGAATTTTCATTTTCATTCAGTGTCCTGTAGATATGAAATAAGGTTTCGGGATGTTTATTTTCATCCGGGAAAGCAGTTGGGGCCTCCCAGATAAAAATGAAAATCTGAATCCTTATTGCACAACTATACTGGACACCACAACCTATATTAAAGTCCAAGAGATGATCTAGCAACTGCTTAGAATATGAGATGTTCTGGGAACCAGGTTTTTGTTAGGAAAAAAAGAATTGATCCCTAATGCTGCTCATTTACAGGACACTACCAATCATATTGCAAAAATGATGTCGCTACTGCTTAAAATGTAAGAAGAATGGACGGGCGAACGGACTTGGGTACATGTTACAATAATACAACCACACCTTCGATTTTATATCTAATGATTTCAAGGGCGATAACGTGTGCAGGGTGGATCCAGGATTTGGGGGGGGGGGGGGGAGGAGACTATTCAAACTCGAAAACATATCTTGCTCACAATTTTTTTGACAAGCCAAACATAAAATGTCCAAAAGCAAAAATATTATTGAAGGGTTATGGGATTGGACACTTCTCCATGACAAGAGTGGTCAAATATATATGAAGGAAACTCGATTAACGAGGGGTCGGTGTTTCCTTTTCTGGAGGAAGGGGGTATGTCCAAGGTTATTTTTCGATTAATTTCCAATATGAATTTATTAGCTCTGAAAGTGCTTGATAGCTTGATACGCTACTGCATGTGTGTCGATTTGTTTGGAACTGGTGTCATTATAATTGTGGTTAATTCTTTTCAATTTTTTCTTTCTGCACCACTTGAAAAATGCATAGCATTGCGTGCTTCTTTCATTTTATAGTAATGTTTCAAATCCTCTTTCACTTATCGTTTCTCTCTCTCTCCCTCCCTTCCTCCATCCGGGCCCTCTCCCTCTCTTTAAAGCTTACACCTTAAATTTAACGCTCCTTTCTATCTTTTAAATATCTGAAGTATCTAGATTTCTTATGATACATGAATGTCACATCAAAAGCTCAAAGAACTCTTAAACTGAGCTCCTGCATGAGGTCAATATGCATGTTAGCCACCAATAGAATATGTACATGCCAAGAAATCTATAGTAGTCTAGACTTGGGATGTACTCAATAAAAGCACAATTTAGGATTATATTTCACTGGTATTCCCACTAGGAGTGACAGGAGGCAATTAATGGGGTAGATCATACATATGAGTATACCCTAAATTGTGCTTTTGAATTTAAACCAATTCTAGTCGACCTGACGGGATTTCGTAGCATGCGCTTATTGCAATGTTAAATTAAATGCGAGATCTCTTGCAATTGATTCCAATAAACTGATGTAATTTATACATACGTATGTAAACAAAAAAGTACTGAGTGTTTGGAAACATCATAATTGTATGATCGACAGCTTTCAACCTGAACAAACAAATCAAGCAGCTGGAAGTGTGCTAACAAAGCCTATTTAGCAAAAGAACAGGTTGACTGAATGTTATGTAATTTTTTTGCTTCATATTATACCAGGCTAATATAAATAAAAGTATTGTTTATTAAAATGATTTAAAACTTCATAATACAATAAACAAATACTAAATACCTATATTATATAGATTGTTTAATTCAAAAAGAACGAATACGAAAAAATAGAATACATTATTATTCTTTCAATTTTAGTCCTTATTTAAAAGTTACAATGAACTTCGTAGCGTTAATGCAATAGGCTTGGAATTTTGGCAATAATGTATCCTTCGTGAATATGTTTATTTATCAACAAAAAACATTCACGTAGTAATTTACTGGAGGTTTAAGCTATAAATTATACATTCTTTTACATCTCAAAATCTGTCCCCATGGCGCAGGCGATATTAGTATGAAATGCCTAAAGTTAGGTGGCCCAAAGTTTTCCGAAGAAAGCCCCCCCCCCCCCCCCACACACACACACACACACGAAACAAAACAGAATAAAATGAAAAAAGGAAACATTGAAGCCCAAGATGCCAAATTTTCACATTACAAGGAATTTCTAAGTTCTACTGTGATGGCATGAGTTTATTAATTTGTTTGTTTAAGCATGCATTGATCAGATCGTATGCCGACATGTTTTGCATTTTACAATTTCGGTTGACGTCGATCAACTTTAGGAACAAGGAAGAATTTTACACTGTTTTATAATTTGCTATAAATTACATTTTTCTACATTACCTTTTCCACAGCGCTGTTCTTTGATACATCCAATTGTTACCAATTATTTTCAAAAATCAAATCATTTTTACATTTCATTTGATTTGTAATGTGCTTCTCACCATGCAGGGCTCAGATGCAGATCCAGGAATTTTTCCAGGGGTGGGGGTAGTGTACAGCCTAGTCCAACTTCTTTCCCAAACGTAAAAAACACTTTTCGTGAAAGGGGGTTGTGTGAGTGGGGAGGGGGTGAGCAGCTTTCCTTCTTTATTTCTGAAAAAAATCTAGCTTGGATGGTGTTAACCCTCTCGTTCAACCTCCCTCCTCCCACCTGTCTCAACCCCCCCCCCTCCCCGAAAACGCTGGTCAGTTTTTAGTTACCTTCTATGTATATTCGATAACTCCGCAAATTCCAGGGGGAATCAGGACTCCCAGCTCTCCCACCACCCCCTCTAGATCCACGCATGGGACTGCCACAGCACTAGATAGGGTTGGTGGTGGATGAGAGGGGTCTGAGAGGGGATACCATTCCCTCCCTCCAAGCACGATTTTTTTTTTTTTTTTTATAAATGGGTACTGTTGAATTCTGGATGTCATTTTATAAAAAACGAAACACACAAAATCTGCAATAATTACACAAGTGTTGAATATAATTTTATTTTGTGTTAAAAATGATATTTTTGTTAAAGAAAGATGAGATCATCGCATCCCTGTCCTCTACATTTGTGATAGGTGTCAATTTGTTCTGTGACGTCACAATACATTGTTGCGTCATAAAGGAGACAGATGGCAGTGGCATATCTTTCTTTCTTTTTTTTATATTGGAATATGATATTGGGATATGATCTTATAATTTGATGTGTTTTTTTAAACCTTTGAAAAAAGTGACAAAGAAAAGATAACGATTTTTTGTGATTTGTTGATTTTTTTTTCTTTGGCAATGAATTAAAATTGGAAACTTGATATGTAACCATTCAGGTATTTCATAATTTATATTGCTCAATTGGTTTAAATCTATTAATAGCATAAGCAATCATAATCCACACCCGTATCCACAAGCATGCGACTTTTTCCAGTAGACTTGATATAACAGTTTCCATGGCAGTACAATAAACAGATGCGCAATCGGAGCGTGTAGCCTACTTATGCAAATACACGCCATTTTCTGTGACGTCACGAGTGAAGTGAGAAAGTAGAAAAACATTCATGAGATAGAGGGAACCAAATGACTGAGTCAATGAATTATCCGGTGTGATTTAATTCTTTAGAACGATTAAATATGCCACTTTTTGGTAAAAAGCATGAAACGGATAAGAAACATTCAAAGGAATCGGATGTTCGGAAGAAATATGACTTCAAGCGGACCCTGGGAACGTAAGTATCAGTTCTCCATTCCTCTGTCACACTTTCATATGCAACTAGAAGACATCGTACATGAATTTTCCTCTACGTTTTATTTTTTTTATATTTCATCTTCTTTTAAATACCCAGATTAAATCATCAATGTCCCGGGGGATTATTCATATTTGCAATAACAAATGCTTACATGATGAAAGATGTGTTTTAACATGTAGGCCATTATATTTTCAATTAAGGATGTACATTTTACACATATTTTTTACCCAAATGTTAAAGGCTAGATAACAGGGTAAACCAAGCGTTGAATCCTTTGTTGTATTATAAAGACGACGATGTGATGACAGTTTCATTAATCCGTATCACGAAGATGGACTAAACCTATAGTTCCTTGAGATTTAAATGTAACTGTGGCATACCAATCATTGTAAGATTAAAGACACTATTAATTAATATAGTAGGTAACCCTTGTATAGTTGACCTTATGTAATTCATGTTGTGCTTTGGTTAACCCTTAAAAATGACATCCTAAGACAATGTGATTCCATAAAGCTTTTAGTTTTGACGTACACTGTAGGGTTGCAGATCAGAAACTGTGAATTGCATTTAAAAAAGAAAAGAAAGAAAGAAAAAAAACTTCTGTCAGTTATATTCACATGCAGTGACAGAATTGCACAAGCCTTTAGAGAAAATATATTTCTATCGGATGTATTGATTGTGGGTTAGAGTAATTTCTTTTCCAAATGACACCATGTGAAATCATATTGTACAGGGATGGGGGATTAGACTGGCAGATGCTTCAGATTAACTTGACCTCATGAACAACGTTTTTTTTTATTGACCGTTATTTAGTAATGGACCACGTTCACCTTCACAATGAATGTTGCAGATAATAATGATCATTAGACTGTTTTGTTATACTCTTATGCAGGGTATAATATTTAATGTGAAAATCTAATTAATAGGTATTGTATGCAGCCCACACCTTTCCTACACTGCTTACGCAAAATAGTGTATCCATTAATAATGATATAATTCATACATATTACGTACCCATTAGTAAATTAAGATATATTTACTGCACATGTACAATGAAGGGTTACATAATGACACAATAACCAGACATTATAGGTTCATAACCTCCACCAACACATATATGGACAGAGCTCGAGGTTAATAACTTACCTGAGTTTTTGTGTTTGTTAGTAACACACTTCAACAGGTCTTAATTGTGTTGATTAATAGAGAATATTTGGGAACAAGAAATTTTAAGTTATGCTTGGATTTTGGTTCTCTATTTTGTTAACCATGTCATTTAATTGTGATCATTAATATTGAATTGCTAAGAATATACAAACCTGTTCATAAGTTTTGGGATATCAGATGTTTGATAAGTTGTTATCAATTGTTGTGGGCGTTCATGGTCTTGTAAGTTGATTTTCACCCCCTTTTTGTTTTAATTGCTTCTTTATATAAGGCTTTTTTCATTCCACTCGTCAAGAGTAATGAAGTTCAACATGAAATAAACGAAAGACCTGCCATCACATGTATACTAGAAGAAATTAACAGTTCTCCATTTGTCCATGACTTCAGATATTAAGTGTCATTTGTGATTCTGAATTCATTATTTAATTTTTAGAGAATTAATTGATTACTCTAAAATGGTATGAAATCATTATTGACAATTGTATAGTTGTAAGCATGTTTTATATATATAGTATAATAAATTGTATTTACTGCTGACATGAACATCTGAGGGTGATATCAATTACCCAAGTAGAATGATAGGAAAAAATTCATTCCTTGATAATCAAATAATTTTATAGCATAATTTACAAAACAAATAGTGAGAGTGTTCGAAATCACTTGATAACAGTAAGAAGAAAGGAGAGAGCAAACAGTGAAAAAAATATATTTTTACTTATAAACCAGGATGTGATGATCAGTGCTTATGACAGTGGCATTAAGGAAATGTTGTTTATATGTGTATTCCTAGATGCTGAACATGCTGAATGGACTAATATTTAATTTTGTGTTTAAAAGAATTTAACAGATATGTTTGCTGTCTGGTATTGTGCAAAAGAAATTTGAAAAATGTTACCTCAGAGGAATAAAAATAATCAATGCTTGTCACTGTAGATTGAATCTCAGAGAGTTTTTTGAAGGCATTTGAAAGTATTCAGCAATTGTCAAAAGGAATTGAAGAATTTAGCTGTCCTTTTTATTCATCTTAATGTGTTCATTAATAATAGATCATTGGGTTGTGTTCATGTGCTGTAGAAGGTGACACATTGAATTTCAGTCATGAAATTTACACATGCACACATGTGGGAGTATCACCTGTCATTTAACTGCAACACTCAGCAAAGACCTATGGCATATATGCATCATTGATTAAAAATCTTTTTCTTGTTTATATACACTATCATTGGAAGGTTACATCAACAGATTATTAACAAAATGTAAGAAAGAAAGAAAAATAGAAGCAAAATATACCATGTCTAATCTAGTTTATATACTAGCTAATACTTAATTTGCTCTTTTATGTTTATCAGCTGTTTTGTAAATAGTTATATTATGTATTTTATAGATTTTGTCAATCAATTGTCTATTCTTCAGCACAAACAATGCTTTTAAATTTTTAATAGTGTTTTCAAAAAATAAATAAAAAGATTCCAAGTATGTAAACTTGGGTCTATTTCTAAACAAAAGGATGGATCATATTCAAAGCGGTTGACAATATAGTATACTCAAATCAATTATTCAATTAACAGGAGGCAAAGATATAATCCGGAATCAATGACTTTATTACCAGGTAGTTCAGCTCAATTAGTTAGTCGGCTTTTGTAATTTATCTTTGTATAGAGACTCTAGCTTTGCTAAAGATTGGCTCTTCAGGGCAATTTCTCCTTTGTTTAATGGTCAAGACAAGAATTTACGAGGAATTAACTTTTGATAATTATGGACAAATCAAGAAGTGGCATGCAAAGGTTTCTCCAACTTTAACATGTACCATACTTTCATTGTACCATGATAACAGGGAACAGCTGTTTTTCATAAGTCTTTGAAAAATTATTGCATGGTTGGCTCCCTCCTTTTCCCAGCTCAACCATTTGGACTGTCCATAACCCCCCCTCACCCCCCCCCCCCCCCCAAAAAAAAAATAATTAAAAATATCTATTTAGGACAGGTACTAGTATAAATATGCTAAAAATTAAGAATGCATTCTAAATATTCTGTAGCTACTAAAACATGAATAATGTACAGTGCAGACATAGTGAAGAAACAACATGCAGATAATTTTTAATTTAAGGAGGTGATCAAGAAAACAAGAATTTCATGAAAATCTAATAATAAGTGTGTGGTTAAAATGCCCCCCAAAATACATGCAGAAAAGAACTTTTAATAATTTGACAGTTTATCATTAATGACAAGATACGTGTACAGGAAGTGTGATTATATGACTAGGTCCTGGTCTCAAGAGGGGTATATGTAATCAAAAATAATATCTGACAAGGAGTCGTTCAAGTAACATTAAGGTTGTGTTTTAACTCTTAACTTTTTATTAAATTGCATATGGTATTAGCTTCTAAAACTTCTGAGGGGGAGAGAGAATTATGCCTAGATTAGGTAACTATACAGTAATTAAAACACACATACAACAGGGCCAGGGGACAAAAATTTTTCAGTTTTTACCTTTAATTTGTCTTCATCTTCTTCAGTATAAGGAGTTCACTCTTAGAGCTTACTCCATGTGGAGTAATTAATGTTACATCTGACATCATTAAATCTTGTAAGCATGAATTCATATTAAGCACTGTAACCATGTTTCACTGTATACATAACAGATTGGCAAAAACAGTTTAGTGCATGCCTGTGTTAAATTTTTTTTTTATTAAATTTTTAAAGGAACAAAATGATTCATGAATCAATCATGTCTACAAATTCAAATAATTTCCTTATATTTTTTATGAAAACTTTGAAATGAATGTTTATGAAAGACACTCACTCTTTTAGCTACAAAATTGCTTAAGGTAGAACCTATGTCGGAAAAGTCTTTGTCACAGGATTTTCAAACTTTTTAAAATGATTTATTAGCATTTGCTTATTAATCAGTTTAAAATAAATGGTGTCTTTCCTTGTTATTAAATACAGTGCAACTTGTGTAACTTGGTATCATATTATACACTGTAACTCTATATTTTCAGCGATATTGAGTGTTGCAATTAAGACACAAAAATGATATAAAAAATAACAAAAACACCGTTGTGAATATCAAAATTAACTGATTTTATTGACTGGACACTATTTTGTAAAATTGATCAGGAATTCATTCATTTTTTTCAAATTTTCTAAGAGATAAACCCACATTTCAACAAATGTATGCAAAGAGGCTCATTATTTTCAAAGGATTTTTAGTCAACCTAACATACTAAAATTGTAAAAAAAATTCAAAAGTCTTTGTCACAGGATTTTTAATCTTTAATATGATGAAGAACATACTTAAATGATGATAAAAAGTGATTAAAATATACATGTTGCCTTACTAACTTACGAAAAATATGTCAATTTATTAGTACAACTTCTGTTGACCTTTTTGCACTTACACAACATTTGGTGATAAAGACTGTTTTAAGGATATTTTCTGTTTCACTTCGTAAATATTTATCAGAAAATGTATCTTTTTATTAAAGAATAATATTTAAAAGAAAAAATTATTTCTATACAGCAACCATCAAAATACTAATGAACAAGGGAAAACTGTCAATGTGACAGCAAATGGGCCAGATTTCCTTTTGTGTGAACAGTACCGTTACTAGTATTTCTCACAATTTTTTTTTTTAAAAAGTTTCTATTCTGATAACTCTAGGAGGTGAGTCATACCATCAATATACATGGTAACCTATAAACATGTTTTGCATTAAAGTGACTAAATTCAAGAAATTTTATTTTTCTCACAAATATGAAAAATTAAAATCCAAGTACTCTGCACCTATCTGACAAGTATACAATAGAAAACGTTCATATCTTGAAAATATGCAATATTTTGCACAAAAATGATTAAGTTCAACAACTGGTATTTAAAATTTCTCACATAATTAGCAAAAATTAAAAATTCCAACTACTATGCACAAAATGTTCAATACCAGTACACATCATGATATAAGCACTATCAATCTTTGAACAGATCCTGCCACCTATGCTTCCGATGACAAATCATCAAGGAATTTTATTATTTTGTTGGCAATGGAACATTTCTTTGCAATCTTGCACTCTTTTAAAATGCTAGCAATACCATTCATATCATCACGGTTGTGAATTTTCCTTAGCTGAGACATCCCTAGGGAACAAGCAGCAAGTTTGTTGCACACATTTTGTGAAATTACCTTTTTCTCAACTAATGCATGGAGACTAGATTTACAAGCAAAATAAGACAGTTGGAAAACAAAATCATTTAATTGATTTTCATTCAGACTGAAATGTTCAAACAGTTCCCGCAATGCAACAACATCTTCTAATGCATTATGTGCTGCATATTCTTTGCCTAACAAACATTTAATGAGGGACTGCTGAGAAAAACTTCCATTTACTTCATCCTTTTTGTACAATGATCTTGCAATAACTAACGTATCAACAAAACCTGAAATACTTCGGTTTAAAGTTTCACAAAGACCATATTTTTCCAAAGAATTAATGAGGACAGGCACATCAAAGTTTTTAATATTATGTCCTACGATGCAAGGATAAGTAAATTTCTTCACAAATGCAAGAAATTGTAACAGACCATCCTTTTGCTTAACTGCTTCAATGCTTTTTTCCTGGAGAAGTAGTTTTCCATCTTTGAAACTCAAACCAGTGGCTGATGATGCACCAGGACTTATGGGCTTAGTAGGGAATACATATGTATTAAAAGTTTTATCACTGCAGACAGCTGCTATCTGAATGATATCTGAAGTACGCCCTGTAATGGAACACATTGAGACATTTTAATTATACATCTGAGGTACTAAATCATTCAATAAAACAATTTTTTTTTTCAATAAGATTTCACGAAGTTCTGCTTCTGCCTTTTTTTTTTTTTCTTTTTTTTTTCTTTTTTTTTTTTACAATTCCACACTTTTTTTTTAGTCTCTGCAAAAAAATTGTCTTTAGACTGAAAATATGTCACACTACAACACACTGAAGTGCTTAGGATGAATAATTGCTATATATTATTTTGCATAAAGATATCAAAACTTCTTGTGGAGAAGTAAAATGATTTTTTTTTCTTCAAAATTTGCAGATATGAAATATATATGCCCAAAACAAAGATGTTGCATCTGTATTGTTTCCACAGTTAACCAAATTATTCAAGCAAAATTATTCACACACCTAGTCCTGTTGTTTCCAAGTCAAAGAACATAAAAGGCTGCTGAGCTGTTAGATGCTTTTCAGGCAAAACACTTATTTCCTCAATATCAGTGTGGTCCTGTAATTCAATATTGGTGCTGTAGGTGTCACCTGATTGAAAATATAAAACATGTAATACATGTATTAAATTAACAACATATCATTTGGGATATATCAATTTTGGATGCATGTCATGGCCTTCAGACAAGCATCCTTTTTTAAAACATAATTATTCACTTTGTACTTAAAATACAGAATGGCATAATTAATTCATCATAAAATATGCATATAAGTTTACCTTCAAGGACAGTCTTCACTGCATTTCTAGAACTGCGGTTTGATCTGAGCTCAAGCCTGCGTCTTTTGTACTTTGATGATCTCTGCAAAAGTCTTTTCCGTTTGAGTTTGTTGGCCAGCTTAATTGTGTGTTTTCTTGTAAATGTACCTGGACTGAGGCAGCAGTTTTTGTTCAGCTAAAATGTAAAAATTTATGTACTATGTGCAATTCGATATTGAGTTAACATTTTACAAAGATACAAAAATCAGTCACAAAATTATATACATATATATATATATATATATATATATATATATATATATATATATATATATATATATATATATATATATATATATATACCAAAATGTTATCAGGAACCTGACTAGTTATATACTTACCTTCAACAAATAATTATGGCCTTCATTTTTCTGACATACTGTTGCTGATACACGAGACACTAGACTTTCTGAGCCACTGTAACACCTGAATTTTTAGCAAAGAAGTTTTCCATATTACCATATTTTTGAAGGATGTGGGGGTGTAGGGTTAAATAATCATTGCATACATGTATGTACATTCACACTTCAAAGGTATTGAAAATCAGAGTATACATGTACTTACATTCTCTTTGGAGCTTTGCTGGACACCATATGATTAAAATTCTCATTGGCTTGAGAGGATCCTAGTTTGCATAGAATGTCAGATTTTAACACAAATTTTGAAATTAAATCCTCTAGAGACATTCTCAAATTTAAATCAGATAAGGGTTTGCCAAAAGGTAGGTTTTTGGGTTTGTAGCCTTTTTCTGCACTCCTACACCAATTACCACAGGACTGGTGTTCACCTGAATAAAATGATTCAATATATTACTTGGCAAAATGTCATGCACAATTGTGTTACAAATGCATCAAAATATTGATAAAATTTGCTTCATATAAATAACATGGATATAAAGCAATCTTGACGGTCCTGTGGTACTGAAAAGTGATTGAAAACATTATATTGCACACCTGGTAAATAGAATTGTTCAAAATATTCATGGATAAATTTAAATAAATTTAAATACCATACAAATGGGGTACAATTGCCTCTAGAGCACTTCCAAGTTGTTCTGGATTTTCCTGATTCTGATGTAGGCTAAACATGAAACAGCGCTCAATGTGTGTTCTGACTTTTTGGTTTTTGAGTTGTCTGTGTTCATTGCTGAGGTTGATTAAGGCCGAAGTGAAAGATTTCCTGATATGGTTGCTATCTGTTTTCTTTGAAATTGATGGGTCTACAATAGCCTTAACCCTAGAAATGGTGGTGGAGTCATTATCCATTATCAGTGTTGATACCTTGGGGAAAAAAGAAAAATTGTGAATAATAAGTCCATAAGTCCATTTCTTGTCAAAATAAGGTCAACTTTTAAAAAATTGTTTGCTTGCCCTCTCCTGACTTAGAATTTTAAAAAAATGGTAGGTAGGAAGGAGTATTTTCTATTAATCAGAAAGACTTGCAAATAAAGAGTTAAAATAACTATTAATGGGATGAGAAAACTTTTGGAATAATAAATAAATAGTTTACTGGAGGTTAAAAAAGTTTTAAGTTGGGATGTTTTTAGTCAATCGGTTGGGAGAGAGCAAACAAACATTTTTTTTAAGATGGCCTAACTGAATATATTATGAGCAACTAATGATATACATGTACAATAAATATTGTTTAGTCTTTACCTACTCTATGACCCTGATTGATGACATCTTGTAACATATCACATGCTAAAGCAGGTTCCATTCCCTTTGATGTCCCTGTCCAATTTTTGCTACAAGTGTGTTCTTTTGGCATTTGGTCAGAACTAGAGGCTGTAGAGCAAACTTTACAATGGGATGACTTTACTCCGAACCCAATACATTTTCCTGTTTTCTCTCCTATCAAGGAAGCATGGCCTGAAAAGTAAAAATGAAAACTTTGTAACTACATTGAAAGGGAATTCTTACAATCTATTCCAAACAATGATTGGGCATTAGAGTTTTTGTATTTGAAAATACATCTTTTTTTAGGAAGAAGTTATTCATTTTAAAAACCAATTATTTCTTGTTGCTTCTTGATGCAGTGAAATATGATTATGGCAAACATATACTAAACAATAATACAATACTGGTATGTTACATAATATAAAATATTTACCAGATAAACTATTGTAAGCTCTTCCAGTGCCACGTTTTTGCCATGCTCCATCGAAGCTAGCTGATATTTCCCCATTACTCCTGTCAATACAAAGACACAGACATTCTTAAAAAATTAAACTAGTATAAACTTTTTTTCCAAATAATTTATTATTATGCAACATATTTTGGCCGTATTAAGGTTTGTCTTGCCATATAATATTGGTTAGACTAGTCTTTCAGATCTAAATAAGAATATCTGATCAACTGAATTCTAAATATATGGTTCAGTATTTAATGTTATTTGACAATAGCTAGTAAAATACGTACAGCTCAGCCTCTTCCGTCAGATGTTTTTTACATGATTCAGTAGCCATTTCCAATAGTTTTTGCCCTACTTCCCTCTCTCTGGCTTTCAAGCTGTTATAACTGATGGGAGGTATGTTCAGAGCAGCAAGGAGGTTACTAATATGAGTCTCTCCAAATCCACCATTTATCATTCCTTGAATTGCACATAGTATAGGAATAATACAAGTTATCTAGGCCAAAGGCTAAAGGGTGTGTGGAATGCAACCCAAGGTAAACCTCTATACATATCCTTGATTGGACCCAGATAACAAATTCATTTCCTAAGTAAACAAATAGATTATTCAATACCTACTTCAAATCTATTGTGTATCAACCCATTGATAGAATTTACTGTGTGCTAAAAAGCATCATTGACATAATGTTTCTACTTTTGCTAGAGAGACTGCTTCATTCAATTTCATAGTGACAACATGTTATTTACACTCTACTTTAGACCAGGTGTACAGAAAATTACCTCTGGCTTGTTAACTTATCATAACTCATCATAAAGTTACATAGAAAAAAAAATGTATTTTTTTTTGTATGTATTGTATTTTTTTCTACCCAGTTGCTATTGTAAATTATGATAATTAAGTATATGCAATAATGAAACTGTGCCATACACTGGTACCGTAATCAACTTTTAAAAAAAAAAAAAACCCATATTTTTTTAAATGTGTAAAATGAAATAATTCAGCTGTATTTGAGATTTAGCAGAAGAAATATGTTGTGGATCATAAACCTAGCCTCATTCTGTAGTCTTTATATATAATATAAGTTTAATCTTCCAAAGGTTTTTCCTACCAGCTGCTAATTTGGTATTGACATCCCAGGCATATCCTCCTCTGTCGGTGAAATGGCGTGACCCCGTTGGTATTGCATTTACAAATCCACACTCAGTATAACCACATTTCACATCCAAAAACTGGGCAAGCCCGAAGTTTCTCTCCCCAACACAATTCAACAGATGAAGAGGTTGGCTGCACAGTTCACAAGCCTTTAGTCCGTCTGCTAAAACGCCCAACTCTACTATCCTTCGCCCTTCTCGCCAACTTTCCTGTTATTTTAATAAAATTCAAGATCTGTTTAAGTTTGTCACATAATTGTTATAACTCCACTTAATAGTCACTGATAGTTGCTCGCGTGCCAAAAAAAAAAAAAAAAAAACTTACCGCATTTTCAACTACTTCTTCCCGCTCTACCATACGTATGTCACAACCATTGGCATTATCGTCTGCAGATTTAGAGTATGCATGGTCTTTTTCGGTATTATAAAAGCGTATTCTTCTTGTTTCTTCCAATTTCTTTAATCGTTTAATATGACTTTTCTTAATAAAACGGCCCCCTTTCGATCTCATTTTGTTTGTTCAAATTGTTGTTGTCGTTTGACATTTCACCGGATATTTACGCTACGTATAATTTTAAAACCGGATTCGATCAGACATAGCAAAAACGTTTCTATGACGTAATACGACGTAGGTTCTACGTTAAGTTTGGACTACAATTGGCGTAAATAAGGTATAGGCATAAAAAATGTTATCAATCCTCTCCAAAAAGATAAAGGGGTGCTGAAATTTCTTACACGCTGTAATTTATGGTCAGAAAACCTTAAGTATCTTTAAAGATCTAAGCATATTGATTGACTTTTCATCCACAGTTGTGGTCTAATAGAGCTTTAACTGATGGATTTTATATGGCCCCATGTTTCTTATATTATGGTTGAATGGGATTAACTTTCCATTGAGATATTTTCTATCATTCAGGTAGCTAGGATTTTCCTTTGAGAATATTAGAGTGAATGCTACATGTATTGATTGAAGTTTTAAAGGTACATTACCTATTTTTGTTGCTTAAAATATTTTATTTCTGGGGGTTATTGATTAATATCAAGTAAGGGGGCTTTTGATTGAAAATATGAAAAATGCATGAATTAGCCATATTTTTTAACATGATATAATTCCAGGGGTTATCATATTACCTGAGAGTTAATTACAAGTAGTACATGTCAGTGGTGGATTCAGGATTCCTTAAAGGGGGGTAGGGTGGGGTGGCAGCAGCCCTAGGGTCTGAGGACCACCTTTAGGCTCCCAGTGTGTCAAAGCCCTGGTGGGGGACCAGGGACAAAGCCCCTGGAAGATTCCAGGATTTAGGATTTTTTTAGATCAGTTTTGTGTGTAAGTTTAGATATACTTTATGAACAAGATGATTAATATCTAACAAGTTACAACCAAAAAAATTATGTTTTCAACTTTGCTAAATTTTTGGGTACAAGGGGGGAGGGTGGGGGAAGGGGGGCTGCCCCCTCTCTGAATCTGCCAGTGCATTGATCAAGCATTTCATATATATGACAAATAACATACTATTCATATTTTTAACTATAAATTTTAGAAAGCTGTGTTAATTATTTTTTTCACTCTAGACTACTTGTCCACGATTTAACCAGACAACTCTCGTATTGTGTTATATTTAATGCATTTCTTTGATGAAATCAATTTTGAGAATTATGAAATTTGCAGGTATAAAAGTATATATAGAGAATTGAAACATTCAGGATTATTTTCTCCGTTACCCTATAGTCAGCTAAGAGGAAAACATTTCTAAAACGTAATTAAAAAGACTTACCAGTAGTTAAAATCTAATTGAACAATGTACATGATATATATACTCGGACTAATACAAAATATTTCTTAGTGGTTTAATTCTATTATAATGTACAATCTTATGTTATCTCGAACTTGATGGGACCATTAAGGAAAAAATTCCAAATATCTGTGGGTTTTTGAGATAATGAGACTGCAGAGACTACACATACATGTATGTTCACTTAGAAATTAAAATAGCTAGCATTAGTTAATAAGAACTAGCATTAAAAGAATTAAAGATTTATTTTGAACATTTTCTATAGGTTGTCTTGAGCTTGTCCTCTTTAAATAAGCAATAATTGAATTAATGATAGAGTGAGTATGTATCTAAAAGAATAGTATTTGATTATTTATTTGTTCAAACCAAATCCAAAGAATGCATGCAATTTCCCACAGTCTTAGTAGGCGGCAAGCCCTTTTAATATCCTGGGGAGGGTTAACCTAAAGGTCAGAAATATTAAAAATGTAATTGATTTTCTTCAAGTTCTGATGCTCCCCACTGCACTTTGTTGACATTTCATGACAAAGATGTAACATAATATTGGTGCTTATAGGAAACACCCACCAGCTTTTCCATGAAACTCTGAGAATACGATAGTGGATTTGAACATAATACATTTTGCAATTATAGATAAAGCATTATGCAGTTTGAATTGAATTATACCATATAATAAAATACCATATTTGCATGTATACACAAAATTCTCTGGGCAATGCAGTAAAATTATGGACAATTGTGTATTGGAGTTTTAATTTACTGTGATATTTATATTGACAATAAAATCCTTAGGAAGTATCTTCTTGTGCAGCTCATATTATCACACAAAATATGAAAATAATTATACACTCTCAATTTTTAGTAGATTGGCCTTGCATTATAATTTATGGGTGGCTACACTGTGATCATGCAAACTGGCAACAATATTCATCATACCCCATTAGCCAATCCACCGACACATAAATGACTTCCTAAGTTTGTAATGCTTTGAACATTTTGAATGTCTAACTGGGAAGTCTCATTGGAAGTGATGTCATTTATAGTCGCAGAAGGAAGAAGAGTTGGTGCTAAAATACATCTTAAAGCTGAACACGACTCGTAAATAGGCATACGCCATTTACGATATTACTATCTAAGATAACAGCACCAAGGTATACTCTTCGCATTCGTTACACCTGACTGCTTTATTGTCACGGGTATCGGCGTGGAATGGCGACCCTTGTTCGTGCTGGTTATCTTGCATTACTTTTGTTTACATTTTATTGCAGTCACGTATATTTGTGTTTGTTTGTATACTGCACTGACCTGTGCAACTGTTGTAAATCTCTTTGGTATCTTACTCTCCTGCATTAGAAGAAGCACAGTTATTTTCGTCGCTAGTAAGTGCTGTATAGCATACGTCCGTCTACACCGGTGACAATTGATTACACTAAACAGTGACCAAGTGAGCGGCTCTATATATAGGGGCTCTCAGATATAGCGAAAGTCCTATCGAATATGGCGGATAGATTCTTTTTAAGAAGCGTGTTCAGCTTTAAGTATTGCATACATACCCCCCCCCCCCCCCAAAAAAAAAGGAAAGAAAGAAAGATAAAGAAAAAGATGTACTAGCTGTTAAAATCAAAGGGATTTTAACATTTAAACATTTGATGACAGTTAACTTAGAAACTGATATAAGGGTTATTTGTTTTCCTCAGAGAAAATTAGATACTTGATTTATTCTTTTTCTCAGAGATTTTGGACTATCTTTGCATAATTAGTCTAATGGTTTCAGTTAATTACCTGTTCATTGGTCTGCGTACAGTGGTTATGTGCAGTTTTAGTGTTTTATGCCTATTGAGTTAACAGGTTCTTTATGGATGACAAGTGTCTGGAACCATTGCAGGTGTGAAGGTATTGGCAGAATTTAAGTTTCTTTCATGTAGAAGATGTGAGGCTTTATAGTTTCCTTGTCCTATATTTATGTATTCAAAGACTTAAGGCCCTGATGATATGTTGACACTCACAAACTGTACCAGTGCTTAGGAGATATACCATATGTTTGATAGACATATATGGTAAGATATGTTAAGATGGGATTGACTGCATAAAATGTTTTGATTTGTCATATTAGTTAACACTTCAACATGTTCAGCTTACCAAACTTTAAGTTATAATTATTTTGAGGAGTATAGGCAAAATGGATGACATTCATAAGGCATTTAGACTCTGGCTTTAAAGTGATATTTATTCAACCCACATTGTACTCTTGCACTTTGGAAGAAGTTTTATTTACAATTGTAACAGGAAGGAGAAAATGTATGACTGGACTAGGAGTCAAACTGGGGACCCCTGCATCACTAGTCAGGTGCTTTATTGACTGAGCTAACCAGGCCCGCACCATTACACAAAGAAAATGTGTCATTGTAAATCAGAGACTTCTTTTTTATAATACATGTGTATATATTAAACATCAATGCATTGATTTAAAAAAGGAATGAAATATACGCGGCTAGGATAAGGCTGTCCGTAAAATATCAAACTGTTCCAAATGTAGAAACTTCTCTGAACTACCTAGATATGACGTCATAATAGCATATGAAGTCAAGTCACTGCATACTTGAGCTGACTTGACGGGAAAGTGTCATAACTTTTACATTCCTTTCCCGTGATATGTAAAGATTTTTTAGCGTTATTGTTTGATTCAAGCATCTGGATTGTTCTTTAAGCTTAAGTGTGCTGTTATGATGTTGAACATTTGCAATTTAATATCGTTATTCCTTTTACTTGTCTGATATACATATATTCAAACAATAACAAAAAATGACTGTGAAACGCTCCCCCTTACACGTCCGTGGGCAGAGTTAGAATTTATAAATCGTGTATATATTTGACTGGCACAAGTGATTAATAAGGATAAATTGAAGATATTCTGTGTGAATCTACTAGAGAAGTATCTCTTCTAACTGAGTTTTGCTGGGGGATTGTATGTAATTTATCCTATTTTGTATAAATTGCGATAAACAGTGGAAAATGCCCCCTTGTATATGGGTAAGTTGAATTTCTAGTGGAATATTTTCTCAACAAAAAAAATTCAGACTTGCCCACAGCACTTTTTATGTACCAAAGATTACGATGAATTGACTTATGTGACAAATTTTTCTCAATAATGTTGTTTTGCACTTGTGCTGATGCAATTTTTATGCAACATTTAGAAATTTACATTGTATAAGTGTCCGTCACGTGATCAACAAAGTCATGTGACATCACAAAAATGCATAGTTTTAATACCTGATTACACTCTCATCACAAGTTGACTGCAAATTGATACATAGATTACAAATTGAAATT